GAAACGAGTGGAAAATTAGAATTTATATTCGTTTTAGTAATTGCATTTTCATTTGAGTGTGTGAAAATTGTATTTTTCAAGATCGTAAGTGTTCAGGTGTTGAATTAAAACATTTTCAAAACATTTTCAGTTTACATTTCGGACATATGAACATTAATTTCAATGATATTTATATTGACCTAGTGTCGATAAGAAAAAACTATTATTTTGCTGAATTACAGTATTTTTGTGACCATTATTCATTTGTACAGATTCAATTTGATCTATTCGCATTATTTTTTTCAAGTTATACTAAATCACTTCTGATTCACAATTTTTGAAGTGATAACTTCTCATAGGAGGGTAAACGCTTTCGTAACGTAACGCCTTACGGTGGCCCTCTGTCTGGCTTCCCTTTCTCTCACGCATAGGGCAGCAGTCGGCAGGCTCATCCTCTCTCACTCTAACCCACAGCGCTAGCCGTATTTCGGACAGACGCTTTCCCCTCTCTCTACTCAGTGTTTAGTGTGCGATAGACAAAAAAAACTGCTCGTTTGTTGTTGCTCTACCTGCTGAACTTGATTTTATTCTATGGCTTTCTCTGTTTACATCATGTCATGAACAGAGACAACTATGGGAGATAAATCAACTTCTGTAAGTTCAGCAATACAAACGAACAGGCCCAAAATATAAGAGCAGGAGGCGTAGCAATTAATCAGAATGTTCATGATTGCATTGATATTGTCACTCCAAATATAGAGTTACATATTAATAATGCTACAAACTTCAGTACGGCTTCACAAAATGTATAAAGTGGAATGTATCAATGAAGCAAAGGAACAAATTATTATTACCAATATATACAGGGTGACATTTTGAAAACTGCCCACCCTCAATATCTTCCTTCCAGTAAATAATATGCAAAATGGAAAAGACAGATCAATTTTATTTTGAAGGGGGACAATTGAAATCGATATTTTTTGCCCTCTAGGTTTAACCCCGTAGGAGGGGTGGATGTTACCCTTAGAATCTTAAATGGGAAGGGGCTTCAAGGAGTACATCATTTTGAAGGGCTCTCAATTCTGTTTCCAACAGTACCCTAGGTTGTCATTTTCTGTTGAGCAATATTCGAAAAATGCCGTGTCAATTAGAAAACGTACCACCCTTAACCCTTTCAAGACGGATTTTTATTTTTTTCGTGAGGATTATAATTTAATTTATGATTTCATATTTCAAGAGTAGGTTTTTAGAGTTATTTGAATTTTTTTCAATTTCTTTCGAACTCGTTTAGTGTGGGACATATCGTCCCATCAGTCAATTACTTTGGGACAATATATCCCATCAGCTCAGAAATAAAATACATAATAATATGAATATATTCCGCAAAGGAAAAACATGTTCACGTCTACTGGGATAAATAATCCCATCAAAGTGGTCTGCTGGGACATAACACAACACATAACACAAACACCGGCTAAATGACCCTGGGCGTTGAATAAACTGAACTGGCGTTTTTACACGCTTATTTGGGATCGAATTTACCACTAGTCTAAACAAAATCTGCCTTGGGACGTATTGCCCCGTTAATCTCGAAAGGGTTAATATCTTCCTTCCAGTAAATAGTATGGAAAATCGGAAAGACCGGTCAATTTTGTTTTCAAGGGGACCACTTCAAATTCTTATTTTTAGCTCACATGGTTCAACCCCCTAGGAGGGGTAAATGCTACCCTAAGAACCTTATATGAAAAAGGGGTCAAGTTGCACTTTATTTTGAAGGGCTTTCGATTCTCTTTCCAACAGGACCTAGTTTATCATTTTTTGATGAGCAGTTTCCGAAAAATACCGATTTAAATTTAGAGAAGTAATTAGAACATGCCTAAACTGAGGTGCAGGGTTTTCAGGTTAGTATTATTGATTGTATTGACTCTCCTTTCAGTTCAAATGGTTGAAAGATTTTGAACTGAAAGGAGAGTCAATACAATAATACTAACCTTAAAACCATGCATCTCAGGACAGATATGTTCTAATTACTTCTGTAAGTTTAGAACGGCATGTTTTGGAATCTGCTAATCAAAATATGATAAACTAGGATACTGTTGAAAAGTGAATTGAGAGTCTTTAAAAAAAATGTCCATCTTGGATATTCTTAAACGCAAACGACGTAGATATTATTCGTCATACCTAGTGATGTTTAATTTCCGGAAATTGAAATATTGGAAATATGTGGAAATATTGGAAATATAGCCGTTCCCGATGCGTATCCTGCTTGGCTGAGCATTTTTTCAATGTGTGATTTTTGGTTGTGATCCTGGCAGCACCTCAATGCCCTAGAAATGGTATAAATTCCACTATAAGCTGTAGGTCCCGCTCTTCCTAACCCCGCACAAGTCCCGACTTCCCGAGAAAATTATATAAAACACTAAAAAATTAGAAGAAAACAAATTGTATTCAAAAAAGGTACAACATTTTTAAATCGATTCTATTCGAAAACGAATAACTTGGTTTTCATGAGATTTTCAATCTACTTTGTCACTAAATCACTTTCCGAAAATATCGTTTATTCCATGGATATTGGCGAGCAGTATAAATCATTGATAATAATCTCATCCCAATGAGTCACGCTGCCACTACAACTATTTAACCTCAATCTACACTGATATTATAAAGAGGAAGGATTTGATCGTTTGTTAGTTTGTATGTTTATTTGTATGGAATAGGCTCCAAAACTACTGGACCGATTTGAAATATTTTTACCATTGAAAGCCGACATTATCCCTGATGAACATAGGCCACTTTTTACCGCTGGATAATGCTTCATTCCTATGGATTTAGAGTCACTGGATGGTATTAGTTATATAAGAGTTCGGACACAGAAATGACAACGGTTAGTGTTTTTGAATGTTTAGATTTATCAAGTTACACACCTTGCATTGTGACAAGTGCGCCATAGTCGTTCTGCGGTTTTTCAAAATTGTTCGAATTTGACAACAAATTTCATGAACGTTAGAATCGAAATATAATTTCATAAACTATTCAGAAAAATGCATAAATGAAAATGTCCTGCTGTGTAATGAATTGCGGGAATTCTGTAGGGCATGGCAATTTCATTTCTTTAATTTTCCAAAGGAAATATCAACCATTCCCTTAAGGAAGGTATGTATGAAACGGCCTTGATGGAAAATTAATTTGAAGTCAGGCAAAATTTGTGAGTACAAGTACATACATTGAAATTCACTTCTTATTACAGCAGATTGGAATGAAACTATCTTTTAGGTCCATTTTCAAACAGAATATTTATAAGATCCGTTGTTCTATTGATTTATAAAACAGACTATTGAAAGAAAAATCCAATATTATCATGAGATGAAATGCAAAACAAAATTTTCATAGAGAAAGAGGAATTGATTGCTACGTAATAAAATTGGAAATTTGAGAACGAAATCAAGTAAATTGCACCATGATAATATGATATCCTTGAATGGCGTTTTCAATACCGACCAATTCAAAAATTATCAGCAGAAAGGGAATACAGCAAAAGGTATCGATACATAAACTGAAGTAGGTGTTTTACCCTATTTATATTTTTCATCTACAATAATTAATTTGACAGAAAATTGGTGGCGCTGCTGTCGGTACGTGAACTATTAAATGGCTTGACCGATTGGGTTATAATTTTCAATATGTAAAACAACAACAAAAAAATAAAAAAGATACCAGGAGTTTTTCATTCCTGTTATGAATTATATTCAATTAACTTCGAATAATTCTTCCAAATTTTATATTTGTTATGGAAGGCGATATATCATAAAAAATGTTTCCATAGTAACGTATCATCAATTACTGGTGCCGTCGGTACTTCGTTTCCTAATTGGATGCTGTTGTTGGCTAGTAGGTCAACTTCTTCATTATGAGTTATTCCGATAAGAGCTTTCACCCATATTAAGGATATTTTCACGCCATTTGTGCGGTTTTCAAATAGCATATGTTTGATTTTGATTATGTAAGGATTCAGAAGAGTGTTTGGGTTATAACTGGAATAAATACAGTTTAATACTGATAAGGAGTCGGATAAGATAGTGGCTTCTAAAATGTTATTGTCCCTTATATGTAAAAGTGCTTGGTAGGTATAGAGCAAAGGCTTCCGCAGAGAATATAGACATAGTTGTAGGTAGTTCAAACAATTGCCTCAAGTTCCCGTCTTGTTTGTTTATTTCTTCTTCTCCAAACCATGAATAAACATTATGAAACTTATGATGATACAATAATGCGTCAGGCTGATGGGACCATGTCCATAAAACCATAAGAAAAAGGTTGCCTGGTTCAAGATTGATAGACTAGGACATGGCGCATCGCTGACATAGGAGAACGAACGAACATATAATATAAACAATAATCTGGAATCCAATTTTGTTTTGATAAACTCAGAAATTCATGGTCATCACACGAGACAATTAAACTTATTTCATCTTGATTCTGCTACTTTTATAATTGTCCAAAAAAAATTTACTCACGCTGCTCTAGCTGAATTCAATAAATTACCACATAATATAAAAAATTGGAGACACATTTCAAAATTGAAAATTGAATTAAAAAACACATAATTTTTTTACGAAATGGATAAAATTGATACTTTGCCATCTACTAATTAGTCCCTGTGGCTATTTTTATGACTTGATCGATTTTTAGAATGTTTAGAATTTTTTGTTGTCGTTGTTGTCACCTTATATTATTTTATTACTGTTGTTTGTAATCAACTTCCTCATTCCAGAATTCTATTTCTGACTTGAAGCTAGTTTCTCAATAAACAATACCCGAACAGTTTCACGTAAACAATGTGGGTGGACGCGAGGCGCTATGTCACAGTGATTTTGAAGATTAAAAAATAAATCAGGGAGTTCTGGGATGTTTTTAAATGTAGATAAGAAGTAGAAAAATAAACCAAAGGAAACAGGTAACCACTAGCTAGTCAGAAATGAAAATATTTATAGGAACCTGAACGTCAAATAATATTTTGCACATACCTTCCCTGTGTACTTATCGATGGTGAACACCTTCCTCATGAGCTCCGAATGTATGGTGTAGGTGACATTCCCATATTCACCCATGTCTTCATCGGTCGCTGTAACAGTAGTCACAGGATAACCAGGTGGTCTATTTTCGGGCACGTGTACGTCTTTGAAGACCTCATTGAATCTGGGAAGGTAAGAATTGGCAGGCAGCACCTCCACTTTGAACCTGAAACACAAATATAACAGTTTCTTTCAGAAAGTTGACATCATATCGAAAAAACTTTTGATAATAATTTATTTTGAAATTAGGCGATAAGTTTTGCTACAAAAAATATGTAGGATTGCCTACTCGGTCGGGTCACGTGACTTTCGCTACATGTCTAGTTACATTTTGTCAACATAATCAGTGAAAATAGGCTTATTTGTTTGAATTCCAAAAACGTTTACTGAGAAAAGCTGTTTCTATCTCTATTTAACACATGTGTTTTTTATAGTTTCTAATTTCTACCATTAGCTTCATGCTATGATTTCTTTAAAAAAAATAATCTACCTTCAAATTTCTGTTATGTTTGATGCAAGTTGATGAAATTTAGATAGAATTTTATTCATACAGGGTGTTTCAGAGTTGTGGTGACAAAAGCCTAGGGAATATTCCTCTCAATCCTCTCAATAAAATATGAAAAAAAGTTCACATGAATATGGGTCAGTAAATGCTTCGTTTCCGAGATACAAGGTGTCCAAGTTGAAAAAAAGGAGTTTCTTAATTGATTCCTTGGAAACGCTCAAGCCGATTCGAATGGGATTTCTATGGTTTATTTACACAATTATCAGATATTTACTGGACCTATTAGATTCGATCAAGATTCTTCAGGCATACCCATCGAGCAAATCGGCTTTTTTCGTAGAAAATGAAGTCACCCTGTGTTTCGTTCAGGTTCTTTTAAAATATTCAGATAAACCTATTAAAAATACAACAGTTTCTCTGTGAGGAATATTTTTTCAATACATGAAGAATCCATTTTTGTTTTATTGGACATTGGAAACCCTAGTTTCCTTCATCAAAACAAAACTTGACATTCCAATGAGAAATATGTTGAATGGAAATTAAACGAGGAGAAGATGATGCTTCAATTTTTTTTGCCAATTTTTTGAGTTATCAGATTTGCTGAAGGAAACAGAACTAGAAAATTTAAAGTTTTCTGAGTTCCAAAATAATGCTTGGGTTTTGGTAAGACAATACAGTGTGTCCCACTTACCATGCTCACCATGGGTATCTTTTTAACGGTGAGAGATACGAGGTCGGTTAAATGACACCAAATGTGGAGTTTGTCAAGGCCAACTTGTATGTGAAAAAATATTTTTATAAAATCTATTCGTTTTTGTTTTATACGCAAAAAACAGATTTTGATCATTTTCATGTATCCTCCGTAACTTCTTTATTTATGAAAATATTCAAATAGGAATTTCACATTCTCATGGCAGTTTTTCAAAATGATTTCGAAAAAAATATGAAATTTATACCAACTCTTCTAGAATTTGAGATAACAGCACCAACTTTAGTTTTTCAAATGTAGGTCATAGCTCACTATGACTTGGTTACAAATAACTTTTTTTTCTCTTACAGATGATATGTCGCAGTAATAGTTTTGTGTTTGCAATAAATCTCAGGGGTCTGTGTTTGCGGGGTTCGGCTGAGTAAAAAATTGCTCGTCGGGTGGCAGATCTTTATTCAAACTGGAGGAACAGAGGTGAAATGCGGCAGGAAAAATCCCAGTGGCGAAAGGACACCAGTTCTTAGTCTAAATTCATCCAAGTCTACAAAAGGCATAAATATTAACTCCTAAGCCAGAACACACTGGTTACACTTGCTAACATTAAATTCGATGATTCAAAATTCGTCATGCTCGACAAATCTTAGGTTAAGTTCTACAATTTATCGAAAATGGGTTTCACCTACCTACAAAAGGGCATAGGCGAGAGGTCCAGCGCTGCCAGGAGCGTAGACGCTACAATAAAACCAAAAAACACCCTCTGCAAAACTGGATGCACAATGATTTAAAATCAATAACCTTTACAGTTTCAACATTGAGGCACCATCTTCTAATTTCCTTCTCTTCCCCTTCCCCCGTTCCAATAACCCTGACTTCCTTTCGAATGGAAATAGGCGCGCGATTTAAATGAATGACCCTGGCTCAACTCACGATTATTCAGCCGTGTATGCTTGGTTGCCGCAATTCAGACGCGATCTGTTACATCTTCACCCCCCTCCCCTTGAGTGAAAGTGCAGTGGAACGTCACTGAACTCAGTCAGCACCCCTGGGATGATTTCCTATGGGGGCTCATTGTATTTTTTCAAGTGGGTCGCATGAAACATACCTCGTTCCCGTTCGTCATCGTACGACAAGATGTAAGTATCCTCACGTATTCTTTTTTTCACCCTGTAAGGGCCTTCGAAGAGTAACAACAATTTTTTCGTTTCAGCTTTCAGTGTGGAAGAGATATTATTCGCTTTCAGCAATACCAGGTCACCGGGGATGAATTTCTGGTAAGGTCGACCCGGATACATGAGTGCCCGCCGTGCCGCCTTGTTGTGGAGTGAGGCCTCTGCCAAGACCAGTTTCTCTTGGTGAGGAATGGGAGTTGGTAATACCGGGCGTAACCGCGCAGGTAGGAGGGCGGGGCGTTCGACACCTAGCTGGAGTTCATTCGGAGTGAAACCTGTGGCTTCGTGGACTACCGAGTTCAGAAACTCCTCAAATTGGTTCAGTTGGATGGCCCATTTTGAATGTTGATCATGACAAAAGGTCCTCATGATCCGGCCAATTTCACGCATGCAACGCTCAGATGGGTTAGCCGCTGCGTGGCGAACTGAAATGTAAACGAGCTTGATTTGAAGGTTATCAAATGTTGTTCGCCACAACCTAGACGTAAATTGAGTAGCATTATCGTGCAGGATTCGTTGCACCGGCCCATGGGTTGGTAGGTAGTCCTCTGTCAGGCGCTTTATTATTGCTTGAGTAGTGGCTCGCTTGAGGGGGTAAAGTTTGAGGTACTTGGTGAAGACGTTCAACACCACTAGTATGTAAGTGACTCCACCGCGGCTTCTGACCAAGGGACCCAAACAGTCTATCGCTAGCAAATCGTTCTTGTTAGTAGGCAAGATTTGCAATTGTGGAGGTCGAGGTAACACCGATATTTTTGCCTTTTGACAAAGGTCGCAGGATTTTATATATTTTTTTATCTTACGTTGCATATTTGTAAAGTAGACTTCAGACTTCATTGCCGAATGGGTTTTGTACAGGCCAAAATGTCCGAAAGCTTCATGATAACTACGAGTACATGCTTCCACCAGACTTTCTGGAATGCATAACAGGACACGACTTTCGTCATTTCCATATTTATAAAGGATATCATCGAACACAACAAACTGCCGGGCAAGCGTGTCCTCTGTTTCAACCCTATTCTTTATATCTAATAACTTGAGATCTTCCGCCTGCCGCTGTTTTATTTCAGTAAGAGACTGCTGGAATTGAGACGGAAATTGCAGGTTCAGCAGCTGAAAACAATTATCTTGGGGGGATGGTAACCTGACACAACTATGACGAGAGAGGGCATCTACGACGAAATTCTCTTTCCCTGCAACATGCACAATGTTGAAAGAGAACTCCTGTAATGCCAGAGCCCAACGAGTGATCCTAGGGGAAAGGAGTCTACAGGTATTTAAATAGGTGAGTGTCCTGCTATCAGTATACAATGTAAAAACTCCCCCTAACAAATAGATTCTCCACTTCTGGATCGCCCACAAAGCAGCTAGCACCTCCTTCTCGTTTGAACTATAACGACGTTCCCTATCCAAAAGGAGGCGACTCGCCCACGCAACGACCCTATTTTCGCCCTCCACCACCTGAAACAATTGAGCAGCTATACCTTTGTCGCAGGCATCGGTTGTTACATGCCATGGCAGGGATGGGTCTGGGTGGTACAGCATGGTGATGTTCTGCAACTCCTTCTTAATGTTGAGGAAAGCCTGCTCTTGAACAGCCTCCCACTTCCATCGACTTTTCTTTCGCAGCAAACAGGTTAAAGGCTCCGAAATTGACGCGAACTTGGCCGAGAAACCTCGATCGTAGTTACAAAGGCCTAGAAACCTTTGGACCTCTTTGACGTTTCTGGGTCGGACATAGTCCGCTATTGCCTGAATGCGATCCGGATCTGGACGAACCCCCAATGGACTAACAATGTATCCCAAGAAGTTCATCTCCTCCTGGAAGAAATCACACTTGGACAACTTAACAGTTAAGCCGGCCTCCTGCAACCGAGAAAAAACCTTCTCCAGGTGTTCGAAGTGTTGCTCCACCGATTCTGACATAATAAGCAGGTCATCTACATATGTGACTAGGAAATCAGTAAACCCGTTTTCAAAAATTTTCTGAATGGCTCTGGTAAATGAGGAAACAGCCGTGCAGATGCCGAAAGGCAATACCGTGAATTGATAAATTTTATTTTCCACCATGAACCCTGTGTATTTTTTGTCTTCTTGCCTTAGGGGGATTTGCCAATAAGAATGGGATAAATCTACTTTAGATAGTACCTTTTTCCCCTTCAGCCGAGCAATAATATCATCTATCCTAAGTGGTGAATCGAATTCGGGTATCATAATGGAATTGAGGTGCCTGGCATCCAGACACACTCGAACCGATCCATCTTTTTTCACAGCGGTCATGAGTGGTGACACATATGGGGTACTGGCACGTTCAATGACCTTCCACTGCTCCATCTGCTTTATCATGTTCCCTACTGCTTCCCTATGTGCTACTGGGATTGGATAACTTTTAATAAAAAACTCTCGGTCCACTTTTAAATGGATCTCATGAAAATAGTTTTTGATACGACCGGGAATAATTGAAAATATTTTCTCGTACTTTAAAATTAAATTTTTTAAATGTAACCTCTCATTTTCAGGTACACGAGTGGACAATGACAACAAATTAAAATCTATGCCTACTGGTTTCATTTGGTTTTGGTTGAAACTCGTAGCATTATCACTTTTATTTACAAGGGCTGTAACCATTATGGGAGCGGGGTTGACCCACTCACAAGGTAAGTCTAACTCGGGAACTAATAACCTCTTGTCTTTGTTGTACAAAATTATATTTTTATTTTTTAGGTCAACTGCACCCTGAAATAGTCGTAGGAAATCAACTCCAATTATAATTGGGCAAGATAAATCAGAAATTAGAAGAAACTCATGTGAGAATTCTACTTCCTGCAATTCAAAAGTGAAACAAGCCTGCAACAGCACCTTCCTGAATTTTGTCTTAAAAGCTCCTATCACCCGAATTGAAGTACATGGAAAATGTGGAATTTTATTCCAACAGTTCGATAACTGCTGCCAAACTTCATTAGAACATGCAGTCACTGTACTGCCTGTATCTATCAAAGCAGGAAAACGAAATCCATACAAATTTATTTGAATTGTGGGGGACCTAGTGTCTAATAATTTATGATTAAAATCACATTCCTTCAGCAAATGTTCCTTTGGATTATTATTAGTATTGATAAATGTGCCAGTCTTTATTTCCTTATTTAATTTCGCTCCCACACACCCATTCATGTATGGGAACTTTCCAAGTTTCCCGAATCATTTTCCGAATCTTGTTCTTGACCTTCAAATCCCATGACTGCGATTTTCTTGGGAAATTGTTTGGAAGAAGCATGGTTGCCAACCTGATTTCCATTTCTATTTGATTTATAACTATAGTTATTCTCATACTGCCTGTTTCTGGTTTGATTTGTATCTTCTCGAAAAGAAGCAGGTAATATTGAGTTCCTAGGTTGACTTCCAAAATAGTAATCAGCTTGCCTAAGCCTTTCTAGTGCTATCAAAAGATTTCCAGATCCTACTAAACTAGATGAAATGTTTGGAGGAAAATGTCTAGCAATAATTGCAATTAACTGTTGTTCTGTATAAGGTGGGAACAAATAACGAGCTTCTGCTATTCTTGCATTAAAATATTCAGTAAAAGGACCATTAGTTTCCCTGTACCTGCCTGATTCCAATTTTAATTTTATTTCAAGTTGCATGGTTTCACCCCAATATTGCTCTAAAAAAGCTTGCTTAAATGCAGCATAAGAATTGAACAAGCAACCAAATGCATTGAACCAGTTTTTTGCAGAGTGCTCAAAAAGGCTGGCCAAATAAAACCTGAACTGGCCCATAGAAAGGTTATTTACATCAAAACATGCTTCAATATTATTTAAGAATTCAACCGGGTGCAAATTCCCTCCATTTACAAAGGTAGGCAAAACCCTTACATCCCTAAAATTGGCTAAGTTACAAAAATTTCCCTGCTGAGCCCTACTCTGATTTGCATTGTTGTTAATAGTCGTATTCCTACCCACAGAACTAATATAGTTTTGATTTTGAGGCAAAAAAGTTCTTCCTGTTTGATCATTTTGGTAGCCAAGATTTTGAAAACTATTTGCCTGGCTATTTGCCTGACTATAGTATGGCAAGCTATTAAAGTTACTGTTATTAAAAAAACTAATTGGGACTTCCTGATATTTTTGCCCCGGTACAGTGTTAGTGGCAGGCAGTGTATAGTCATTTTCAGATAAATCTGTAGGAAAATGGACCCTACTATGCTTAGCTTGATGTCTAGGTAAACTTTGTTGCTCTGCCACTAACCCTGTAGGATTTACTGCCTCATAGTTCCTACCCTCCAGTAGGGTTTGCAACCCATTATTATTCCCTAAAACACTAGAACTATCACTTCCAGATCCTACAGAGGCTGTGAGTGCATCAGATACTCGATGTCCCAAAGTGGGCTCCCTTTCCAATATCACTGGCAAAGCACTTGCTTGGGGTTGTTCACTGGGGATAATATTCAAGTTGTTACCTTGTTCAAGGTGTTGAAACCTTTGTTGATTACCCTCCTGTCCTTCATTCCTTTGCACAGTTCCATCTGCTGTCGGTTGTTTTGGACGGTTTCTGAACCTCAGAAAGTATTGAGTAGCGCCTGGAGGTGTTCTTTCTGGGAGCATTTTCAATTTTTCTCAGCCCCGTGGTGGTCGCCAAGTTGCAATAAATCTCAGGGGTCTGTGTTTGCGGGGTTCGGCTGAGTAAAAAATTGCTCGTCGGGTGGCAGATCTTTATTCAAACTGGAGGAACAGAGGTGAAATGCGGCAGGAAAAATCCCAGTGGCGAAAGGACACCAGTTCTTAGTCTAAATTCATCCAAGTCTACAAAAGGCATAAATATTAACTCCTAAGCCAGAACACACTGGTTACACTTGCTAACATTAAATTCGATGATTCAAAATTCGTCATGCTCGACAAATCTTAGGTTAAGTTCTACAATTTATCGAAAATGGGTTTCACCTACCTACAAAAGGGCATAGGCGAGAGGTCCAGCGCTGCCAGGAGCGTAGACGCTACAATAAAACCAAAAAACACCCTCTGCAAAACTGGATGCACAATGATTTAAAATCAATAACCTTTACAGTTTCAACATTGAGGCACCATCTTCTAATTTCCTTCTCTTCCCCTTCCCCCGTTCCAATAACCCTGACTTCCTTTCGAATGGAAATAGGCGCGCGATTTAAATGAATGACCCTGGCTCAACTCACGATTATTCAGCCGTGTATGCTTGGTTGCCGCAATTCAGACGCGATCTGTTACATGTTTATAACAACGGATTTATCGTCATTTATACAAAAACAAAAAATGATTTGGATGCCGCCAACTTGAATTCATAAATTTCAACAAAAAAATCATGATCTCCGGGCTCAAAAACCCCCACTTACCAATTTTGAATGTAATCGGACCAAATCTTGTCCGCCATCTTGGAGCAGCCATTTTTTTTAATTTCAGCGGAAATTCCATAACTTTGATTGGCTTGAAATTTGGCAGGTGTTCATAATTTCGGTGACAATTCATTATGGAATTTTTGTTGAAATTAAAAAAAAATGGCTGCTCCAAGATGGCGGACAAGATTTGGTCCGATTACATTCAAAATTGGTGAGTGGGGGTTTTTGAGGTCGGAGATCATGATTTTTTTGTTATAATTTATTAATTAAAGATGGCGACTTCCAAATAATTTTTTGTTTTTGTATAAATGACGATAACTCCGTTGTTATCAACACAAAACTATTACTGCGACATATTATCTGTAAGAGAAAAAAAAGTTATTTGTAACCAAGTCATATTGAGCTATGACCTACATTTGAAAAACTAAAGTTGGTGCTGATATCTCGAATATTAGAAGAGTTGGTATAAATTTCATATTTTTTTCGACATCATTTTGAAAAACTGCCATGAGAATGTGAAATTCCTATTTGAATATTTTCATAAATGAAGAAGTTACGGAGGAGACATGTGAATGATCAAAATCTGTTTTTTGCGTATAAAACAAAAACGAATAGATTTTATCGAAACATTTTTTCACATTATAGTTGGCCTTGACAAACTCCACATTTGGTGTCATTTAACCGACCTCGTATCTCTCACCGTTAAAAAGATACCCATGGTGAGCATGGTAAGTGGGACACACTGTATAACAGATGGTTAGGTTAGGTTCCATGTGAGTGGGGCGAATACGACCCCTCCACTGCGACCCCAGATGAGTATATTGTGGCTCAACCCTAGATGTATGATAAATCGTTGAATCACGTTATTGTTTATGGTTTTTCTCAATATCTCCACTTGAAGACTTCAAATCGCAACATTTCCACAGATTTAATACACTTCTGACAAGGCAAGACTGGGAAACATTAACTTGAATGTTATCAAACATTTGTTCACAATATTGGTTGTCACGGTTTCAAATGTTAGGTTCCGTTTTGTCGCTGAGAAACCTAGGGCGAACTTAACGCTGTCATAATGACCAAATCACAGCGGTATATTGGCTTTTTGTAACATGAATTCAATTGCCAGTACTAAAATGATACCGAAGGCATCAATCAAAATATTATCAAACTACATGACATCATTATCTCAGCAAAGAAATTGAAATTGACTAATGTCCGATACTAAAAGTTGCAATAGAACATTCTAATTTGAGAGACATGTGTAAAATCGGAAAACAAAACAACTTTTCTCATTAAATGATTTCGAATTTCAAACAGGTTAACTTATCAGCGATTCATTTGAAAAAAAAAATAGCGACCGAGTTAGCCATTTTTCATCCTTCTCAAAGCTACACTCCACGCTAAAGTTGAGAATCAAAATAAATTATAAATGAAAGTTTTTCCCATTTATTTATTTTATTTATTGAACGAATAACTTCCAGACAGAATAGGTTCTGGTATAAGGAAGTACATATTCATATACCTATACGTAAACATTTCATCATTGAAAATATATCAACAACTATAAATTGGCATACAGAGAATAATATTTGTAGAAAGACCAAAGTAAAATAACATGATTCATTTTATCCAGTTCGCTCAGAAATAATCAGTTTTTTTTTACTTCATTTTTGAATGAACCTATATTTGTGCAATTTTTTATATTGCCAGGTAGTTAATTGAATTCAGTTAGGGCTGAATGAGTGAATCTTTTTTGTCCGAGTAAGGAGCTGGCGGCGTTAAGATGAAACAAGTTATATTGTCTAGTCTCATGATTATGAATTTCAGAATTCCGTATCAATATAATATTCGACTTCAATTTTTTATTTATGAGATTACATGGAATTTTAAGAGTTTCAATTCTATATATTTCATCTGAAGAATACGTATCTGTTATTTCATACAATTGATTGGTTGGTGTATCAAATGGGAGACGATACAGTACTTTTAACGATTTTCTATATAATGTCGATATTTTATTAAAATAATTTTTTGAACAAGATCCCCAACATTTATGAAATATTTGATAGGACTTTGATAGAAATATATGAAAGACACTACTTACCTGGTGAACGTCGTATACACGCCGTCCGATGCGGACACGTTCAACAGCACGATCCCTGCTCGGGCGCCAAACGCGCCGACGTTGGACAACGTGAGGACGCCCGTCTCGGCGTCCATCGCGAACAGCTGGTGGTCGTCGCCGGTGTGGACGGCGTAGTGCAAGACGTCGCCGTCGTCGGGATCGACGGCGCGCACGACGGCGGCAAACTGGTCGCGTTTCGCGCCGATCGACAGCCGACACGACATGGATTCCTCTTCGAATACGGGCGCATTGTCGTTCGTATCCAAAACTGTATAAATATACATGCATTGTGTATTTTAGCTTCATATCACGAAAATATGACAATCAGTACCAAATCTGCTAATTCCGAGTCTCATAAACTGTCAATAAATAATGGTGTTCGAAAAGGATCTGTTTTAGGACCAATACTGTATCTGCTTTATATTCAAAATATCACGAAAGTTGGTTTAGCGAGTAATGATACCATATATGCAGACAATACAGTGCTTTTATATGAAAACAAAAATCCTCTAATTTTAGAAACTGTGATAAATAGCGATCTGAAATTATTAAAAGAATATATCCACTCTAACCTTTTATCAATAAATACCAGAAAAACTGAATACATGATTTTTCAACAAAAAAATAAACAGAAAATTCAGCTCAATCTTCAAATAAAGAATGAATTCTTGAAAAAACTGAACAGATAAAATATTTAGGTATTTGGTTTGATGAAAAATTGAAGTGGGACAAACATATTGAGGTTCTGGCAAAGAAAATATCTCCTATTATTGGTGCATTGAGAAGATGTCCCAAGCTCAATATGAAAATTGCAAATATAGTACTCTAGTCACATATACTAAGTTGAATCAATTATTTAATAAATGTTTGGGGATCTTGTTCTAAAAATAATGTTAATAAAATATCAACATTATATAGGAAATCATTAAAAGTACTGTATCGTCGTCTTCCATATGATACACCAACAACTGAACTGTATGCTTTAACAAACACTGAAATCTAATATTATTTTGACAGGAAATTTCATAGTCATCAAACTAGACAATATGACTTATTTCACCTTGATACTGCTAGTTCTACACTCGGACAAAAAAGTTTCACTCATGCAGTCTCATCTGAGTGCAATAAACTACCAGATGAAATTAAAAACTGCAGAAATATAGGTACATTTAAAAATAAAATAAAAAACCTGATCATTTCTGAGAGAAATGTTTAAAATTTATCAGTAAGTTATGTCCTTGACTAGAATTCTTTTCTTTGTTCATTGATTGTTTTGTATTATTCATGTTCACTTCTACTCATGTCTGTGCAGTAGGTCATAGATATTCATTGCTTATTATTTTGTAATTATGTTCTTCCTCATACCAGAACTTGTTCTGACTGGAAGATATGAGTGATAAATAAAAAAATTTAAATAAAATGATATTAATTGGCGATAAATCAAAATTTCCGCATGTTTCACCAAAAACTAATCAAAGTGCTTCGTTTATTTGCTATTTTTTTCATGTTCTGGTTTCCACGAAGAGGGATATCCTGTAATGTTCAGAGGACATCGTGAGAACCAAGGAAAATGAGGTAGGAATTGGTTTTCTTCTAAAATTTCTGAACGTGATATGCCTCTTGGAACACCTTCCTTGGCAATGTGTTCCAGAGCCTCGCCATTCGTTGGATGAACGAGTCTTTGGAAAGAAATGTCTCCAAAGTGACCACGAAGGGGTGCGAAGCCTCGACTCGACGGGTAAATCTTGCGGGGACTGCCAAGAGAGGAACAATTGTTGGTATTTCAGAAGAGCATCGTCCATGAAAATATCTATAAAATAGAGCCAGATCGTAAACTTTTCTACGGTGTTCCAGAAAAGTGAGGGAGTTTGTGAGCGAAGCATCACCCACGAGGCGAATTGCCCTTTTTGGACAGAATCCAACAGTTTCAGGGTATGTGTGGGTGCTGCACTCCAAATATGGAAACAGTATTCCAGGAGAGGTCGGATCTGTGCCTTATAGATCATAAGCAGCTGATTGGAAGTGAAATAGCTCCTGGCCCGAAACAGAAAACCAAGTTTTTGGGATGCACTTTTAGCAATTGATCTCACGTGATTTTCCCAAGAAAGGTTATTGCTGATACTAATACCAAGCATCGAAATGGAGGTCTTCAAAGGTATGTTTACTCCTGACAAGCTTATGTTGGGCACAGTGTAATCAGCTTTTCTAGAGAAAAGGCATGCTTTCCTTTGTTTGCATTGAAATCTACAAAGCCCATATTTATGTTGTCAAGATTTGTTCCTCGTTCGTTTCCGATTTGCCTGGCTGGTATTGGAGCCCTGGAAGAGAAGGCGGTATGGAGGGTAATATCATCCGCGAAGCTGTGTACTGGACATGAAGTTGCTTCCATCAAATCGTTGATATGGAGTAGAAATAGTGTTGGTGCTAGAATTGATCCTTGCGGAACACCAGCATTTTTGATAAAAGAGTCAGATGAAACTCCGTCGACCACTACATGGAGATACGTGTTTAAGAGAAAACTAGCTATCAAGATGCTTGACGAAAATTCGATCGATGTCACAGTGTCACCTTATTGATTTTACCAAAAATGTCTCCTGTCCTAAATATTGATGTTCACTAGTGATTTGTCATTGAGAATAGTTATTTATGTACCAAGGACGAAACACTGTCTATTATAGTTGAGTCTGCAAATTGATAGCCGAGGTCTTAGTCGAAGCAAGCCCTGTCCATTGAATTCGTTCTCATTCGCAGTTTCCTGGAACACAGAAATATTGAGAAATAATAAATCTTTAGAACAAAAAAGCCACCTGAATCGATTGAATGCTTCCATAGATGAAAATGGACTAAATTAGAATCTGGTTCAGACCAAATATCAGTTACGAAATGTGTACTAAGCATTAGTTTATTCTCATAATTATGACGAATAATGTATTATAATGGGTTGATGATACTTACTCTGTTAGAATTCTGATTTTTCAAAAAAGAATCATAAAGTTAATTTTCAATCTTGATTACAGGGAAAGCTGTCGACCAATATTCAACACAAGTTCCAAAAAAATATACAATAATGATCATTTTACGTGCAATAAATATCTCTTGCATATACCTAGACACCGTACTAGCCTATATGAAAAGAGCCATTTTTATATGGAGGTAAAGTTCATCTGCCCATGAATGTAACTATGAATGAAAACCTCAATAAGTTGGTGAATGATCTCTCTCTGAATGGAAACAACTGTGTTTCTACCTGTTATGTGTGAAATGTATTACTTTTTCATCTATTTTTTTGGTACATGTATGTATGTATGAACGTTGTTTCATTTGACCTGTCCAATATTACTTTGTGATCAGAAGGATTAATGAATTATTATTCTTATTATTATTATCATGCATTTCAACTCACCTTCCAGCCAAACATGAGCCGTAGTACGCAAGCTCGGCATCCCTCGATCGGTCGCCACCACCACAAAGTGATACGCCTGCTTCTGCTCGCGATCCAGAACCCTCCTCAAAAACAGAGACCCGTCCTCCTCACTAACGTAGAAATAATCAGAACTGTTCGCCTCGTCCTTTTGTAGGGAATAAGATATCTCCCCGTTCTTCCCTGCATCTTCATCCGTCGCGCTAACGCGAAAAATCAACGAATCGGGCCGGGTGGCCTCCGACATGGATACCTCGTAGTTGGCCTTGGAGAACTCGGGGGCGCAATCGTTATAGTCCAAGACCGCTAAAATGACAGGAACGTCAATGTGGACACCAGTTTTGGCGTCAGTCGCGCGCACTTCCAGCTTGTGCTCCGTCTCTTTTTCATAGTCTAGCTCGTCCACCAGAAATAAAGTGCCGGTGTGAGAATCAATGGCGAATTTGTCCATGTCGTTGCCTTTGTGGATGGTGTAGATCAGATCGTGATCGAGCGGCGATATGGCTTTTATTGATAGCGGTAATGGTGTGTGCGCTTCGGTGTTCTCTGATACGTTTCCGAAGTAGAATTGTTGTTTGAACGTCGGCATCGATTTGTTCACGACTTTTATGTGTACGGTGGTGTCGGTTCTGCACGGCGTCATGCCTGGAAAATAACGCATCATCGTGACGTCATTGTGAGCTTCTGACGAATGAAACTCTGGGACATTTTCATCTCAGGCAACTATGTATCGAAATTCCTCGGTATATTTATTGATAGTAATTCAAAGTTTGACACACAAATTAATGCACTGAAAAAGAAATTGTCTTCTGGTTGCTTTGCCGTGAATGTCATATCTCGTGAACTCGGATTTTCAGCTTCAATGACCGCATACTATTCACTCATGGAGAGTCATCTTAGGTATGGAATTCCATTTTGGGGCTCTGCCTGCCAGGTTTTATTGCAAAGTATATTCGTCATTCAAAAAAGGGCTATAAGAATAATATTCAAAAAGAGGATTCGCGACTCGTGTAGGCCAATTTTCTGCAAATATAAAATACTAACAATATTCGAAATTTTTATTATAGAGACTGTTTGCTTGCTTCACAAACATAAAGAAAAGTTCTTGAATCGAACAGAAAGGCATACACGAAAGGAGATGATACTTTTCCTTCCACTCCCCACATCAACTTTGACCAAGCATTCTCAAATCTATAGAAGTAGACAGATATATAATCATTTACCGAAACAAATAACAGCAATCAATGATCAGAAGCAATTTAGGAAATCGGTAAAAAACCTTGTGATGGGAAAGTGCTTTTATAGTTTGGAAGAGTATTTTGCATATGATTTCTAGTTTTTTATATAAATGTTACTATCTACATCAAGATTTTAATGACCTGTAGTTGTGAAAACACGTTTGTACCGTACCGTATTATACCCTTTATGTAAATATTTTTTAGTCTTGTTTCTTTTACAATAGTTCGTTTTTTATATATATGTTATACCTTTGTCGACGAAATGTAATACATTTTAGACAATAAAGATTATTCTCTCTCTCTCTCTCTATGTTTCACTCAATGCGTCGTGAAGTCAGTAGTTATGAGTGGCAAATTTCGACGGTTCGAATGAGACTGGATATTTGTGAAAAATAATGGGATTGAATGCATTAGAGTGAAGATCAAGATGGTCAAAACAATTTTAAATCTAGCAACTGAATATCTTATTGACTATATCTCACTGTTTAAAATTTTTCTATATTTATTCATATTTGGATTTCTCAACTATAAGCAATAGCACAGTACTTTTGAAAAGGAATATTTTCAGATATATTATGAACATGAAAAAAATGGATTGGTACATATTAAGAAATACATCGAGAGTTTGCATTCTCTATCTGACAAAAATATGAATTCTTTCTCGGTATATTCGACAGAAAACAACTACTTTCCTGGCTATTTGCCTCGTAGAACATTGTAGTTTTAGTTGTATTATAGAGATGAAAATTGTGTACTTTATGAATAACGGCTGAAAGATTAACTGGATATTTGACACCTTCCTAGCCCACCTCACATTACGAAATATTTTAATGAATATGACAAACTTCCAGAGTCTATAGTACACAAATATAGTCAACTTTAAGTTCAAATCTCAATCTCAAGTTTTCGGAAACATTGCAATCATCAGGAGAGATTTAGTCATAAAAATATACAAATGATTGCAGAAGAGGTGATAATTTTATGAAAATATGAGTGTATCAAAAATATTTATGAAGATCACCGTCAAAAACATAAATGCAAATGACAGCATGGGTGCCTGCTTTTCAACATAGAATTGAGGAGTCCAGCCTAGAAGTCAATCCTTTATACAGATTTTTGACAAAAAAATCTCTGATGATGATGGCAATGTTGCCCAAAACGTGAGATTTGATTTCAAGGATAACTATATTTGTGTACTATAGCCTTAGGCAGTTTGTCATAGTAAGTATTCATTTTTCATACGACTTGCACAACAAGTATAGAAATTGTCAATTTAGGATAAAAACAGTAATAATATTATAACTAGACACTAGCCCAAGATCTAGGAGAAAAAAAAAACAAACAAACAGAACTGTTTACAAATAGTTATGTATAAAACAAATATACTCTAGGGCGAATGATACAAATTAAAATAAATCATCAAAATATTCCGTGAGAGAGTAGTAGCTTTCATTTTTGAGGAATAATTTGCACATATACATCATAGTATTACAAATTACATACCACCTTTTTCTGAACTTGGAAATATAGTAAATTCGTGCTCACCTTTGTCGTAGGCAGCCACCAGCAAATCGTACCCCTCATCGAACCCCTCCAACCTTTGCTTGATCTCGACATGTCCGCTCTCGCGCCTGACCTTGAACAGCTCCCCCTGCCCTTTGATCAGCTCGTAGCGCACCTCGGCGTTCTCCGCCACGTCGGCGTCTAGGGCCTTCACCCGCGCCACGACGCTGCCCTTCTCGTCGTCAACCGATACGACGCCGTAGTAGGGAAGGTCGACAAACTGGGGGCAGTTGTCGTTGATGTCCAGGACATTGATTCGCACTTTGACGTGGGTGACCTTTTATATAAATAATTTACTCAAAATAACTTATACATCTTTGGAAGTTTTATATTCCTACAGATGCATGCTGAATCAAAAGTTACGTAAACAATTGTCTGAGAGGCTGCTGTCTTTTCTGGATGCATCGTTTAGATACAAAATACAGAAAGTACAAAATTACTGCGTTCGAATCATTATTGGTATCAGAAAATATGATGATGTTCGTCAAAAATTGAAAGCTCAATTTGCTTTACATGGAAAGTCGTAGAAAGTTACACTTGACAACTTATTTACAGAAAGTGATGCTTATAGGTCCTGAAGAGATAAAAAGTATGCTGGTTTCCTGGTGTCAAGCCCATTCCGTGAATATAAGAAATAAGACATCTATAACCATACCACATTATTTGACAACTCTGTTTCAGAAAAGATTCACTTACAAAGCTGTCAAATTGATAAATTCATTACCTGCCATTATGATAGACCTTAGTAAGTCTGCTTTCAAACATCATTTCAAGCAAAAATCTTATCGGACCTATCGATCTAATTAAGTTCTGTGTAATGTAATTTTTACATAATTACATAATCATTACATACTCTTTTCTTACATGCTATCTGATATGCAGATCATTATGGGGTTAGATGTAAGAGTAGCATAGCTAAATATCGTTTATTTTAATGATCATTAAAATTCTATTTTTTTATCACATCTTTATAAATGAAGTCGATTTAGGGCCGATTTCATAGCGGGTACTCATAGCTCGTCTTGTTAAATGATCCTTTAACCTTTGATCATTTTAGTTAAAGTGCCAACTAAGCATTTTTTCAATAGTGATGATTTCATGATCACTTGATAATTTAACTCAATGACCAAATAATGAAGATTAGCAACGTTGATATACCTGAATAGATCAGTTACTCGGGCAATAAAAACTATGAAGTCATGTTGAACTATTCTTATTTGGTCTTAGTCAGTCAGTACGGATGTTATCGGTGCTTATAGTGAAGATAAGAATAAAAAACTAGCGAAACGACATTAGAGGACGTAAAGGACGAAGAACTACTTCTTGTTGAGGAAGTAGAAGAATTGAAAATTATTAATGAATACAAGACTACTGACGATGATTGGCGATGATTGAAAAATTAGGTAACGCTGTCCCTAGTACGTTAATTTAGTGTTTTGAATGCATATACATATGAATTTTGATGTTTGGCCGAGACTAGAAATACCCAATTTTTGAGTTGTTCTACATAAAAAAAAGCTATTCTTGAACCAACTAGTATTGATTCATCTAGACAATTAGGGGTTTCTCTCCTTGTCTCTATAGATAACAATATTAAATAAATTAGAAAAACACCTCCACAGATTTTTCTGCAACGAAGTAGCAATACAAAAAGCAAAGACTTCATTATCAAGAATTAAGTGTGAAAAGTAGAATATTCTTCATCTTCCTTTTCAGAAATTTTTCAAACAAAGCGCCACTGACTAGCAATTGAATGTGCCTCTTAGGTTTCTAATTGACAAATTTCTGATTCGCCCTACTACAGGTATATTGAAATAATGTCAAAAGTTACATTTATAGATGTAAAAAAAATCTAGAAAAAAGAATGTTCAATCAGTATTTCCACAGAATTGAAAAATTACTTTTTGTCCTTGATAGACTCATCACACTAAATCCGTATACCAATGAAAGAAGAGTTAGTCATGTTGAAATTGACAGGTTTATTTGAATGTTCACATGAACTTAGGGTATTTTAATTCTGTGATGAAAGGTCACTGCCCACAACGTCAGATTACATTTATTCATCGATTTCTGAACTCATTGAAGGCGGTTTGTAGAATTGTTTCATACAAAATATCTAGTAGTTCCTTCATGTTCCTTGGGATCACACTGAACACTCATGAATAAACAATCAGGTGAGGATTAAAATTGGATTTTGCCCCTGGACGAAAGGAAAGTATTTTATCTACTCACTGAATCGAAAGAAGGCGTTTGCTTCCCATTTAAGGAAACAAAGTTGTCAATTTACTCCCACGGGAGGAGAGAAATATTTACTCCCGTGGGAGGTAAAATAAATTGGCTTCAGCATGCATTCTTTGGCATCGATATACCTATAAAATTAGCGCAATCCAAGTTTCAATGTATATCACTATTATAAAACAAATAACAATAATATCCTTTTTGAACTCCAATGATGTCATATGCTTCTTAATATTCCGAACGTATTTATAATCAAAACTTTCAAATGCAGTTACACAATATGAAACTCATTTAATTAATGATGACAGAAGTGTCAAATTGAATTTCATTCAAATTCCGTCAATTGTCCATGGCATAGAGGTAGACCGCCTGAAGCACAATTTCAAGAATGATGCTTCAAAAAATTGAGTTCATTGATAAAATCATATATATATCTTGGGAGCAAACGTTCATTTCCTCCCATGTGTGATTAATGCCCTCACTACGCGTCATGCATCAAACTTCACACGCGGGAGGAAATGGATAGCTTTCCTCCCTTGATATATAAATAGCTATTAACCCATTTTGCATTTTGCACACCATCTGGATGAGCTAATTAATCTGCATGAAATATAAATTTTTGCATTTCTCTAGTTACAGATTCAAAGTGGACACTACTATGGAAAATTGCTATTTCCAATGGTTCACAGCATGAGGAGAAAATTCCTTGAAATCTATGAGAATATGCCTCGAAAAATGTTAACACAGCAAAAGTTCTCTTTAAAGAAAATATAAACAACGTTTGTTGCTCCACTGTAAGTCTGATTTGATAAATATGAAATATCACAGCATCAAATTCTGATAGAAAAGGTTTATTAGCACTTCACTAGTGGTGCTTTTTTAAGTGAAGTATATACATCTATTGAACGAATGTCTTATTGCTCAAATCGAAATTTATCGTGGCAAAAAAATTCAAGAAATGTCTCACCGGGTCTCATCAGACGCTCTCGGTCTGCTGACAACTGGGACAACTCTACGCTTCGGGTATATCACCCATTCCCGCAGGGTATAACATGAAGTTATAGTCATGTTGAAGCCATCTGGTGGCAAAGCTCTAAGGTAGGATCCAGAGCATTTGAGCAGGTCGGTGGATAGATCCACTCAAGTATGTCAGGTAGTGCCATCTGTCAGCAGAGTGGTTTACTTGTAGTACCACTCTGTAGCGTATAGACGTAAGGGTCTGTACGTGTGACTATAGATGGCGACGCCATACAGTGTGTGTCGCGATCTCTGGATCCTACCTTAGAGCTTTGCCACTAGATGGCTACAACATCACTATAACTTCATGTTATACCCTGCGACTTCTGGAGGGTTGGCTCCCAGCCAATGAATAAAACAGCGCAACATCAAAGATATCAAATGATCAAATTAGATGCCATAAAATACCTTAGTGTCCCCATTGAATGACTTGCAAAGAGCCTCCACGATCAACTCGTACACATCCTCCGCCTCCCTATCGAACTTCACGCCTGTGGTCTTGATCACTCCCGAAGTGGCCCCGATCCTGAACAAATCCGTCGGATTCAGAATCCTGAACAGCACGTGATCGTTCAACTCGCTACCCAACAAATTCACCACGCACACGTACGTCACCTTGGTCGAATTTTCCACAACGGTGCCCTCGTACAAGGCCTTTTGGAACTTGAAATCCGAGTACTCGGATTTGTCAGAATAAACGTAGACTTTGGCAACGTCGGAGAATTTGCCGTCCGAGACGCGCACGAGCAGTTTGTGCGAGTGTTTGAGGTTGGCGGGGAGGGCGAGCGTGATGAGGCCGCTAATGGGGTTGATGTGGAAAGTGTTGAGGTTGTTGCCGTCGATGATGTCGTACTTCAGATCCTCACCGTGTGGACTGTCGAGATCTGAGTAAAATAATAATAACGGTTATTTACTATACAAGGAAAAAAAGTAGTAGATTTTAGCTCAATGTTGTGTTGCCTCCAGACGCGTAGCGTGAGATAAAAACCAATATTTTCCCCGTGTATAATACACTATTGTTTCCTGTGATAGAAAATTTGGAATGGAAGATGAAAGGACTCGCAGTTCTTTCTCGGAGACGGTGTTATTGGCTTATTTTTCGGAAGAGCGCGGCTTCTGAAATTGGTTATTTTATATCGAATTGAAGAAGTGCGAACTTTGCTATATAACATATAATGTAAAAAGGTGTTGCAGCATCAATAAAAGCCATATTATTATTATTATTATTATCATCTAGCACAAAAGACGCCACCAACAGTGTATATATAGATCTACTCGCCAAAGAAGACCGCGGACGACAGGGACAGGATGAAGACGTTCAGTACGCTGAGCATAGAGTATCTAAACAATTCGGCTTTGCAGATTACGTCGCTTTCATCAAGTTATGAACGATATGACTGACTGCACATTTGAGCTGATAGTTGCGTTCCATTTATCCGATTCCGCCACCGGAATCACTTCAATGTGTCGTTTTATTTGCAACTTTTCCGATTCCGGTTGCTACTTTTTATTTCGTCAAAAAATGAATTTAGGTTGATGAAAAACGTTGAAAGTAGGAGATGATTAGAAGGTATTTTCATCTTGAGGTTCCCCAGTTCATGATTCTTCCAAGTAAGACAGGTTTCAAATCTTCATTCCCAGATAAAATGAATTCTCTAGATCTCGGAGAACTTTCTCCAATCAGCAGAAGCACTGCTCCAGATATGCGTTCATTTATTTTCTTGATCTTCAACTCTAGTATTATTATTTTGAAATTATTCGGAGCCAGAATATATAGTTTTAACCTCTATCATCTACCATAATGGAACAAATAGAACGCAACGGATGATTTCTACCGAGCGCTTGGGATTCTGTTTTTGAATCGACAATGAGTTGATAACCGCAACATTTATATTGTGCTCTGGGCTCACATTCTTTCCGCCGGTCATCTTTTACGAGCCATACTATATATATTCGGGAAAAAGTACTCACTTTTTTTCCGTGGGAAAAAGTAATTCATGAAAAGTGACCTTTTATAACGTGTCAACATAGATGAAACGTCAAATATTTTCCCGTCACGAAAAAAATACTTTTTTCCACCACTAGATATAGAACCTATCATTACGTACTCCTTTTCAAGGCGTGAAGTGTGTTTTCAATACCAAGGTACTTTTCGGCATTTTATGTACCACTACACTTTTTCCAGTTGTATTTGAGAAATTGTATTGTATTTTGGATTAGTCTGAAATACAATTGACGTTTTCTGAAATTCAATTGACAATTCTGAAATACAAGTGACTATTCGCGATAGAAAATAACACGTCGCACCACCTGACGTCAACATTCAAACACTTTTAAGCGGTTTGTTTTCATGAATGTGACCAATAAGTATAAATAAAAACCCAAATGTGAACAAATGAAAACACAGAAAACAGACCGCTTTGACAGCTTGCAAAACAAAAACTTCGACAGGTGGCGTAGGCTCATTTTCTATCGAGTAACTTCGTCACCATATCTAATCTACTCACTCTAGTGATCTTGACTCATTTTTTCAGCTCATGTGAATTATTTCTAGCAGCGTATGAATAGTAATAAATTGAGGGGCAATTTGATCAGATCACTGGTATGTCTACTTACCTGTCGCGTTGACTTGCGCCACTGTGATATTCTTGTAGGTCGGCAGCAGCAGGGTGACGTTGTAGATGGACGCTTTGAAGGCGGGCGGACAGTCGTTGGTGTTGACCACCTCGATGTCGACCTTCGCCATGGTGTCGGAGAACAATTTCGGTGTGCCTCTGTCGGACACTTGCACGTGAAAGGAGAAGACGGCCCGTTGTTCGTAATCCAATGGCTCGATGTTTCTCACAGCTCCCGTGTTCGAATCTACACAATCCGATATTTAGTCCTTATTATACAAAATGACACAGAACGTGCCTTTTTACTCTAACTTTCAAACGACCTAGGGAGTGGCCCTGCATTTTCTTATTTTGTGTTCAAGCTACATCTAATCCTCACATTTCCTTTTTTGTGAGGTGCAAGGGTAATAACAATATCTCTGAAAATGTAACGGATATGAACATGACCAACGACTTGAGAACAAACTGCTGCAATTCCTCTTGGCCTCCCAAGGGCCTCTCAAACATGTTCAATTGTGTTCATGTCGGGGCTTAGAAGAGACTAATTCATCACTATAAAAACGTATTCGATGAATGGCGCAAAAGAAAACGTCTCTTATACACCTATTGGCTGCCATGGCTTCTCTATTCACTATCTTGTTCTGATGACGAATCCGATGATTCGCCAACCATCAATTATGGGGTAATTAGAACTTCTACTCGATAACACCAAAATGTGTCCCCTCGTCTTTTTCACAATAAAACAGGAATGTGAGGATTGAGAAAGAATTATGTAGCGCCTAAAGAAATTTTCACTTCACCCAATTATGATGAAAAACACAAAGCCTCACCTATTTCGAAGTACTTCCTCGGCAAATTCTCGACGATGTCGAACAGCAACAGCGCGTTCTTGCCGGCATCCGCGTCGGCGGCCTTTACGACCAGCGGCTCGCCGCCGTCGGCGAGAACCAGCGAGTGCGCAGGCGCCGATTCGCTGATTGAACCAGAGTAGGAGAGATTGAGGAAGCGCGGCGGGTTGTCGTTTCTGTCCAGCACATGGACGATCACCCGGCACGGCGCCGAAATAGAGGCCTGCAATCGAGATTTTGTCTCAATACTCGCGTGCGTTAAAGTGTACATTATCGCACTGACTTGCGTGCCAAAAATGGCCCCTCATCTCACTAGTGAGTTAAATTACGTTTTCAGATACTAGTAGCACACAGGGTCTCTCATAAGTATAATGCTGAAAATAAGAATCACTGTACAACAAATGTCAGTTTATTGTTTATATCTAGTACGGAATGTAGAGGATTCACTAATAGTTCACTAAATTTTGAACCGATTTCAGAGTGTTTAATAAACGAGTGTCTAGAAGGGTTTATAAACGCGTTACATACTATACTTTTTCTACGAACTCATAATTCCTCTCTTAGAAGATCCCATAATTCCGAAAATTAGATTAACCCACCTGCTAACCTACAAAATAATTCAAAGGAAATGGGAAGTTAGAACATGATACATAATACTATGCAACTGCATGCAACCAACGAGACACTTATGAGTAATATTGGTAGTAGATGTGTACAGTCCATAGGATACAAGAATTTCTATCAAAAGATAAAAACTCTTTGATTCGCTGAGGTATCAAATTTTTCGATTTCTCTGGTTTGTATCCATATTCTGATTGCATAATTATTGCTTGCATAAATGGTGTGTTTTACGTTTATTGTCTTGCTTAGCATAAAATAAATTGCCCGCAAAGATGAGAGCTTCATTTTTCCACAGAATTCTTGGAAATATGCAAGTATCTAAAACATTCTCTTCGATTTCACTTTTGTCTACATTTCACAAACATTCTTAATGAAGAATTATGATACAAAGAGAATTTGTTTCAATAATTCTAAATTCAACAAATTTCGAAGATTACAGTTGATAGTTCCTACAATTGATAGGCCGAACAGGACATGACTTAATCGACTAGATGTGTTTAAAAACTTGTGTTGCCATGGTAACATGTTCAAGAAATTGTGTTGCCATGGTCACGTGTTTCATTTTTTGAATAAATCACAGATCTTCAATCCGTGATTAATCGAACATTTAGCGTGGTACATATCCGTACGCTAGATGCAAATTTAGTTATGTTTGTAGAAAAATATACTATTACACTTTTAGGGCTGGTTAATCAATCATTAGCTGAAATAGCTCACATTGACTAATAGTCGAAGTCATTGTCAAAGCACCTACTGTTTATTCACTGCATATCAATCTTCCAGCTAAGTAGCTTCGAGTTATATATATCTACTCAGCAAGTCAGAGATGTCAATTGGTAGGAACTTATGAACGCCTGATTCAACAAACCATAACATGACCTCACTTACCGATGAAAACTTGAATTTGGGTTTAGAATATCCATCCTTCTGCAGGAATGCACCCTTATTCACTAAATATTGTTGGCAAAAGTCACAAGAAGTAACATCGCAAATATATCACAAATGAATCACAAATAAACAATAATGAGTCATCGAAGATTGGGCGATGTTGAAATAGCAGTAATAGCACAGAACGTAAATCTCCTAGAACCTGTAGAATGTTACCAGTGCGGCATTGTCAAAAGTGCTTGAATCTCAAAGAGACTATAATTCATAAAATAGGAATGAAAAAACAATAATTATGCTTCAGTAAAGCATGTATCAGTAAAGCAAAATTATTGTTTTGTGTTGAATCGTTCAATCCATTGCAAAACTTCATGCTTTGATAAAAAATCATTGAATTTATCAAATACATATTTTTAGGAAAAGAGATGGAAAAGTGGGGATCTAACAATGAGTGATGGAGGAACAATGTAAATAATGTATTCTCTGGTGGTTAAACGTCTTTGGTTATTTTCGACCAAATGAACAAAGCTGTGATTTTATTTATGATTTTGAGACCTAGAAAACAATTCCACATCAATTTTGCAAATGTTGATATTGAAAACTAGTATGAAACATGAAACGAATACCACTATGCAAAAAAAAGAAAATCAATAAATCCTACCATATTGGTCGCGATGACGGATAAATTGTAGAACTTGGTGGTCTCGTAGTCCAAATGCTTGAGGATGGTGATGACTCCGGTACTGGGTGTTATCAAAAAGGCTCCGTCGACGTTACCTTCGATGATTTTGAATTGCAACGAAGACGTACTTCTGACGTCCAAATGAGCGACGTAGCTGAACAACGGCAGGTCCTCATATACTTCGGCCACTATTGAACATATTATTTGTTATACATACAGCAGTGACGGCTCGTGCCCTCAGAACCTGGGTCGGCCAGGGTATAGATATTGCTCTAAAATGCGAACGTAAGTGGGTCAGCGGCTTGAGTGAAGTTCGATGGCAAATAAGCATGTACAGGGTGATTCACCATAATTGTCCTTTCTCCCTCTAGCTCACTTATTTTTGACCCGATTAAAAAATTTGAAGGATGATCTAAAATGATTTCTCAGAATTTTTTTCCCGTTGCATCAGGAAATACAGGGTGCTCGGAACAAATGATCTACAGGGTACTACTCGATTTTTCCAAATCGAACACCCTGTATTTCATTGTATTTTTAGATTCTTCCTGAAGAGCTGATTTCATCAATGCATCACACTTGGGGTCTAGCGGGAATGATAACAGAGATATAGGGTGTTCAAAATCGAGATTTTTCAAGTTTAGGATTTTTTTGTCTCGAAACTATTCATTATTGGTCGAAACGGCTCCTATGTTTCCATCTTAATTTTTGATTAACTGTCTATTGAGATTTGATTGGAACATTTACAGGGTAGTTCAAGATTCAGAATTCTGATCACCCTGTATCTGTTCCAATTATTAAATGTCAGTAGATTGTAAATCAAAAGTTGAGATATGGACATGAAAGCCGTTTTGACCGATGATGAATAGTTTCGTCTCAAAAAAATCCTAAAGTTGAAAAATCTCGATTTTGAACACCCTATATCTCTGTAATCATTCCCGATAGACCCCAAGTGTGATACATTGAGCAAATCAGCTTTTCAGGGAGAATCTAAAAATACAATGAAAAATAGGGTGTTCCATATAAAAAAATCAAATGGTACCCTGTAGATCGTTTGTTCTGAGCACCCTGTATTTTCTGATGTAGCGGAAAAAAACTCAATCAAAAATCATTCAAGATGATATTTCAAATTTTGAAATCGGTTTAAAAATAATTGAGCTAGAGGGAGGGACATTTATGGTGAATCACCCTGTACACATAACCAAAAAATTAAATTGTCCAGCAAGAACCACGAGCAGGGCCTGATTAACCATTAGGCTGATTAGGCTGCAGCCTAGGGCGCGAAGATCGGGGGGGCGCGCAAGACGCGCTAAAATCGTGTCTTCGCATGCACTAATCTAGCATCATTGCATCTACCCTACATATTTCAACTAGACCGAGACAAAACAATAAAACTAAATGCGCTTGATAGTCCTTGATTTTAACAATGAATTTTGAAATTTCGAAAAGCGCGCGTAAGAAGAAGAAAGAAACAAAAATATCATTTTGATGAAGTTAAAACGGGGCACATTGAGTTAGAAGGAAGACGATCTTTCATCGTTGATAATTATTATACAGCTATTGATTGTCTTAAAGTGTATTTAAAAAACCAGCCAATTATTCATAATACAGTAAACACAAAGTTTGGTTTCTTATGGAAACTGCATGAACTAGACGACAGTGAATTTATTAGAAGCAGAGCAAAGGAGTTGAAACAACTATATGCTACTGATTTAGAAGAAACCTTTGCAGAAGAATGCGTCCATTTGGCGCAGTTTTTTAAAATCTGACACCGAGGTCGAGCGTTCTCTTTCTGCCAGAACCCCAAAGGGTTTGTTGCAGTTTATAAAAAGTTTTAATATTTTAAGCATGTTCCCGAATGTGGAGATGATATTAAGAATTTCTTTGACAATGAGTGTTACCAACTGCAGCGGCGAAAGGTCTTTTTCAGCACTGAAGAGAGTAAAAAATTACTTACGCTCCACACTCCGCCAGCAAAAGCTTGCAGCGCTCTCTCTAATGTACATAAAAAGTGATATTCTTCAAACTATCGAATTTGAAAAAATTGTGAAAAGATTTGCAAACGCTAAAGCAAGAAAAAAGAACTTATTATAAGCAAATGATAATTACTCAATTATTATAATTTTCAAATAAAACATTGATCAGTTGCAAAAATGTTTCACTTGTATGATGCCTCTCGTCTTTAAGATTACAGAAATTTAAATATATAAATAATACTTCAAGTCGAAAACTTTTATAGGTAGTATGAACCATGTCAAAATTTGTATACTAGTAAACAAAGTCAAGACTAATATACTACTCAATACTCATGGCTGGGGCGCGTCCTCATAATTAGCCTAGGGCGGTCAGAACTCTTAATCAGGGCCTGACCACGAGGTTAGAGCATTCTCGCCAGGGGAAATGGGGAAAGAAAAAGGAGGTGGATAAGGGTTAGTTGGTATGAAAAAATAATAACAAGAAAGTCGAAAAAATAAAATGAAAGAAAATAAAATAACTCGTGAACAAAAAATATTTATATTCTGTTGAAAACGTAATGTAAACTCAAAAAAATCAACATAACCGACAACCACTCACCTAACGCGAGTAGCACAACAATGACTAATCGGTCTACGCCGTTCCTGTAACAAGCCACCCCACTGACCCCACTCCTTCGTAGTCGGCTGGCCGAGCCCGCGTGCAGGGTGCAGCCGTAGGTATAATGTTTCCCGCGATGCATGCATAAATATTATTTAGGTAGTTTATAAACGCTACATGCGTCTTTGAAAATAAATGATATTCTGGAAGTTATACATTTATTACATTTTCGTCACCAGAGCTTTTTTACGATGTTTCAATACCTACTCAGCTCTTGGGCTGCTGACATTTTTCTTGCCATATTACCTACATAGGCAGATGCACAGTAGATTACATTACAGCAATATTCAAATTGAATTATAACTTATTGACGCTCAGAAGCACTGAAGGAAAATTCTGATACCAATATTAGATGGATATGTTGAATTATGAATTACTGAAAAATTGCAAATTCAAAAATCACCAGTCATTTTTACTGCAACTACTGCAAGCGTAAACAAAAACATGGAAATTATTTTTCTTTTCAGTTTGTACATTTCAAATTCCAACATCAACTTACAAATAAGTATAGGAATTAAAATTATAAATACCTACAATGTAAAATGAAAATAGAATGTCAATCATGCCAATCCGTATATTAAAAATTAGGTCGGAATGGTTCGATACGGTGCACAGCGAGCGCACTGCAAACAACTGATACTGATAAGTACGATCGATACGTTGGACGGCCAGCAGAGCTTGGCCGCACCCAAGGTATGACGCGTATAAGCGAAAATTTAAACTTGAAGCGGGGAATCTGTAGGCGATGCATGTGGCGATGCGTCGAGACAAGAAATCACCGATCGGCCGGCCGTCTGCATCAGTGTAATGAGCTACGCGAGCGGTTCAACTGAAAGCGGCGTTTTGACGATGGGATTACCAGATGTCGTAGGTCCTGAATTAGTTCGTGATTTTCGGTGTATATGCGGATGGCATACTCGAAGGTTCCATGAATGAAATTCAAATAATAGTGGCATAACAGTAGGATAATGAGCGATGAATTATGAAAACAGTTTCGGAAAATAATTTTATTCATCAAATAGTTCAGTAATTTTCCCCAAATTATTTGGTACGGCCCGGCCGACCCTGCCGTCCCTGACGAGCCGTCACTGACATACAGGGTGTTTCCAAAACATTATTTTAATTTATTTTATTTAATTCTCATTATTGTGTGAATTGATTATTTGTTTTCAGTTTAAGTATTAATATTGCGGAAAAATAATTTTATACATGGAATAATTCATCTCTTTCACATACAGGCCACTAACCTATGTGACGGAGATACAATATGAAATATATATACATGTGATTAATATTCAATGACAAAATGTAGATTTCAATTGATTCAATATAAATAAATAAATAATGAATAAATATAGAGGTTAAATTTGAATTTTTTAATTTTTAACAGGAATCACACGTGCGTTGCAGGCATCTTTTTGCAGGCATACTTATCATTCTTTCGAAGTAATCAAATATCTGTCACTCTAATTCTGTGATTTGATTTTGAAAAATTGCGAACTTTGTGGCTGTTTAGCAATCTACCTAACCGCGAAGTGGAATGGAAAATAAAAGGACTTGCAGTTCTTTCTCGGTGTTATTGGCTTATTTTTCGGAACTAGCACATCAAAAGCCACTAATAGTGTAAAGATATATCCGGGAAAAGTACTCACTTTTTCCCCGTGAAAAAAAGTAATTCATGAAAAGTGACATTTTATAACCTGTCAACATAGATGAAATGTCGAACTTTTTTCCCGTCACAGAAAAATAGTTATTTATTATACAAGGGAAAAAAGTAATAGATTTTAGCTCCGCTACGCGTCGAGAAACAAAAAACCGTGAGCTGAAATCTAATATTTTTTCCCTGTATAATACACTATTTTTTTCTGTGGCAGAAGAAAGGATGAATCAATATTGAGAAGATATTACATTATTTTGTGAGAATCTGAGAATTATCGACGTGAAATTTTGAGTTTTTTGAACAGTAGAGACACCTGCGTTGTAGGTATCTTCATCATTCTTTTGAAGTAATCAAATATCTGATGTCACTTCTTTCAGTCTAATTCTGTGATTTGATTTCAAGAAATTGCGAATTTAGTGATTGTTTAGCAATATACGTAACCGCGAAGTCGAATGGAAGATAAAAGGACTTGCATTTCTTACTCGGAGACGGTATTATTAACTCATTTTTCGGAACTATAGCACAACAAAAGCCATCAACAGAGTATATATATATATGTGATCTATATCCGGGAAAAAAGTAATTGATGAAAAGTGAGATTTTAGAACCTCTTAACAAAGATGAAATGTCGAACGTTTTCCCGTCACAGAAAAAAAAAATTTAACCATACTAAGCTCACATCTCTCTTACCAATTTCCTGGGCGGCAAACTTGGGCGGCGCGTTATCTGCCATAGTGAGAGCAATATGGGCGGGCACCACAGCGCTTAGGGGCGGCTCCCCATGATCCGACGCCTTAATATACAGAATGTACTCCTTGATGGGCGACCGTTCCAAATCCTTCGCAATGCTGACGGTCCCCAAATCGGGATCGACCTTGACCAGGCATAAAAAATTGGCACAATGAATAACTATTAATTATATAATAACTATTTTTTAACATCAACCCGAATACATCAACTAGAACAGCGAAAAAACTGCTTTGTGCTCACTCAACCTCAAATTACTACAACCACTTCATAACTCTTGTCAGTTCACAGCATTTAGCACAATGTTGGCAAGTCTCCAACATTCACATGATATTTTGTCATGGAGAATGAGAAATATTTGGATATGCTGGTTGCTCAAAAAAGTCAAGAATGAACTGAAACATCATGGGTTCCTCCTATCATGTTTTATTCAACGACAGGACTCAAACATCTTTTTGATAGCTTGATTATTATTGGTGACTTGACAACCTTGCTTCAGGAGTGGAAATGGAAGATAATCTGACCAATAACGAAACAGCATAAAAACTGACGTCAACATTCATTCGACGTATCGCCAAATATAATATCGGTCATGACGGTTCGTTTGAAATGAGCTCTGAAATTCAACAATTTCGAACAACGCATAGACTCATTATTTACACAAAAAAATCGTAAGAAGTGTTGCAAAATTTAATTCAGGTTCCTAACGACACAGTGGAGCTATTGAATGCCAATAATTCGCCAAATGATGGGAGAAGAAGTATATTCATCAGTTCTACCTAACCTGACCTCACGTTTCAGTGGTGTGATTATGTATACAATAAATAATGTTAGCTCTCATTGCCAAACAACACGTTTGTATTCTTAAACAATGATAGTTCTCCACACTTTGTATTTTTTTGTTTTACTGAATGATTTGTGCATAAAATAATGTACCCATTTTTGAACTAACCTTTTGTATTCAGTATGTTCATCAAGGTGAATAAATTTCTATTCTATTCTATTTTACAGAGCCCGTCTAAAGTCAGTTCCCCCCTACTAATTTTTGAACCATCTGGTATATAACAACGAAATTTGAAGGGCTCAAATATATCATGAAAACCTACTTTTTTTTAAATGGCAGTTGTAGTTTTGAAATGGCGGTTCAGTGTCATCTTTAATTATTTTTTCATATAGAAAATCCTGCATATTATTTCGGTCTCGAAATCTCTCAAGACTTTTATGTAATAAACACTTGTCTTTTAAACTCGACTGTTTTCAATCAATCAACTTTATTATTCCCAAGACATAACATTTGTTTATAGCAGGGAAAATGGTGAATATATAAAAATATTTGACAAAATAAAGAAGACAGTGAAATAAGACTCACATTCAAGAAGACATATTTTTTTTGAAGTTTAACTGAAAATAATTCTTAATTGACTCAGCTGTTAGGTACCCAATGGAAAACTATAAAAGTTGTACAAGAAAACTAAAAAAATGAAATAAGATGTTAATATTACAGGAGTAGATCTTTCTTGAATTCCTTTTTAAATTTTTCAATCCTATTAATCGGCATCAAGTTATTTGGTAGTGAATTGTATTGTATCATTCCATTGTGATAGATGCATTTTTTACCAATATCTGATTCAATTTTTTTGATCTGCTCGTCTAGTTGTATGGTTGTGGTGATTACTATTAATTTGCCCAGGCAACGATTTTCCAAAGCAAATTTTATTGAAAGCAACATTTGTGTACTTGGGTTGGGTTTGAAATGACTAAATTGTCACTTTTCAAAGGTTAATATTAAGAAAACTATTGAATCTGAGAGTGAAGTATAATCAATAAAACTTGCAAGAATTATAAGATAATTTCGGAAATGGAATAATATACGAGGTGTTTCATTTGAAAAAATAACTCAAATGATGCCGCCATTTACCCCCGAAAAATTTCGTTGCGATATACCAGGTGGTTGAAACATTAGTAATAATAATAATAATAATAAACGCTTTTATTGGTAGAAACAAGAATAAATATACAAAATAGTTACAAAAATATGTGCAGTTCTACCAAAGGGCAGAGTTAGCTTTTGTCTGATCCCTAAGGAAACAGACAAGTGCTTTCTTCCACTCAACCTTAAATATAAATAATAATAGGAAATAACAAAAATTAAAGAAATAAAAAAGAGAGAAACAAAATACAAGACAATTCATTAAACTTATATCTAGTAGAAAATTTTAGCTCTCTATATAGCTACAGCCAATATTAACACGTGATCAGGAAGTGATTTTGGACTTGTTACAACTGCAATTCACAAGTTGAAAGCAGTTTTTTCATACGACTTTTGAAACCCAGGATATTACTTTCCTTCAGAGCTTCCGGAATCCAGTTCTACAGCTTTGAAATCGAGTAAGAAAATGATGATCGATATTGACTAGTGGTGTGAATAGGTGGAGTTAGTCGAGATTTAAAACGGACATTGATATTATGGATATCAGTGCGAAAGGTGATCTTCCGGAAAAGATATGGTGGTTTCTGAGTCGTTACTACCTTATGAAATAGAGTACAGGCATGCAGAATAGTAGGAGGAAAACGGATGTCATAATACCTACCTTGAACACGTTGCCCACGTTCCCGGACACAATAGAATACGTCAACCTCGCATTATCCCCTTTATCGTGATCCACCGCGTAGGCACGCAGCACGGCCGTCCCGACGGCGGCCGTCTCGAAAGCACCGCCTACCAGCAGCTTGTCGAAGAACTGCGGCACGTGGTCGTTGTCGTCGTGGACGGTCAAGTGGAGGCGGGCGAAGTTCTTGCGAGCCGGGGTGCCGCCATCTTTGACGGACACGGTGAGGATGTGTTCGGTGAGGGTTTCGCGATCGAGGCTGGCGGCCAGAGTGATGACACCTGTCGAAGTTCAATTTATTCATGATTTTGTTTTATTTTTTCCAATTCAAAGAACTAAAACGTTTGAAGAAGAAGCAAAAATGCCCAAAGTGGAAAGAAATGTTGAATAAATACTCATAGCTCAAGGTCATTTCCACAAATGTTCATAAATGAACGAAACTGGTAGATGCCGAGAGGAAAACAAGTACTTTTCTGGCTATAAGCCATGCAGAACATTGAATTACATTCGAGGAGCAACTGAGCAAAGCGGTTTGAATCCATAATATATGATTTCGAGTAAAAGATGAAAAACTGCTTGAATCAGATATAATCAAAAACAGATCTTCATTCGGTTACAAATCGAAATGAATAACAATCTCGGAAAGGTTGGATTCAACAGTATATATGCATTTATTCAACTTTTTTTGTTGGATTTATGCCAGTTTGCTCAATCAATGTGTGGATTTATAGCATTTTGCTCAATATCAATGGATTGATTTCGTTTTGCTCGATCAGTTTTTTGATTTATTGCATTCTGCTCAGACGAAAAAATGATTAAAGGTGTCAATTGATGGAAATCATACAACACATGAAACAACTATTTAATCATAAAAATATTTCATTCAAATATGTAATCCCACATCTTCCTGTGATGGTTAACAGAAACACAAAAAATAACAGGAACACAAAAAATCATTCTCAATATTTCTTCAATCAAGATGGCCATTCCTAGATAATTCACTCATCTAAACGAAAACATTTACAGATAACTTCCTTGAGAGCGGGATCATTCACAAAAAAATTTCCTGTGGATTCATTTCAGTGACAACCAGCCGATGGATTTTTGCCAGTTTGTGCAATCATTCATAGGATTTAACGCATTTTGCTCAAATCTCCATTTGCAATATGGCAAATTTAAATTGATCTGAAGCGTTTTGTTCGAAGTGAACATTATGGATTGTGCATTAACGAAAATGTATTACTTCAGTAATATTCACTTAAAAAATGTTAAAAGTGGAATAAATGCTTGCTCAGTTGATCCTCATTTGTCTTGTGTAGTTCGCGAACTGACTATACCTTTTCAACTTCAAATTGAGACTAATCATTTTCAAAATGGGAATAAACATCTTCAAATTAGGACGAAATGATTCAGCATGGATTTAACACATTCAAATTGAAAATAAACAAATTCAAATTGAGACTAATCAATTTAAAATAAGAATAACCAAATTTAAATTGGGACAAAATGACTATAGGCACAGTATGAATAAATCCAAATTCGAACTAAACAAATTCAAATTGAAACCAATCAATTTCAAACTTTTCTATACTTATAATATTGAATTGATTGATTCAGTAGCGAATCTGTTGATAATACAAAACATGAAATTTCGAGAAGGATTTTAATTAGAATCAACTTACTGCAAATTAACATGGAAAAAACGGATATTTATAAGTAGGTATAAAGATAATTGTCATACCTAACCATATCAATGAATTCAGAGCATCAGGAATACAGGAATGAATTTCTGATCATCAGCTACATATCTAACGAAATTATTTATTTCTATTAAATTCTGTACAACGATGTGATGCTCTTCAGTTATTATGGTCCTCCTTTCTCTTCCCCGTTGTTTCTCTATCTCGTCCCGATTCTTCACAATTCTTCTTGACAATTCCTTTCTCAATTTGAAGTTGTTTGGTCCCAAATTGAATGAGTTTATTCTCATTTTGAGATTATTAATCAACTTAAATATGTTAATTCTCAATTTGAAACTGTTTATTCTGAATTTGAATATGATTATTCTCAGTTTGATTGTGTTTATTCTCATTTTGAATCGATATACAAATTTGGATGTGTTAAATTCTAACTGAAAATCAAAGTTGCCCAGCAACCAGCAGGGTTGACAAACATTTGTTTCCATGGATATCATGATTAATCAATCAATCAATCAATCAATCAATCAATCCATTTATTGTTTTCTAAAAACTTACAGTTTTATAAACAAGAAGTTTACACAGTTATATCAAATTCCTATACTTGTAATTGTATACCTATATAAGTACAAAATTTACGTCCGGTATTTTATAAGTAAGAAATAAGCAACCTATTTGAAGATGTGCATTGTACATAGTTTGTGTTCTTAAAAGCAGAGTACTAACGTATCTATCCAAAACTAGATAAGGCCAACCTTGATGAACGACCTACTTGATATATAACTGGACAACAATTAACAATTCAGCGAATAATATATTTAAAAACAGAGCAAAAGTGAGAAAACTTGTTACAGGATTAGCATTTCATTAGCATTAGATGTCGTTCTTGTGCAATTTCAAAACTCAATGACACATAAAGAATCGTGGTCTACGTGGAACGTCAGTCCAGTAACAAAAAAGTGTCATGCCATAATATTCATAGAATATATCTAAATTCTACATTAAAAAGTGAGATTTTCATCATTTTTGCTAATTAATATTTCACAGTTATTAAATTAAGTGATTATCCTGATGGAGTAAAAATTTGATGAAAGCATCGCTAATAGCATTCAGCCGTTTCACAAATGTGAATCATAGTAAGCCCTGGAAATAGAAAGTATGTCATGTAAATTTGTACTGACACTGACTTTTTGATATTTTTTCCACAAAAATATGGATTGAAATCGGTTGTGAAATGTGTATTTTATAATTCTTTGTATGACCCTTCTATGCTTGTGAAACAATGAAATAGGTCCAATAAATGAGGAACCTAAGAAAATAGTATTTAACCGTTTCAAAAAAGTGGATCATAGGAAGCCCTGGAAATAGAAAGTGACATGTACATTTTTACTGGCACTGACTTTTTGATGTTTTTTCCAATGGAAAATAAATTGAAATCAGTTGAAAAATGTGCTTTTGTACCCATGACATAGTTAGTCCAATAAATAAGGAACCTAACAAAATATAGTGACCTCAATTTCGCAAGAACAAATTTTGTAAAAAATGTAAGCCAGTACTAGTTACCTGTTATGGAGTCCAAGATGAAAGTTCGCAAGGACGCTACGTTCTCGGCAGAATGGAAGCTGAACAAGAGCGTGTCGTTGTCGTCCTTGTCGCTGGCCTCGAGCGTCAACACCTCAGTATAAATCGGCACCGCCTCAGACAACTCCACCTTGTACACACTCTTCGAAAACACCGGCCTCTCATCGTTGACATCCAACAAGGAAACGTTCAAAGTCGTGTAAACAGTGTGCGTGGAATCAGATACGCTGATGTTAAGCGAGTATTCCTTCTGAGTTTCATAGTCAACTTTCTTCACCAGAATCACATTCCCTACGTCTCTCCGAATGTAGAACTCCCCGCGCTCATTTCCACCTACTATATTATACCAAACGGTGTCGTTGTCGGGATCGCTTGCGGTGACAGTAGAAACTAAAAAGCCGACTTCTTCCCCCTCCGATAGCCAAACGCGAGGCGGTGACTTAACCACGGGCGGCGAATTCGCCTCGATCGACTCATTCGCCACGTGAATTTGCACCTTGCACGTATTGAACTTGGGCGGATCACCCCTGTCGGTGACGCGCACGTGCAATTCGTACTCTTGTCCAGACACGAACTCTTTGTGGGCGTATACACATCCCGTTTTGCCGTCGATCCTGAACTTGGAGCGATATTTTGCCGACTTGAATTGATATTTCAGCTGGGCATTCTCACCAGCATCTTTATCCAATGCTAGAACTTGGAAAAGCGGGTCCTCGATATTGGCCAGCCGAGAAGGCAGATGTACGTCGTAGACGTTTTGATCGAACTCCGGACTGTTATCGTTAATGTCATCAACTGTAACGACGACTCTAGCCACAGAGGAGAGAGCTGGCTTTCCGTTATCGCAAATCGAAACCTCAAGGATATATTCGTCTTGCGTTTCGCGGTTCAGTTTACGGGAAGTAGTCGTTAACGCTCCGGTGCTCGTGTTGATGGCAAAAAAGCCCTCGGGATCGCCAGATACGATCTTATAAGTGATATTTTTGACGGGATCGACGTCTCTATCAGTCGCTTTAATTTGTAGAACTACAGTGCCAGCTGGACTCTCTTCGGCGATACTCGGATAATAAACGGGTTCCTCGCTCAAGGGATAATTGTCATTCTCGTCTAAAACTTGGATGTAAACTTCAGCTGTTGAGAAAAGTGGGAATATGCCGCGATCCTGCGCGTAAACGGTGATCCAATAGTGACTTTTCGTCTCGACATCGAGCGTCGCCAGCGTCGTTATAATTCCCTTCTCATCGATAGAAAAAATCCCGATACCGTCGCCAGCCCTTATGGAATACTCGATTTGAGCATCGTCTCCCACAACATCAGCATCTTCCGCCTGTAACTGCAACACGAAAGTGCCCACCGGCAAGTTCTCTTTTACCATGCCGGCAAAAACGAAATCTTCGAACTGCGGCGCATGTAAATTCTCGTTCACGTCCACCACGTTGACCGTCACAATGGCCTCCGAGGACAAAGACGGATTTCCCTTATCATTGGCAATAACTATCAAGGTGTGCTGCTGACGTTCTTCGAAGTCCAATGAAGCGTTAGTGCGGATTGTCCCAGATAAGCTATCCACCTTGAACAATTTGTCATCTCCGTCAGAGTCGCCGATGGAATAGTAGACTTTTCCTTCAGGGCCTTCGTCGGGGTCCAGAGCGGACACTACGGCCACCACGGTACCTACAGGCACGTCTTCTCTGACGTTCACCGCATAGTTGAGCAAACCAAATTTGGGAGCGTTGTCGTTAATATCATCGATGGTTATTCTTACCAGAGCCTCGGAAAACAGCGGTAGATTTTCGGCATCTTTGCCGCCTCCGTCTGTCGCTCTGACTCGTAACTCGTACGAGCTTTGGCGTTCTCTGTCCAAAGCGTTGTACACCACTAGCATTCCAGAGTCTTCGTAGATGTGAAAGTCGTTGGTCTCCGTGACGATTGAGTAAGATACTTTGGCGTTTTCGCCTTCATCCGGATCGGTGGCGTTCGCTCGAAAAATTGCAGTGCCGTTTGAAGCATTTTCCGCCACGCGGAAGCTAGCCAAGGACTTTTCGAACTTGGGAGCGTTGTCGTTAACATCCAAGACGGTTACAGGAAGAATCCGCGAGCTAGATTTCCGAGGTTTACCCAAATCGTAGACAGTAACATTGAGAAAGTATTCATCCAACTTTTCCCTGTCCAAATGACCGATAACCCTTAGTTCTCCCGACTCCAGGTCGATAGAGAACTGAGAGTGGAGGTCCCCACCGCTGATGCCGTAAACCAGCCTGCCATTGTAGCCCAAATCCCGATCTCTGGCTGATAATTCCACCAACACCGTTCCCAGCGCCACAGACTCGTTCACTTTGATTTCTACTGGGAAGTCGATGAATTCAGGCGAGTGCACGTTTTGGCCGTACCGTGTCGGCATCATCGGAAACTCTTCCTTGACATCTGCTCTGTTGTTGTTCTCCGCGTCCGCTAATACCTCTGTTAACCGCCTAGCCACTCCGGTATCTTTGCACTCGAACCCCTCCGCAGAGTTGCCGTCAACCAACTTGAAGTGCACCCTGGCGATATCCGCGAAATGGGTGTCATCAGTGGCGGTAACGTTCAAACCTCTATCGGACACCTTAACGTCGTTCAGATCGCAAGTGACGTAGATAGTGCCCGAGGTTCCGTCGATGCCGAAACAGCCGTCGTCGTTACCGGACACGATCTGGTAGCTGATGATGCTGCCGGTGTCGAAGTCAATGGCCGACAGCACGACGATCTCTGCGCCAATCGCCGATTTGCGCGATACTTCGCCGTAGCAGTCGATCTTCTCGAACTGCGGCCGGTTGTCGTTGATATCCCTGACCTTAACGACGACCTGCATCTCCGTTTGGCGCCGGTAGGGCAAACCCCAATCGGAAGCGCGCACGTGCAACGTGAACGTTCGTCTCATGCTCTCGTAGTCCAGCAGGCGCGAGGTGCGTATTATCCCGGAAAAGTGATCGATCTCAAATGGAACGTCATTCAAGTTAGCTAGCAGATAAGATATGTAAGCGTTCTCGCCTTGGTCCTTGTCTTTGGCGTGAACGGTAGTGACCGAAGTGCCAGCGGACATATTCTCGTCCACCCACACAGTTTGTTCGCGCTTCTCGAAAATCGGGTCGTTGTCGTTGGTGTCCTCGACGTAAATCTTGATCTTAGCGGAAGATTGCTTTCTAGTAGCAACGTTGCCTTGGTCCACAGCGGATACGGTCAAGCTATACAGCTGCTTGCTTTCAGCGTCTAATTCTACAGCGGTGTAAAGCATGCCGGTGTCTGCGTTGATGCTGAATTCGCCGCCCTCGTTGCCACCGACGATTTCAAGGAAAACTTGACCGTTACTGCCGTCATCGGCATCGCTGACTTTCAGGCGTATCAAGGGGGTGTTTACGGGCGCGTTTTCGGACACTTTCACCTCGTAGATTTCCTTGCTGAATATAGGACCGTTGTCGTTAAAATCGGCAAGAGAGACAGGCACGGCTTTGTAGCTCTCTTTGCGTGGCGTGCCGCGATCGGAAGCTCGTAATTGTAGCACGTAACCGTTCGGAGCTGCTTCTCTGTCTAATAATTTGGAAACTTCGATGTTGAATTCCGATGGGCCGGTGCGGCGTATGCGGAAATGACCGTCCGGATCACCGTCGACAATATCCAAACCGGCTATTTGGCCGTGCGGACCGGCGTCTTTGTCAGTTACCGTCACGATGGCGTAAATGTCGGCGTTAGAGTTCTCGACGATTTGCGGGTGTTTTTTGATTGTGATGTCGGGAGCGAAAAAGTTGGCTTGTTCGACGCGAATTTTCACGATGGCTTTGCTGAGGCCCTTGTTCGAGTGTTTGGGGTTAGTGCCGCGATCTTGGGCGCTGACAGTGAGCTCGTGGTAGGGGCCGTCCTGGTATCTGATCGGTCTGCTCAATGATATGACGCCTGAGGAGGAATATACTTTCAAATAAACAAATGAAACGATTCCGTTATTTCATACAGTTAGCAAAAGTGTATTGAATATCTTTGGAAGTGAATATTCTTTTCTCATTGACTATAAAGTGATAATTTAAACTTTCAAATCTTCTGAATCTATTTAGAATTACATACATGCTTATACCTTTTTCATATCAAAAAACTGTTTCTAATATTCAATGGGTTCGATGTAATGATGTATCATGAGAAAACTTTTCGTCTTCTCTCATAGCCACAATTTTTGTTCAGTAAATTTACCGAGTTTGCAATAATTATGAATGATTTCACCGTGCAATCGACCACAAGTATATCAATTTTATGAATACAAAAAATATATAAAAGACACTCAGAGACATTCAAAATATTGGATTGAGATGAATCGAGAGGAAATGAAAGAAAGCAATGAAATGAGTTATTTTCGAAGGTTTTCATCTTGACTCAAACAAGCTATTGACTACCTGCAGACATTGACTACCTGCAGACATTGATCAGAATATCAAAACATTTTGAATAATATCGGTTAACTAATGATCTTTAAATTTCAAAGCCTACCAACTGTCGATATATCATCGAATTCATGTCACAGCCAACTTATTCTTTTTGAATAGAAAGCAATTCAACAGCGAATTAAGAAATAAATGCCACTTCGTGATACATGGTTGGATAGAGAATTTCAAGGCGAAAAAGATAGACTGAAGAAATGTACAGGGTGACATTTAAAAAAAATGCTGGGTCACTTTCGGTCAAACAGGTGGTTGAAAAAAATTGTCGTTAAGTTCGTTAAGTGCGCTACCATTTATTATATACCCCCTGTGAATTTCAAAATTTTATCTCTTCAAATAAAAAAACTACAGGCTGCTACATGTATCCTGTGTCACCCGGTATAAGGTCTAAATTAGAATATGCTTCCATAGTTTGGTCGCCACTATACCTGGTACAGGGTGATTCACCATAAATGTCCCCCCCTCTAGCTCACTCGTTCTTGAACCGATTTGAAAATTTGAAGAATCATCTAAAATGATTTTCAGTAAATTTTTTTCCCGTTGGATCAGAAAATACAGGGTGCTCGGAACAAACGATCTACAGAGTACTACTTGATTTCTTCAAATGGAACACCCTGTATTTCATTGTATTTTCGGATTCTCCCTGAAGAGCTGATTTCAACAATATATCACACCTGGGGTCTATCGTGAATGATTACAGAGATAAAGGGTGTTCAAAATCGAGATTTTTAAACTTGAGTATTTTTTTGTGTCGAAACTATTCATTATTAGTCAAAACGGCTTCAATGTCCCTATCTCAACTTTCGGTCTACTATCTACTGACATTTAATTGGAACATATACAGTGTGGTTCAAGATTCAGAATTATGATCACCCTGTATCTGTTCCAATTATCAAATGTCAGTAGATAGTAAATCAAAAGTTAAGATAGGGACATGAAAGCCGTTTCGACCGATAGTGAATAGTTTTGTCACAGAAAAATCCTAAAGTTGAAAAATCTCGATTTTGAACACCCTATATCTCTGTAATCATTTTCGCTAGACCCCAAGTGTGATGCATTGATGAAATCAGCTCTTCAGGGAGAATCTAAAAATACAATGGAAAATAGGATGTTCCATTTAAAAAATCGAATAGTACCCTGTAGATCGTTTGTTCCGAGCACCTTGTATTTTCTGATGTAGCGGAAAAAAACCCTAGCGGAAATCATTTTAGATGATATTTTAAATTTTGCAATTGGTTCAAAAATAACTGAGCTAGAGGGGGGGACATTTATGATGAATCACCCTGTACATATTGATTCAGTAGAAACTGTACAAAGACGATTTTTGAAGTACCTCTCCTTCAAATATGATGGCGTGTATCCTACAATGGGCACTGCGCACGAACTATTACTCCAGAGGCATAGGGTTAATAGTCTGGGTGTCCGCCGAGAATGTTCTGCTGCTACTTTCACATATAAATTATTGAATAATATGATTAATGACTGCGTCCTCCTAGAAAATTTTAATTTATTCATTCCTCGGTTGACGTCCCGCAGAACAGATTTCTTTTATCTGCCAACCCCCCGAACTAAGGTGTTACTGAATTCACCAATATATCGAATGTCTAATACATGAAACAAATTCAGTGACCAGATTGATTTATTCAATACGAATGTGAAAACTATACGTAACATCTGCCTGAACTAAATTGTGTCATGATTCAATAACATCATATTATTGTCAATTTCAGTAGTTTATACCCATCCTGTATATTATCTTGTTTTTGTGATTCTCCCACTCTGTAAATGGTTTGGTTGAGTGGTGTATGGATAAATAAATGAATAAACAACCTCCGACACTCACCCGACACAGGATGCACCTCGAACTGGTCCGTGTCCCCAATGAAACTATAATAAATGTCCCCGTTCACTCCCAAGTCGGCGTCCTCCGCCACCACCCTCACGACGCTTTGATGTACCGCCGCGTCCTCCGACACCGTGACGCTGTACTCCGAGGGGTAGAACAGAGGGTTGAGATCGTTGGCGTCGGAAACGGTCACTTCGACGACGGTGTCGCTCGTGTACTGGTTTTTGTCTCGCTTTTTTTCGGCGCTTATCAGAGCGCGTACCTATGAGAATTTTACTTTTATCCCCAAATTTAGACTTTGTTCAGTGCTTGTATGACCCTAAATTATACAGGGTATGTCACGACGAGCTTACACTATCTTTATATCGAGAATCAATCGCGAGAAATCCATGAAAATGTGCATGCTTATATCTCAGGATACGCTCTTTTCATTTAAAATATTTTCGACAATGCAGTGTTGCCGCTTCTACTAGAAAGTAGTAGCAACATTGATATTTCAAATGGAACACCATGTATTTTATCGCATTTTTAGCTTCTCCCTGAAGAGCTGATTTTATCGATGTATCATACATTGGGTCTATCGAGAAAGATTACAGAGATATAGGGTGTTCAAAATTGAGATTTTTCAACTTGAGGATTTTTTTGTGTCGAAACTATTCATTATTGGTCGAAACGGCTCACATGTCCCTATCTCAACTTCTGATTCACTATTCATTCATATTTAATGGGAACAGATACGGGGTGGTTTGAGATTCAGAACTCTGATCACCCTGTATCTGTTCCGATTAAATATGAGTAAATAGTATATCAAAAGTTGAGATAGGGACATGTGAACCGTTTTGGCCGATAATGAATAGTTTCGACACAAACAAATCCTAAAGTTGAAAAATCTCGATTATGAACACCCTATCTCTGTAATCATTTCCGATGGACCCTAAGTGTGATATATCGTTGAAATCAGCTCTTCAGGGAGAATTCAAAAATGGGATAAAATACAGGGTAGTCTACTTGAAATAACAAAGTTGTTACTACTTTTTGATAGAAGTGGCAACACTGCATTGCTGAAATTATTTTAAATGAAGAGAACGTATTGTAAAATATAAGCATGCATATTTTCATGTGTTTCTCCCGACTGATTCTCGATATAAAGAATGTGTAAGCTCGTCGTGACATACCCTGCATAAAAGATTTTTATTTGTTACTAACATGACATGTTGAAACATGAGATTTATCAAATGAAAATGAATAAAGAAGGATTGCAATACGACAAAAACAATATAACCATACAAATACAGTAACCTATCTATCAAGCATATTGGTCCTTCGAGCCGGATCCCTTCAAATTGAACCTTCAAGACTGTCAAGTTCTTCACAAGGGATGCAGAGCAGCACTTGAGACTACCTGGACTAACAGTGTATGCCAAGCCAAGCAAGAAGCAGTTCAAGCGAACATACTTCAATCCAGGAATTTCAAGTTCATTCTCGAAATTCAAACTTTAATTGCTACATGTATACTTCGATCTCGAAATTCACACTTCAATCTCGAAATTCAAACTTCAATACCGATTTTTTTTACTTTCAACCCGAAATTGTCACTTTGATTTAAATCTCGAAATTTACAAATTATTACTTCAACCCTGAAATTTCGGTGTCAATCTCCGAAATGTTTACTTTGATCTTAAATTTCAGACTCAGATCTCAAAATTTACACTTTAATCGAGAAATTTTCACTTTAATCTGATAACTTCTGAGGGGTAGAACAGAGGGTTGAGATCGTTGGCGTCGGAAACGGTCACTTCGGCGACGGTGTCGCTCGTGTACTGGTTTTTGTCTCGTTTTTTTTCGGCGCTTATCAGAACACGTACCTATGAGAATTTGACTTTAATCCCAAAATTTAGACTCTTCAATGCATGTATGACCCTAGATTATATAAAAGATGAGATCTATCAATAAATAAAGAAGGAGTGGAATACGACAACAATAATATAGCATCGAACATATTGGTCCTTCGAGCAGGATCCATTGAAAGCAAACCTTCAAGACTGCCAGGTCCTTCATAAAGGATGCAGACCAGCACTCACTACTTGCAGTAACAGTGAATGCCAAGCAACAAACAGTTGAAGCGAACAGATTTGAATCCCGGAATTTCATGTACATTCTCGAAATTCAAACTTTAATTTCTAAATGTATACTTCGATCTCGAATTTTACACTTCATTCTCGAAATTCACAATTCAATACCGATTCAATCTCGGAAATGTTCACTTTGATCTCAATTTTCAGACTTAGATCTGAAAATTTACACTTTAATCGAGAAATTTTCACTTTAATCTTATATTTTCCGAGGGGTAGAACAGAGGATTGAGATCGTTGACGTCGGAAACGGTCACTTCGACGACGGTGTCGCTCGTGTACTGGTTTTTGTCTCGCTTTTTTTCGGCGCTTATCAGAGCGCGCACCTATGAAAATTCGACTTTAATCCCCAAATTTAGACTTTGTTCAGTGCTTGTATGACCCTAAATTATACAGGGTGTTTCATGAGGAGACTCACATAACCAAATGGTGAATAGAGGAAACCAAGACGAGTTGATGTATATATATGAAAAATTATTTTGGCCATCCATAACGAAGATACAGGGTATTATATGTAATTGCCATATAAGATTGATGGCCGATATTTCAGAGACCTCTTATCGAAATGTGATGAAATTTGTCAGAGACGTAGACCAACTGAAATGGCTCACTACTAAAAAAAAATCCAGAGCTGGACATTTTCCGCGATTTTTTTTTTCAGATTCAGAAAGATCAGGCATTTTACCATAGGAAGCAACCTCCAATTCTCACGACACACTTCGACCAGCTTAGTGAAAAAATATCAAAACAGAACATTCGAAAGGATTTTCAATTTTGAGCTGGAATATTTTCATCTTACTTGTAGCTGATCCGTGCAAATTGATTTCCTGGTTACTATTGATATTCATTTGTACATAAATAGAATACAGGTAACAGATTCAATAAGGCAATTAAAGGAAATTTCTCGTAGCTTTCTGAATGGTCTGCCTGTCATTTTTCATCTCATCACACACTGCTTCTATCCGCTCTCTCAGTTTTCCTCTTGCATTCACTTCTGTGGCGTAAACTGATTGTTTCAAGTGCCTCCAAACACAATAGTCGAGGACTGAGAGATCAGGGGATCTTGGTGGCCAGGAATGAGGACCGCCACGACCTATCCAGCGATCAGGATATTGAGTATCGAGGTATTCTCGGACTTGCCTGGAAAAATGTGGCGGTGCCCCATCCTGTTGAAAGTAGAGTCCTCTCCCATTCACATTCTGATCTGCTAACAAGTTCGGTAAAACAGTCTGTAGGAATTCAAGATACATTCGCCCTGTCAGTCGCCCTTCAAGAAAATGTGGACCTATCAATTTGTCGTCAATAACACTACACCAAACGTTGAGATAAAACTTATGTTGCAAATTCTTTTGGATGGTGGCATGAGGATTTTCATGGGCCCATAGATGGGAGTTTCTTGAATTATTCATTCTATCACGTGTGAACTGGGCTTCATCCGTGAAAACAATTCTCGGAATGGTTCTCAGCGACAGAATGTAAGCCTTGCTGCTGAGGCGGCCGCCCAACAGAAATCTTCAAGAAGAACCAAAACCACGCCGGTTCAACAGGTGAGTGGCCATTTCGAATGCTTCTTGTCAATGTGCCAAAATCAATCAAGAAATTGATATCACAATTTTACAGTCTATTGTCTCTTTCTCGCCCACCTGTGAAGATTCGCTAAAGTAAGCCGTTTTCGAGATATTTCGGTTTTGGGTGTTCGATGCTGCACGAGAATATTGAAATTATTAAGAATAAAAATGTGCACTATTATCTTCGTGAATGTAATTTGCATTTTTCTCGGGATCAAGATAAGTTGTTTCAAAAAGGCTTATTTTGACCTCAGGACTAAGTGCGTAGATGTTGAAAATACCTTTTAGGGACACCCTGTATATACTTCAATACCGACATTTTCCCTTTGAACCAAAATTATCACCACAATCCCAGAATTTAAACTTCAATCTCGAATTTCAGTCTAATTTCAGAATATAAACTTAATTCTCCAAAGAATTCGAAGTCTAAATTAGGAAATTGTGAAGTCAAAATTAGAAGATTCAAGTCGAGAATTCAGCAGTGGATTGAAAGTCTCTAGATATAAGTAGGAATTTCGAGTTTGGAATGAAAATTTCGAATTTTTAAAGTTGAAAAATTGGAATTTACGTAACCAGTTAGCGATCGAATTTTGCAAGACGATCGAATCGAGATCGCGCAAAACACAGAGTTACACAAAATGCGTTTACCAACTAGGTACGTACAATATTTTTCCAAATTGTTATGAATTTGTTCGCTTGAACATAAATGTCTAGTTCTACATGAGTTTTATCGATTATGTACCGGGTGTACCACTGAGAAAGGACTCCGGCTGTATCTCGGAAACTATTTGCCGCACAGGTTTCGAAAAAAAATATTTATGATATTATGATAAAAGTGGACAAGAAAAATCTCTGGAAATTATTTTCAAGTTTCCAAAACAGCCCCTAGAGGATGTAATTGCATTGGCCAGTTTAATAAACGGGTTTCTATGTAAGTTTGATATATCAAGACATATCAAAAACACTTTTTTCATGTTCTCGAGCTGATTTCCAATCATTTTGATCAAAAAAATTGCGCTAGAATTTTTAAAGGTGCAATTATTTAAAATATCAAGTTCTACGCCTATGGCAGAAAAGGGGTTTGAGTATGAAATTTGGATTGGGTACTCATTTACTACAAAAAAGTACCCTTGATAGCACTCGATTTACTCTCATGGTTTTGACAAAGTTTGTATTTTAATAATTATTGTTTATTTTCTAAAATTACTAAAATGCAAATTTCGTCAAAACCATGAGAGCAATCGAGTCTTATCAAGGGAACCTTTTTTAAAGTAAATGAGTGGCGCAATCTGAATTTCATACTCAAACTCCTTTTCTTCCATTGGCGTCGAATTTTCAAAGGTGCAATTATTTAAAGAATCAATTTCTACGCCTATGTATTATTATCGGACAAAATTTCAACACTATTTTTTCGCCACATAAAACTCTTTTGATATACCAAATTTCAGCAAAATCGCATATGCCATTTTAAATTTATATGGTAAAAACGATTTAAAAATTATAACTTCAAGGCCTTCTGGAGCCCAAACGATGCAACTTTGTACTGAGGTAATTTTACTTAAATCGACTTATTTTGATCTAGGGAATATGTGGTATGTTTTTGTAAAGACCTTTTACAGACACCCTGTATAACTACAACTCACCTGGAGCGAATACTTGTCTTTGCGTTCGCGATTCAGCACGTCATTGTTGCCGGTCCTGATGCGGATGAAGAGGAAACAGAAGTCGCCGACCACGCGAGGTTCCGCTTTGAAGAAATGGTCTTTGTCCCCTTCCACTATCCTATACCTGGTGAATGGGGGGGTGAACATTTCTTAATATGGATCGTAGGAAGTCAGGAAATGAAAAACTGTTCAAGAGACAATCTCAAATGTTGATTTTAGAAAAGTGTCCATATTCTGTGGACGAATATACAGGGTGTTCCAAAATTTGCCTGCCAAACTTCACCAGCGGCTTCTTCGACCAAAAATAGGAAAAAAAATTCAAATGAACCTGAGTCGAGAAATGTCTTCTAAGGGAGCTACGGCCCCCTGAAAAGGGGCTCCTGAAGATGATATTTCTTGAATATTTCCGGAACGCCAAGTGATGAAATGATGCAATTTGGTACAAGAACTAAACGTGTCATGCCCAATGCGGTGAATATAAAATCATTTCAAAGTTTCATTCGAGAGTGTATAACACAGGGTGGGACTACATTAAATATTGCGCAAACTTTTTCGTCTGCAAATTTTTTGACAATTTAATCTCGGATTATGAGAACCCACACCGTTTCACAAAAAAATGTGCTCCTATTCCGCATCGATCAGATGTATCATTTTCGAGTGAAATCGACTTAAAAATATTGATGCACTCACATCTTATGCATAAGGTTGCCAATTCACTTTATTTTCATCAAGCAATATCAATAGGAAAATGATAATGAAAAAACTACTTCAAGTTTTGGTGCACTTTTTTTTATTTCCACTACGCTTCATTGCAATGTTATGCATAATATCTGAGATGTAACAATATTTTTAAATTGCTTTTACTCGATAATAATAATACATCTGATCATCACGGAACAAGAGTATCTTTTTTCTGTAAAAAGGTGAGAAATTTCATAATCCAGGATTAAATTGTCGAAAAATAAGCATACAAAAAATTTTGAGCAATATTTATTGTAGTCCCACTCTGTATTATACACTCCTGATTGAAATTCTGAAATTATTCTATTTTCACTGCATTGGGCATGGGAAGTTTAGTTTTTGCACCGAATTGCATCTTTTTATCACATTGACTTTCGGAAATACTCAAGAAATATCATCTCCAGCTAGAGGACATTTCTCGACTCATGTTCATCGAGAGTTCTCTTTCTATTTTTGGTCGTGAGAGCCGCTGGTGAAGTTTGGCAGGCTTATTCCGGGACACCCTATATATTAACCCTTAACTACTATTCATACGTCTCAGAGACGGCATATCAGCATCCGATTTGTTGGATTACCACTGCTTTTCAATATCGGCCATTCTCCTCCCACGTAATTCATGTCCAACTAGCACTCATTCAGTACCCTTAAGTTAATCTATGTATATGGTTCAGTTTTAAAAATATCTTGAGTGAAAGATAGATTCCCGTCTCGTAGACGTATAGTTAGTTATTACGTAACAATAGAAGTTCAATTTCGCCTATAATACGTATGATTGCGTCTATATCTAGATATACAGCCATTGCCATTTTCTTCAATTTGCATGTTGTTGACTTAGTTCTGTGTCATATTTTATTACGACTCTAACTTTATTCAGAATGACAATAATATCATCGATAATTTTATTATTTCAATTTTATTTTAGTATTTCTATAGATCAATGTTGAAATTTTGAAAATAAGGTACGCCTCTATTGAATTTTGATCGTCACTGAAATTTGTATTTCTATTTACATTTTGAACATCATTTTCTGTTCAAAAAATATGTAGAGAACGTGTTTGAATAGCTCACAAAAATAAAATAAAAATTTTTGGATTTATATGGACATTTAAATAGTCACGTCTGTGAGACGTATAGTTAGTGACAACGATATATATTTGGAACGTTAGTAGTTAAGGGTTAACTGTTAAGTGATGTTATATTTGTTCCAATTGTAAAATGTTGACTTGTCCATGTCTATGGGATCAATTAACAATATGACTATGACTAATTTAGCGGAATATTGTTTCACTAATAATCGATTCATTATTGTATCCTTTCATTATTATAATAATTCAAATACCCATTCATATTCTGTGGATTCACCGACGGATTATCTCAAGACCCCTTCTTCAAAATTACAAAAAAAAATCATAGCTTTTAAAACTGTATGTGGATGAAAGTTTTATCTACCTCTGATAGATATGTATTCTTTCAGACAAAAGTTCATCACTCAAGCCTCTTTTTTGAGAATTAAAAAAAAATCATGAATGTTCAAAATTTACTTACATTTAAGATTTATTCATGAAACTGTGCCTTTGAGAGTATTGCATAAGCCCACCATAATTTTTGGGAAAAAATCACCCCTAAAGCCACCTGTATTTCAAAATTAGTCAACAACTATACCTTTTGGGAGAAAATTCACCCTTCAGTCAGCTTTTTGGAAAATTGGGAAAAAATTATAATTTTTTAAAATATACGTGAATCTGAGTTTTATTTTGGCAAACATTTACCCAGAGTATTATTATTTTTTTGAAAATAAGGAAACAATTTTCAAATGTATGTGGATGTTTCATTCATGCATGTATGCCTCTGAGGATGTTTCATAACTATTTTTATAGCTCACAGTATTTCCTCGGGAGAAAAATTCACCCATCAGTTCCTTTTTTTTGAAAATTGGGGAAAAATCGAAAAAAAAAAACTACATGGATGTTAGTTATTGTTCATCAATTAATGTCTTTGAGGGTGTTTTTTCTCGTGTTTTATGAACCTTAAAGGTCACGATATTTTTCCCATACAAACGAGTCACAAAAGTCTCACTCCATGCCTTATCTCCGTTCCAGAAGAATGATGACGTAACTGCAACATTTTTTGAAAATGAGATACCCACCAGAAGATAGAGAAGAGCTGAATCTATAAGGTAAAATAATGCCATAATTTTAGTGAAATATTTCACCACTAGATGTAAGTTACCTCATTATGGAATTTGTATCAGTTGGCACCATGGCACTACATAAAAGTGTTGAGGCAAGCTATTTTTTTTTCAAGTACAAAAACGGCGTGAATGTATCTTGAGAGTATTAGATGTGAAGTTTCATACATTATTTTGGATAAATATTGACAAAAGTGTATTTTGAGTCATTGTTTCTTTCTCAATATGAAAGAAATAAAGACATAACTATCCCAAGCGTCAGTTTATCCTGTGAAATACTATCTGCTTCTAATCATAATTGCACTTTCAATCCATATTACATCCGATTATTCAGATTCAGATAATTTAAATTAATAGAAACATTCCAATCTTTCATCTGTTATCAATGAGATATTAGAAATAGCAATAAAATCCTCACAAATTATGGACATTGATATTCTCCATTAATTTCAGAGACTGCATGACATATTTCAAATGAAATAATACAGATATTTCAGGCCCATAAAATACGACGGCTTGGAACTGGTATTCTAAGACAATTTTTTTCTTCACAATATTTGCCTGATATATAGAATTCTTCTTGTTTCTCATATCTCCTAATTTTCAATTGCAACTGTAAATAAAACAGATGAAACGTTCGGCTCAACATCTCCTAATTTACAGTCACCTGTGAATTAGCATTAATTTACAGTTGCAACTGTAAATTAGGCAGAAATTTGTGAAATTTGTTGTTTTAGTATGGCAGTTCAGAGATTAAAGAAATCACCCTCAAACTTGAATTTCTGAAGACAAAGGTTGTAAAATTGGTTGAAACAATATATTTTTCAATTGCCTAACTAATTTCAATACATTTTTGCTTTTTGTCTTTTGGAATTAGAAATATTCAATTTTTTATATACTTATTATATATTTAAAATTCCGCAATTAGGGTTCTTTTGATTAAAGAATTGGATATTATTTTTCAGTTCCAAATTTTTTGTTGACAGTTGGGTACCTGAATTCATCATTCGACGGTTTTTTTGGGTAAAATAGACCGAGTTTTGGTTATAATTACAATTATTGCCCAAATAAGTGCAATTATTCTATTGAGACTATTTCATTTTAGTACATGATATTAAAAATTTCGGCAATATGATTTTCCAATAAATTTTAGAGGATTCTAGCTTCCACAATTGCTCATAAGTGAACGGAAAATATCATTTGGAGTTGAAATCAATGAAATCTTTTATCTATTTTTATTTTTAAAAGCAAGGGAAATTATTAAAACTGTTCACACATTTGACTAAGATGTTTTTTTCATTTAGCATGAGTAAATACATGACTTCAAATATCCATATCAAATTTCAAAATATTGTCTTTTTGAACATACTACATTGAAGTATGAGGGTATAGCCCCAATATATCAGAGGTTCAAAGTTATTTGGGAATTGAAAAATCAAAATTTTGAATTGGTTTTTTTCTTTCTCCTGTAAAATTACCTTTTTTGCATTTGCCTCCATATTCTTCTGGTGCAGCGATATGAGATCAGTGTGAAACCAGTCATGACTTCGCCAATTATTCAAGGCACATACAATAGGCATACCACCAATGGTAGTTTATCAATAATTTATACTCATAGCTGGCCATGAAATTACTAAAACCTCCAAAATATGTCCGTGGTTAAAACTAGTTTCCATTAATGCATTTAGGATCCATATATCTCAAAATATTTTGTTTGGCAAGAATAAACACAGGATCCCTTTTTGTGAATTTAGGAAAAAAATCAAAATCCTTTCAAAATACATCTCCAGGGGAGTTTTTTCCATGAATGTGTTCCTCCGATGGAGAACAGTTAATTTTGTAAAAAATATTGAAACTCTAGATGATGCACTATTATCGACAAAAAATAGAACAACCAAGTTTGATGACTTGACAATTTATTGATAATACTTTCCAAATATCTGTTCAGATTACTGAATAATGATAGGTCAATTCAAGACATTCATCAAAAAGTTCCTCACAAAAAACTGTTTTTATAATACTGAAGAATATGTCTGCCAGTGAAGTTCTAGGATGACAATATAATTATGTAGTAAACTGTTTATATAAATATTTGTCTTTGCCTGTTGAATTTAAAGAAAAAATTAAACTTTAACAAATCTGTGTCCTTGAAATTTTGATCTGTAAAACAATGTATTAGTGGTCATTCTACATATTATTATTATTTAATTCTACCTATATTATGACTTGTCACAAACATCTCTAAAAATTTGTAATGTGGTAAAATGAATCTATTCTATTCTATTATTATTATTACATTTCATCATTATGCCAAACACACAGTGGGCAGAATTTTGGCATCAGCATGAGTTATACAGGGTGAACAAAAGACAAAAATAACTTTATCATTTAAAAAAAAAGGTTCTAGTGTGAAATGGCATGTATTTTGCAAATTTAGCATGACCTAATTTCATAGTAACTTGTTTGTCAAAATAGAGATTTCCCTATTATTATTTAATGCCATTCATTAGCATTCATGAGTACTCTATAATTGATTTTGTGATTATAGAGAGAGAATATGCTTACAATATTTTATGTATTTTTAATACTCATAAGCAAAAGAGAATGTTCAGTCAAATATATTCAAACTTTCATTTCAATTGAGTTCATGAAATTAATCTCAGTTCATATCCATGATATTGGACATTCAATTTAGTGTTTCTTCTAAGACTTCAACTATGAGATATAGATATACAGATTTCTAGTAAGTATCCAAATCATCTCATAATCATTTGCCAAACAATTTTTCATGGATTCAGTGAAGATTTAAGTGATTCATGAGAACTTCAATACTCTTCAACTTCTTAGCATTTTTTTATATAGATGTGATTTTCCAATAATTATTATTTCCATCTCAGAAAGCTTTAAAATTTCAATTTGACTTCACAAACCTTACAAGAAACATTGATAGAACAAAAATATGACTGTACCAGAGATAGCACATTTGATAAACATTCCTTAAATTGATCTAGACAAAAAAATCTATTCCTCATTCTGAGAATCTATATTGCCACTCATGATATAGATACCAAAATAATTAATTCATCATAAAAAAAATGTGAAGTCAAGCAAGACTAACCTTATGTCCCAGGAGGAATTAAGAGGTACCCTGATGCCCATAAAGTCAAATCCAGGTTTCTGGGTGGCATATGTCCTGGGACTGCTGTTTTCCGGAATGTAGACATTGTAAAGGGGCTTTGTGAAGTGGAAATCTAAGGGTTGGCCAGAGGAGTCAGGATCAAGGGAATCAGCTTGGGTCAAAAGGAGGAATGGTGAGAGGCAGCATATGAAAGCCCATTGGTGCATTACTTTGTGGCATTAAAACTGAACCTAAAATCAAATCCACAATGTGAAACAGAAACAGACTACTTATGATATCATCTTGAGAAGTCTTGCACTAAAACAACTGAAAAGTGTTTGTGATTATGAGGTATATATTACTTAACAAGAACTCAACAATGAAATACTCTGTAAAATGTTTGACTGACCAATAGGTAGATTTTCTAAGCTCACAAGACTTGAAATCATTGTATGAATGGTATAACTTTTGATGCCAAAGCCACATCTATTTTCACGAAAGTGTTTCCTTGAGATACAATTTGGAAAAGAAAAAGTTAATCTAGTAATTGAGAAGATAAAGTTCAGACAAGTCTACAAATCAACGGAGAGTACCAACTAGTCAGCATTTTTCAACCACAACCCATTCATATGAATTTTAGGTACTTACATGAAAAAAGTTGATGTAGAAAGCGGAATGCTGCGTTTGCCTATATCCCGAAAACTCTATCCATTTCTACTGCGAAAAATACAAAGCCAAATTGTTAAGCAAGTCTTTCTAAAATATTTCTTTCAACAAACAAATACAAAAACAAACCACACCAAATAAATCAACACGAACCGAACCTGTCAAGACGAAAAGTCATGTCAAAACAATGACGGCTAAATATCTAGACTGTCTGACCCTTGTCATTTCGCACGTTTTCAAAACGCCCCGCTAACAGGCATAGGCAAGCGTTTAGACCAATTACAACGTTGAGTTTCACGCGTGCGTGTTTTGGCTTGAGTTTTTTAATTTGGAATAAACACCACCAGTTTGAAATGGTTTGAATTTTGAATTATTCTGAACATTGGAGTCATCATAAACTACTCTCGGAGTTCTGGACCACAAGTGATGGCAGATTTTCATTACGATAAGGGTATTGATTTCGATCAACTCATTGTCAATAAATCGGAAATAGAGGTAAAATACGCACGCCCTTCACCCAATATAAAATCAAAATAATAATATCTGTGTTAATATGAATAAAACACATCTCTTCTTTGGACCACGAAAATAAAGGAAATGGTAAAACTGCATTTATCATGCGATGGCTTTTTTTTCAGAATTTTTTTTTGTACTTACGTATTTTGTTTGAAAACACGAATTTGATGATGAAAATGTGTACAAACTATCATTTATCAAGATATTTCACTATGATGTTACAAATGTCACCTTTTTTTCCGCCTGTATTCTGGATCGCATTTAGAACAATTTGCTCTTCTTTTTCCATCATTGGACAATTCATGTATAAGTATCACAATGTACGACACATTTTTTTCTATTTTATGAGTCAACTAGAAACATAATTTTCTTGTGATTTATCCATATATATTTAGTGAAAAGAAGAAAGAATATTTTTAAAAATAATGGCGAGTGTATTGTCATTCAAAATCATTGACTTGATTGATAATGACCGTCATCTCTTATGCTTCTTCAACTAAATAAGCAAAACTCGCCATGAAAATAATATTTCCTGTTGAATTTTCTATATATAAATATGTGATAGACGAATATCATGAGTAAGTGCCCGATGACAAAATAAAAAGAGCAAGTAGTACCTGATGTGAATGCATCTAACACGAGGGGAAAAAGAATAAGGCGAAATTTCGAACTTTTGCTTCAAATATCTCGATAAATAGTGGTTTGTTCACATTTTCATTATCGAATTCGTGTTTTTCAGATAAAAATACATAAGTACCGTTTTACCGTTTTACCAAAATATATTTTTAGGTACAGCAATTCGTCCTAAATTTCATTCTCTAGTTCCTATCACATGCTTCATCAATTACTTATCAATATTACCAGACACTTGGAAAATAGTTCATTGATCATTATTCGATGTATGACTCGGTGATTCAAAATCGCCAAGATCCGCGATTCGAATTTACCGCCAAAGCCAAAATCGACCTGATTGGTCTAAAAGCTCATCTATGCCTGTTATCGGGGCGTTTTGAATACGTGCTGTCATTTTGGTCCCATTTTTGTCTAGATATTTAGCCATCATTGGTCATTTGAATTTGTCGATCATACATAAACGTTGATTGATATATTACGCTTATGCGTAAGCGACAACGACATAAATAATAATTATTAATTTCGAAGATATCAAGTGTCGTGTGAACGGGTTGGGAGCCAGAATGATGAACGTAGTGTGCTGTAACTGTCGGTAGGCATTCGTGAAAATTCACCTTGAAATGTCAAAAATTCAAACAACTCAAACAAGTGGTTCTTCTTTCTTTTCAATGGCCTCTGTTCTGTAAGACAATTGGCCATGGAACAAGTGGTTTTTGAATTTTTGGTTAGGAAATATGTTTCTGTAATTTCAAAACATTCCAAATTTTTTGTTTATTATTTATTTTTATTTTTTACAATTCTCTTCCTGTGTTAAAAATCACGCAATATACTCCTTACACTATTTGCAATGACCTCACCTCAGAAATAGTCTCTTTGATTTATGACGTTTCCTGGATTTTTGCCAGGCACCCAGTTATAATAATATTAGGTATGTTAGTTTTTAAAGTACCTACAGTTTATAATAATGTGAGTAAAAATAACAGATATTACCTATTTCGTCAAGTAATTCAACAGTATTGATCAAGGTGATATTTTCTTATATTTTGGATCCCAGTTTGGATCACAGAAAAGGGTATCCATATTCTATTATGTTGGGAATATCATGTATACCAGGGATAGTGACATGGATGACAAACTGTAGGTAGGTATATTGATATTTAGAAGTCAAATTTCAAAACTGGAAAGCCAGTGTTTTTCATTCATTGTGTTTTATTTCATTATGAAGAAGTAGAATATTCTTGATGACTGCAATGCTCCCAGGCTGCAACCCCAAAAAACAGACCCATGTGTAATTTTTTCCAAATTCCTGCCATATTTATTATAGACATGTATTTTTTAAATGAAAATAATGATAATCATAAGAATCTTCTATTATCAATTCAATCACTCTGTTCTAGTTTCATAATAATATCACCATAATGCTGAATTTACCAACTAATGATGTATCTTCATCAAATGAAACATTGTTCAGTGAAAATTTCATGTGGGGTTCATTTCCAAGGTTAGAAGACTTTGAATTTATCTATAGTAGAGAATAGAAGTAGGATCCTAATTCAAGATTTGATCAATGCTTGAATGAAACCTCTGAACTTATGCATAATTCACAAACTTCTAACAATACTAAAAAAGCTAACAAAATGATGCTGTCCTCACTCTCCTATGTTGAATCTGAGGTTGGCTTATTGTATGGTTATGAAATAAGGTCAACAAAAAGTGTCTAAGGATAACTTTCTGAAATTTGTGAATGTGTTCACATAAGTACACCCCCGGCTACAGGGCATTTATGTTTAAAAAATTATCGGCTATTTGAATACTGATCAATTTTCTTCTTTGCCTAGCATAACCACCTCACCCAGTCAATAGAGTCACACAACCTATGCACAATAAATTAATAAAACGATAAACATACATTCATCAATGATCAGGTCTAAGTCTAGGACATCTAGGTTTTCTTCTTTAATTACCCAATTCTCAAGATTCTTGACGATTTGTTTGAACTTTGTGAATGTTTGCATAATTGCATCCAATTTAATTTAATTGGAAGAAAATAATGATTTTTGTCAACTCATGACCTTGTATCCGAAAAAAACTGTCAGGCAATATTCAACCATGCATTTAAACAGTACCATCCTCTCACAACCTATTCATTTTCAGAAGTGTTATCAGTACTGTTAATATTTTTGTTGATATATTATCTAACAATAATAATTTATGTTCATACCAGTGTGGTTATTCATTATATTATGACAGCTTGACTATAGCACAGACTATAGGTATTTGTGTGTTATGCATCTAGCTATTGAAAATGATTTTTTTCTATGAACTGTCCTTGTGTTGCATTTTTGTTTATGTTATATTATGTTAATGATATGGTCTGTTGGTATGGCTAATAATAATGCTGCCTTTTCGAGAAAATCAGTAAGTTATTCAGTATATACTACTTAAATACTACCTATTGTTTCAGACATGACTTATTAATTTACATAAATATATTTCATTTCACGGCCCGAAATCTCTAAAGTTTTCACCAAAGAGAAAATAACTCGGAAAATAATTACAGAAACAAGTAATTTCTACTTTTTAGTGCAATTTTGTTAAAATGAATAAAACCGCTTTTTGTGAAAAAAAAAGAAGGAATCCTTGGTAGTACACTCATTTTCAGAAAACATGTTGCAGATGGACGGTGTCAGCTTTCTAAATCACCGTTGCAATAGGAGCGCTCACACCATCCAACCACGACATGTTTTCTGAATACGAGTGTACATCACCTTCCCTTGACTTGGTTGAAATTGTATGGTTGTTTCAGAAATTGAAAGAATAATGCAATGGAAATGATAAGGAAACGAGACAAAATATATAAAAGAAAATTCCTGTAAAAAAAATATGTTTTCTGCAACCGAAACAAAAGTCGTCCATTTTAATACCAAAATTAGCTCTTGAATTGACGTTTCTATTACAGACCCAAAAATAGGTAGGCTGCTACGCAACACATCTAGTTCCCAGGAACTAAAGTTGAACTTTACCTCCTAGGAACTAAAAAGGATGATTTGTTGTTTGTTTCCGATTTCGGCGGATTTGGCATTTCATAGACATGCTGGAGATATAAATACAACTTATTATAGTTAAGTATTATTGTTTTGATCAGGGAAGCCTTCAAGATTCACATAGTTGCTTGATCTGTATTTCATTCGTTATTCTCGGGATGGAAAATTTGTTTTTGACTAATCAAGGTCAGCAATAGTTTTTTGGCTCAAACAACGATATTGTTTATCTTCATTTGATTATCAAGCCAAACACAGTGGAGTGTGAATCGAAAAAATGATTGCTATTATTATTGTTGATATGCTCACTAACCTAACATTTTTCACGTCTTATTGTTCCTATACCTGGCACTGGCGCGGTATTTGCCATTAGAGCACCTGGTCCATACACAAATATGTAACATATTGAAACTACAATTTGAACATCCTTGAAAATTGAATTAACCTGTTGTAAATGCAGGTAGAATATTCTCACCACACGGATCATTTGTTGCATTGCATACAAATGGCACGGCATTGTTGGTTACTTCACATATTTATTTGAGTTAATTGTTTCGGTTGCAGAAAAAATAGCATGTTTCATTCGGATGAAAAGTGACTTTGCCGCCTCGCAAAATGCAAAATTCGCTTGTCAAACAAAGTGTCACTTTTGATCCTAATAAAACAATCTACTATGCTTGATGCCAACAGTTCCAGTGCCCAGGAGCTAAAGTTGGAATTTAACTCCTAGGAACTAAAAGTGTGTCAGATGACAGCTGATATGATATCTGCTTATTGACACTGACATGCTCAAGTGAGTCAAATTCGTGGTTACTTCACTTATATCTCATTATGGTTATCAACTTCACAAGGCCGATATGTAGCAATAGCAAATAATAGATGAGGTTGAATATTGTTATCCGAGGCTTAGTCGAGGATTTCAACAACCGAATGACGTCACAAGGCGTTCCGTATTCTATTGCCATCCAAAAGTGGGTTGCGAAATAATGTTACTCACCATCTTGGGTCGTTCGCCACATAGTTTATCGTATTCTTCTCATCACACCCTTCCAGTGGGTACCCAATAGATAAGGATACCCATATCAAAGGTAATCCGCCATATTAAGTACATTTTTATAAATTTCAGGATATAATAAAATCTTTGAGAAGACTTCCACAATATTCCAACATATTCGAGAATGTTCCAGAATGTGATATACCTATATACTAATATTATAAACAGGAAAGATCGAACATCAAACAAAGAAATGAAAGATCAAACAAACAATGTTTGACCGATATGAAAAATTCTTTCATCATTAGAAGCCGAAATTATCCTTGATGAACATAGGCTATTTTTTACCGTGAGAAAATGCTTTATTCTTACGGAAAAACGGGTAATATGACAACGGGTAGTAAGAATTATCCTTCCATACCTAAAAAATTGTTCTTGTTCTTTTTCACCTAACTTCTGAACGGCCTCTAACTTTTTTAATCCCTGTCCGATTTTTGTGAAATTTCGATCAAATCGTAGATTTATGTTCCGGAATGTTGGCCTATATATTAGTTTTCCTCAAAAGCTGATGACTTGATCATTATACAGGGAAACGCCAAAGTTACTCTTTCACCCAACGTCCTGTGGCAATATTGCGTGGTTGAACTTGGCTTCATTATGCTTCCGATTGAAGTGTCATCCCTTCTTAACACAATAGTTTTTGAGTCACGTCAATATCTTATATTTGAGAGAAGATACGAGTGTTTTAAGAGAGTATGAAATTTTTCAGTTTTCTTCACCAATAATCAGAAACTATAACTAATAATCTTCTCCTGAAGATGCTAACATAGTTAGCGACACACGTGTCGAGGCGTTAAAAAATCGGTTTGGTTAGTGGTAAAACAGTGTAGTGGCTTATCACTTATGACAGATGGAACATGGACATATCATTGGTTATGTTGTAAAACCATTCAAAAATAATTCAAAATAACTTGTGGTGCTATTCCTGAATATTTGTTTTTCTTCTGATGGATACTGAACCGTTCTTCAAAAATACACTACAACTCTGTTGTCTCCATATTGGCCAAAGATCCAAGGAGTGAGTTAGTTTCTGGTAGGCAAGGAATAGTGATATGACTTTCAAAATGATGTGGAGATATAATGGATGTGAACTGTCTCCACTAAACGACTCTTAAGTCTTAAATGTTTGAATGTTGAAGCTTAAATGATGAAAGTTTTCATAAAGTCACCCTTAACGTTTGATAAGTGACATTTTGGAAATTTCAAACCCCACCATAAACTCGATTGTTTCTTTCAATCAAGTCAAATTTGACAGCTTAACTTCTCTACCTCCTGTGGCAGAAGAGGGTGATAAACCTTTATCATGTTTTGGATTGAACTGTGATCCCTCCTCAACGCGAGAAGATACAAGTCTATTAAGAAAGTATGAATTCTTAAAATTTGCACAACCTACATGACCTTATCAGTAATTCCCACCCCATTTTTAACACGTACCAGCAAAGTGAAACCTGAATTCCTGAAAGCTAACAAATCACAGCATTCAACTGCCGTGGCCTCGAGATGATTTTTCTCAATTAATCTTGCGGAATTACCATAGCCGGACGAAGGTGAATAAGCCTTTGGAGTTCATCCCTAAGATGCTCTATTGGTTCTGAATTATTGTTAATAATAGTAGTTGTATATGTTCTTTGTTGGTGTGTATGTACACACCAACCAGCCATCGACCTTACGAGAGGTCCTTCAGCCATGTTTGTAGGCTTTGTTACTGACTCCATATGCCACCTTAAGAGCAGCACTGTTAATTGGAATGCAACAGTGAAGATGCGGAATCACCTTAGGCCGAGGATACGAAAATTATAATTATTTATTTATAACTAGTTTTAAAGATAAAAATTCTCTGCTCCGCCGGGGATTCGATCTAGGGACCTTCCGATGTTCTGGTAGAAGTCGAGCGCTTCACCAACTGCGCTATTCCGCCGTATATATTAATACTAATTTAAAAATTCCATAGTTTTTTAAATACCGTAAACAGGGGTTACTTTGCTATGCAAGGTGACTTTGCACAAAAATTGTTTTTATTTTTATACATTTGAGAAAGATAAGAAAATTCTGCTGTGGATATTGTTAGGTAGTTATTATTGAAGCATAACATACAAACACGTGTACCTAGATTACGTGCGTCATTTTTGTTGCGATTTTTTACGTATAATGGTTTGAGTAAGAGAATATTTGGTAACGAATGAATCATCATAAAAGAAATGCTAAGAGCTGGGTAGGCATACCCTGATGTTCTGGTGGTATTTGGCCATATATATATATATATAAATATATTAAAAATACGATTTTTTTCTCGAGTCAAAACACTTTTTGGGGCGACTTTGCCATCGAGCCGTATGATTTTTTTACATAATTGATGATATAAGAGCGGGTAGAATATGAATGTTGGCTAACACTTGTATTTCATTCCATATTACTTCCTCCAGAAGCACATCCTTGCTCGTACATCATTTCAGAGCAGAAATGGGTGTCTATACTCTATAACTTTCATGGTTGCCATTTATATATTTCCGGTATTTATATTCATATGAACAGGAATAATAGTTTGATTTTACGTTTGAATATGTCAGCCCAATGATTATCATGCGATTCTATTTAAGATTGGGAACTAAGGGTTTTCGGGGTCGGTATGATTCCTTCGTCATAATTAGGAAATCCAAGATGGCGGATCCAATATGTCGAACGAGCTTTGTAATAAATTGTGTTTCGAAAAACTAATGAAACACGCTTTCAATGATAGCCAAACTGAAAAGAAGTAAAAAATAAATAGTAGTTTAGAAAACTAAAGATATAGATCACCGAACTGAAAAGAAGTAGAAAATAAATGGTAGTTTGAAAAACTGAGATAACACGCTTTTGGGGTTAGTCAAACTAAACAGAAGGAGAAAATAAAATAATAAAAGTGTGTTGTTGAATATTGAAATGAAAAAAATATTTTCTAGAAATAATGTACATATCAAAACAACGTTGCCGGGTCAGCTATAATCAATAAAATGACTCGAAATAAATTCAATATTTGTGTACTGTCTTTCCTTCAAATTTATTCAAGTTAGTAGCGTAGCAACGCGGGCAGGGTACAGCTAGTTGTTAATAAAAAAAATCCATACTTTCTTAACACGTGTATCTTCTCTGAAAAATAAGATATCGACGTGAATCAAAAACTAATATGTTAAGAAGGAATCAGACTTCAATCCAAAACATAATGAAGCTAAGTTCAACCACCCACTTTCACCATAGGCCGTTCAGCAGTTAAGGTTCTTTTTTATGTTCTGGTTCCCACGAAACGGGATATCCTGTAATGTTCAGAGAACATCGTGAGAACCAAGGGAAATAAGGTAGGAATTGATGTTCTTCTTAAATTTCTGGAGGTTATATGCCTCGGGGAATACCTCCCTTGGCAATGTGTTCCAGAGCCTCGCTGTTCGTTAGATGAACGAGTCTTTGGAAAAAGATGTTCTCCATCTCCAAAGTGACCACGAAGGGGTGCGAAGCCTCAACTCGACGGGTTAATCTCGCGGGGACTGCCAAGGGAGAAACAATTGTTGATATTTCAGAAGAGCATCGTCCATGAAAATATCTATAAAATAGAGCCAGATCGCCAACTTTTCTACGGTGTTCCAGAGAAGTGAGTGAGAGTTTGTGAGCCAGGCATCACCCACGAGACGAATTGCCGTTTCTTGGACAGAATCCAACAGTTTTAGGGTATGTTTGGGTGCTGTACTCCAAATATGGGAACATTACTCCAGGACAGGTCGGATCTGTGCCTTATAGATCATAAGCAGCTGACTGGCCCTAAACAGAAAACCAAGTTTTCGATATGCACTTTTAGCAATGGATCTCACGTGATTTTCCCAAGAAAGGTTATTGCTGATAGTAATACCAAGCATCGAAATGGATGTCTTCAAAGTTATGGTTACTCCTGGCAAGGTGTTGTTGGGCACAGTGAGATCGGCTTTTCTAGAGAAAGGGCATGCTTGTGTTTGCATTGAAATCTACCAAGGTATTGGATCCCTATTCGAGAATTGTTGCCAAGTCCATATTTATGTTGTCAACATGTCTTCCTCGTTCGTTTGTGATTTGCCTGGCTGGCATTGGAGCCCTGGAAGAGAAGGCGGTATGGAGGGTACTATCATCCGCGAAGCTGTGTACTGGACATGAAGTTGCTTCCAACAAATCGTTGATATGTTGGTACTAGAATTGATCCTTGCGGAACACCAGCATGTATGTAAAGAGAGTCAGAGGAAACTCCATTGACCACTACATGGAGAGACCTGTTTAAGAGAAAACTAGCTAGCAGAGAACATAGCTGGGGAGGCAAGCCATAAGATCGAAGGTTGGCGAGGAGTCCGTGGTGCCAGACTCGATCGAATGCCTTGGAGATATCAAGTGCCACGGTTAAGGTTTCATCATATTTTTCAATAGATTGCTGCCATATATGTGAGACGTAAGCGAGCAGGTCACCAGTTGATTCTGATGACGGAAGCCATATTGCCTATCGTTGATAATACCTGAATGTTCCAGGTATTTCATGAACTCGATGTTGATAGCTTTCTCTATGATCTTTGAAATAATAGATAGCAGTGCAGCAGTGAAAAAGTAACTTTGGCATTTTCTTGTTTAATGATCAAATCATCAGCTGTTTGTGGAAACTAATATGCAGACTAACATTCCGGAACATTAATCTACGATTTGATCAAAATTTTATCAAAATCGAATAAAAATTAAAAAAGTTACTGTGTGCACAATACGGCTAGATTTTTTGCCGGTGAGTGTATATCGTTGATATTTTTCTCCTTAGGCCTCCAAGATGTCGCATTCGGGCGACGAGGTGCACAACAGGCGATACCTGTCGTGGCGCAAGCTGCACCTCTCCAGGGCTAAGCTGAAGGCGTCCAGCAAGACGTCCGCACTGCTGTCCGGCTTCGCCATGGTCGCCATGGTCGAGCTGCAGATCCAGGACCCGAAGCTCATTCCCAAGGAGGTGCTCATCTCCTTCGCCATCATCACCACGTTGCTGGTCGCGGTGAGGTTTCCTTCTTCTCTTTTTTTTTTTGGATGGACGAGTGAACAGATTTTTTCTTAATCTGCACAATTTTATTAATTTTCGAATTTTTTCTGAATTTGAGGGCTCAAAATCACAAATGAAGTCACTGTCTCATTCAAACGGTGGAAGTTTGCCACTTATCACTACTAGGGCCGCTTGATGCAAACTGACGTATTGATCATCTAACAGGGTACGGACAGATCATAGCTTCTTTCTCTTTCAATCATCTGGTGACATTGGTTTTGTGTATTGGCGTCACTGATGTCACGTCACATTCATAGGCGTTAAAAGAGATCTTACAAAATTTTAATTTTATACTTGATTTTAATACGACATCATTCAATTCTGTCTTGGAAGGATGGTAAAATGTGCTGCGTTAGGCTGTATCAATCAGTTGGATGGCAAATTCGAATTTGTCAGCTACGAAATCACATATTATACTTTCTCATTGTTCCTATAATTATTCACTCCACAAGTTTTTTAATGCATTTCAGTAGAAACAGTTTTGATTAAAACGGAGGATTAAAAGAAGAGGCGCATATGCCCTAACATTTACAAAATTATACCTGTGGAAATATTAAGTGTTCGTGAAAAACTGTCAAAATGATTCCCAACATGAATATATACAGCCCACATGACTTATGAGCACATTAGTTGAAATACCCACAAAAATTTTTCACCATTTCCCAACCATAAGGCTTAGTCTGAAATCAAAATTCATTTATTGATGAAATGGTCAAGATGATAATGACATTGAAGATTGCATGTCTACCAGAAGGATGTAAACAACGTAGTTTTTTTTTACCTACAGAAATAATAAATGCATCGATTTACCTGTAGGTCAAAATACTATAGGAAGTGTTTCTTCTATCATTGGTCATCAGGTTACACCGGACATTGTCTATGCCAAACGTTCTCAACGCTTCTTGTTGAAGGTGGTGCTTCCTTTGAAACACTAAAATTACATGGAAAATGGAAGAGTAGTACGGTAGCGGCGAGCTATGTTGAATAAAGTATCTCCTCGAAGAACAACATTACTACAATGATAGCCCATTTCGTTTCCGAAAAAGAAAATGTTCCGAACGAAACCGAATGCACATTGAGGAGTTTATCATCGGTCAACTCACAGAACTTCAAACTTGGTACTATTTAATCAAGACCATTTGAAAATTGTAAATTCTATTTGAGAGAAAACAACTAGTCCTTTTTTTATGTACAGTTATAAATAAAACTCTTCTGGGTAATTAATTCATTGAACTACAAAATAAAACAATTAGTGGGCGTTATGATTCATAATGCCCTAGGGCGTCATGTGTCTGTTTATAGCAACCGTTGTCGAGGTATTATGAAGCAGTAACGGACAAGTGAAAAACAAAGTCTTTTGAGGATTTCAATGACACAAAGTGATAATTGTTGAATATGAAAAATCGAATAACAATTCAGTACGATATACTCAATACTGTGTTGATCATGAAATACTGCTGAGAAAGCTTCATCAGTATGGATGCAGAGGAATGACATACAGATGGTTCGAATCATATTTATCAGGAAGAAATCGAGTGGTCAAAACGGCAGAACTCTCCAAGAAGAGAAGTATTGATCATGGTGTTCCACAGGGATCTGTGTTACGACCTGTACTTTTTTCATTGTATATCAACGACCTCACGAAAATTGATATATCTGGAAAGTTCACTCTATTCGCAGATGATACTGCTATATTATGGAATAGTAGGAATCCTCGAGATCTGCATCAAATGATATCATCTGATTTGAAAAAGGTGAAAGATTGGTGTGACGCCAATATTCTGTCGTTCAATATATCTAAAACTAGTACAAAATCATTCAGATCCTCCTTTGAGTGTGCAGTCCAACGTCTTTAAAAACTCTGTTAATTCTACAGAAACGAGCGATAAGGTATTTGTTATGTCAAACCTCGAGATTCTTGCAGAATTTTATTTTCCAATAATAAAATATTGACAGTGATTGCACTATTCATTCTCGAATCTGTTTGCCTGATAAATAAGCACAAGTTAAAATTCACCACAACTCCCATCCATCATAACACGCGTAACAGAAATTTCAGTTTGAAACTTCCTCTACCCACGAGAGAGTTTATTAAAGATTCCATATACTATAATGGTGGAAAAATGTACAACCACTTGCCAGTTGATATTAGATCAGCAAGTCTGAATGACTGTCAATTCAGGAAGAAAGTCAAAAAGTTCCTCTCTGATAGACCCTATTACAGTTTGCAGGAATATTATAGTGGTACGTTTGAGTTGTGATATTTTAGTATTTTATTGTGGTATTTATTTTGACTATATTTTGTCACGTATTTTTATGTCGTTATATTTTAACCCCTTTTTACAATATTATCTGACCTAGCTTTGTCAACAAGATTCTTCTTCAGACACTAAAGCATATTATTATTATTATTATTATTATTACTATAAGCTTGAGTTTCAATCGATTCCAATTTTATCCACTTTCACGCAGGTCCACATGCTGGCGCTGATGATAAGCACCTGTATCCTGCCCAACATCGAGGCCATTTGCAACCTCGAGTCCATCAACCTAGTGGAGGAGTCCCCCCATGAGCGCCTTCACTGGTACATCGAGACGGCGTGGGCGTTCTCCACGCTGCTCGGCCTCCTGCTCTTCCTCGCCGAGATCGCCATCTTGTGCTGGATCAAGTTCACCGGGATTGACAACGTGGCGGCGTGGTCGGCCACTGTCATATTGGTGCCGATTTTGTTCGTGTTCCTCGCCTTTGCAGTGCACTTTTACAGGTACGTATATTATTCATGTGATGCTACCGAATCCACAAGACATTGTAATTTTTCGCAAGGTCAAATTGTATCTACTTTACATGGAATACCAAAAGTGATACTATTTTGCCAGAAATATTCAGAGATTGTTATGATGCTTGTAGCCTACGGCTCGAAAGTTTTGATAAACTTCTGAATTATTCGAGGTCGGATTTTGAGAGTTGATTAGTAGCAAATATACCAATTTGACTTTTATTGACAGATCATATTTATTATATCACATACCTTTCAACCGGAAGTAAACCCCAACTTTTATTTTTGAATAAGACACCCTATATATCTTGACATTATGATCAAAAACGTTTCTAGTGTATCTAAATCTAAAACGATCCATTGAATCCAAAGATGAACAAATATACAGGATGTCCTATTTAAAAATCAAAAGTTGGAGTTGCTTCTGGTTGAACCAGAAGCAATAGAACAAAATTTTTGGTCAACAAATGAGCAATTCAGCATACTTGCTACCCACCAAATTTCAAAAATAGAAGTTACAGCACTAGCCGTGTGCACTCCGCTGTATAAAACTGACGCGATCGAATGAAAATCATCTAGTATTTATCAACTATTTTTGTAAACTAATTCATATTTGTGAACTCAAGCAGTTAGCGAAATATTGGTGTTGTGCTAGCTTGGGGTCAAGCTAGCACAAACGTTTCATACCTTTTCACCTCAATAAGTCATGGATCATGAAGATGATTCAAACGCTCAAATTTTCAAATTTTCAATAACTTAAAGTGGTATATCAATAATTTGAATTTGTGTTTGAGCATCTTTCCTAGCAAGTTTGTCGCTACTTCAATTCCTTCTAATCTGTTTGCTAGCTCGTTAAGTTTTTCTCGACATTCCCAAGCCATTTTAGAGCTGATAACCATAGAGCTCAACGTTTTAGTGGCTGCTTGATTATTGGACATGATGATATATCGGCTGTCATAGCTTTTTTCTAGATTGAACTTCACACATTTCCCTATAGAGTGAACTTCCGCATGGAATATGCCTGAGAATTTGCCACGGCTATTGAAGTACCCACTTGCCTCAACATAACTATGCATAAACTTCAATTACGTCAGCATGTTGCCATTGTAGTATAGGGATTGAGCCATCCCCATATACACCTGCTGTTGTATGTACATCCTTGGACCCACTTATTGAATTTTTCGCATTCTAGATATAAATACAGGGTGACATACAGAACTAGTACTATGATTTTTTTGCTCATGATTTCTTCGCATGCCTGAATAAATACTTTTCACAAAACTATTTATTGGTGTTCATTGTTACAGATCCCTGGTGGCGCACAAATACGAGACTACGTTGTCAGGCATTAGAGAGTTGGAGATACTTAAACAGCAGATCGAACAGAACGATTGCGAGGGCCATCGCAATGGGATACACGAGCTGATACAAGGAATACACGTCGTCTAGCGCATGTATTATCATATTTTTAAAGTTATTTGAGAGAATGTAGTGGTGATTCATTTCTTTTTCACATTCACCCACACTGTTGCCGGAAATATGATCAAAAACTATTTGGTCGAACATCAGTTGATCCAAAATTCAATTGATCAAGAAAATATATTGATCGAATAATCAAATGATCGAAAATCAATTGAGCTGTTTTCTATCTTGAACGCGAGAGCGGCAAGTTCTCTCCTCTTCCATCTTTCTCTTCAATGCTACCAACTTGGCCGCATTGAAATATATAGAGGTGCGATAAATCTTTCCTTGTCTAACCTCTAGTCTGCGCCACTGAAATATTTTCGATGTTATAATGATATCCTTTTCTTCTGAACTAACTGATATATTTCACTTGGACTGAACTGAATCAGTTGACATGCATTCTAACTAATCAAATTCTTTGGAAAAAACACATAATAACTCAATACTGGTACAAGTTTCGGACATATGTATGTCCATCATTAGCCTTATATTGAAATTACATAATTGTCCTGAGATTAAAATAGTTATTAGTGCAATCAACAAGAGTTATGAAAATAAGAGTGCTTACATGGGGATAAAAAAGGTTATGAACCTTTTTTTTTTAATTATATAGTGAAGGGTTTCAACGTGAAAATTAAAATGGGTCTAAGTCATAACCTGACTCAGCCTAAATTAACCTTACTTCTGTAATCATAGGGAATACCTGAACTATTAGGCAAGTGGTGTACCAAATGTAGAGGTATGCTATTTGCAATATGCTGTGTCATAACACTGGTATCCTCTCACATAAAAATATCCATATCATTAATTTTTCTTTTCCACATTGACTATTTATTAGTGACTGTAACTGACTTGAGGTTATACTTACCACAGCTTCTCACGTCAAAATCCTTCATTCAATGAATTTCTGGAATCTATACAAAGGATTTGAGACGAATTTGTAAGTAGTTTGAATATTATATTCAAATGATTATATTCGATCAAAATGTAGTTCGATCAATTGATATTTGATCATTTGATTTCTCGATCAATTGATTTTCAATCAATTTATGTTCGATCAAATAATGATGTTGATCATATTTCCGGCAACCAACCCACACAACTACGATTTTTCGAAAGAAAAAATGAATCACCCTGTATATATTACTAAAGAAATATTGTTTTGTTATGAGGGTTTATTATCCTATCAATTTTCTTCCAATACTTGAAGTTTATTCATTAGTGATTGAATAACCAATGAATAAGGTATTCTTTATTGCAATTAGGGCGCCTTTTTGACAGTTTGATGACCCTTGTTAATGTTTCAGCTCATTTAGTGAATAATATAATTAAACAGAGACGGATCCACACACAATTATGTGGCCAAACAACAAAAAGTAATTGTAAGACTTCAACTGTAAGAGTTCAACTTTCGTCATCTTGAAAGACTCAAAACAATCACCGCTTGAAGTTTGGCCATAGTCTCAATTAACACCTAGAACAGTGTGGCGATTTGAAAACGAGACAGCGGCTCTGTAGGTCGACAGAACCGGATTATAAAAAACGCCAGAACACGTCAACTATCAGATTTCTGAATCCTGAACCGCCCTGTATATCTTCCAATTAAATACCAGTTGATAGTAAATCAGAAGTTGAAATAGGGACTTGAAAGCCGTTTTGACCAATAATTGATAGTTTCCACACAAAAAACTCTAAAGTTGAAAAATCTTGATTTTGAACACCCTATATCTCTGTAATCATTCCTGCTAGTTCCCAAGTGTCATATATCAATGAAATCAACTCTTTAGGGAGAATCCAAAAATGCAGTGAAATACAGGGTTTCCATTTGAAGTAACAAAGTTGTTCCTACTTTTCAATAGAAGCGGCAACGCCGCAGCGCTGAAAATATGTTAGAATAATTTCTCCCTCGAAAATGTAGTGCTTCAGCGTTTTTTATAATCCATTTCTATCGACCGACAGAGCCGCTGTAGCGTTTTCAAATGGCCACCCTGTAAATCTTATTCACAAACGGTTTGAAATGAGACAAAACGATGGTTTGTCCGTACCCTTGTAAACTTATGAATACGTCAAATGGTCATCAAGGCACTCCTAGATTTACGAGAGTTTGATTAATAGCTGGTGCCAGACTTACTTTCTTTGCCTTGTTTCATCAGTTGCTAGGTCAGCTGGCCATAGATTCACGAATACATGCAATTGAGCAGAGTTAACTAACGAGAAGGACGATCTAGCTTTCAGAGCCACCTACTGTCATAACCTTGCGAATCCGGCGAACGCGAATCTGACAAGTGTCAGCTGGCCTAGTGTAACTGATGATGCTTGGCGAGCCGGAACAGTCTTCCTTGCATCGGTTGATAATCGACGGAAATCCAATATCGAATCCTCAGTTTTGAAATTCTAGGTGTCTCAACACTACTTGTCATTGTCAAACCTCGAAGAGATTCCCAGGTGTTACGATAGTATGCAGATGTGCGAGAGAGAGACAAAATATTTCTTCACATTTTGTCCCTTTCTTTACGGTTCCAAAGTAAAATAATGGAAATTTTACGTTTAACACAAAATGAGAAGAATACCATTCTAACCTCGATATAGAAAAAGTCAGAATGATATACTTCTGATTTTGTGAGTTATCAACATTCACTTATCATTATTTTACAGTGGAACCTTGGAGACAAAGACGAAAGGCTAGGATATTTTTTTTCTCTCAACCTGGCTGAAATTCTCTATTGATTTAAGTGTATTGTATAAAAGAAAAGCAAGACAGTGCACCTGTCACTTATCCGTACTTATCGAATATGTTATTTTTATAGTTGTTATATGAAAAGTAGCCTCTATTTTTATTAAATAAAATATTGTTATGATGCTCTGATATGATTTTGCCTTCGCCTTCAACTATTTTCACCATGAAGAACATCTTTCTTTAATGTTTGTCGAAAAATGGATGTTGAACAAAGTAAATAATAAATTTGAGGTAAATCGGGAAGGTAAGATGAAAGTCTCGAAACACTGAAACAATGTATTTACATGTTCACATAAAAATATCGCATTTTAGTTCATGTGGGTATAACTTAATAGTAAAATTAAGAGCTACTTATAAATTAATAATAATATTCAAGATAGAAAACTGTCTCTCTCGCGTTATCCATACTCTCTCTGTCAATCCCAAATATCTGGAGGGAAATGATTCACGTCTACTTGATCTTGAATCGAGCTGCCTTCCGAAGTATACGATAGTCGAACTTTCATCTTCAACAGATTCTGAATAGGAAAAAGAAAACAATGTGAAAAACTGGTGGTTTCAAAAATCCTTCTATCCAGATTACTTGAAGATGAATGGAATGTCCCTAATTCTACTAGTTTCGACCGTCATCTGATAACGGAAAGATAAATGTCCAAAAGGCATGTAAAAACATTATATTTTTTGAAAACTCATCTGTGCCAACCACTATTCTGAGCAAAATGATTGAAAACTGACACTTTCCTGTGCAGTAGTTTGCGATTTGATAACAAGATGAAAATTTTGCCATCCGTTACCAATTGAATGGTCGATACTGTCTGTAGGCTAATCGAGGAGGTGGTACATTCATTTTACTTGGTTCTTTGGGATTTCCTCCTCGTTTCTATGAAATAAAAGTATTCGTATTATTTCAATATATTTGTAGCGGGACAAATCAGATGATTTGCCCCAAAATGTCATTGCGTTTAACAAATGTTTCCATCAGGGAGTCTAAAAGAAAAATCCATTTTTACTTATCTTTGGAAGTTTCGGGGCCGATTCTGCTCCCGTTCTCAACGTCAGTATGACACTGAAAAGTGTCATTTGCATTTATTTACATGTTGAGAACGGGAGCAGAATTCCCGAAACGTCTAAAGATAAGTAAAAATTCAATATTTTTTCAATATATCTATATATCTTTCCTTCAAACATTTTTTCAAACAAATTGTCACTGACAAGCTACTGGATTTTTCTTTTAGACTCCCTGATACAAAAATTTGTTAAACGCAGTGACATTTTGGGGAAAATCATCTGATTTGTCTCTACAAATATATTGAAATAATGCGAATACTTTTATTTTATAGAAACGAGGAGAGAAAATCCCAAAAAACCAAGTAAAATGAATGGTCGATCTCAAAAACTTATCTGTGCCACCCCGAAGTCTGAGTCAAATCCACGGCACAGCGATTTATATGCTTCAATTATACCGGACCTACTTCATGTGATAACGAGTTGAAACAAAAAGCAAATGAAAGGGGATGATGTCCCCTTTGCAAATATCCAAACGTGCCGCGATTCGAACTGATGTAAATTAGTGGCAGAGCTATACGTCCGAGAATATTTCGCCCCTGTCGAAAGATAATATCCGATGGACCAGTGTAAAACTGATGTGGATGTTGAGTTTTACACTATTCCATCGGATATTATCGTTTTAGACGGAGGCCAAATAGTCTCGGAAATATTGACGCTCTGCCATACTGACTTAAATCAGTTTGAATCGCAGCACGTTTGAATTTTCGCAAAGGGGGCGTTTTTATTTGCTTTTTGTTTCAAATCGGAAGTATTTCCGGAATGATAGCAGCTAATAAATCGCTGTGCCGTGGAGTTGACTCAGATTAAGGAGTCGCACAGGTAGGTTTTTGAGAACTACCATGAAATTGGTATCGGATGGCATAATTCTTATATCGTTATCAAATAGCGAAATTTTGCTCAGTAATGTTTTTACATGACCTTGGCACATATTCGTTATCAGATTACGGTCAAAATTTGCAGCCGGCTCTCCTACTATATGCACAACTGTGAAAACCGAATTTTCAACTTACCCTGCTCGTATTGACAATTTTCAAGACTTGCGTTACTTTTCCGTTCGGTTGCATCGTAGTCCCCGAAGGTGACAACACTTGCAACTGGAATGTCTGAAAATTAAATCAGAACTAGTTAAACTCATAAAGCATTAGCGAAACCGCCACCGTGAATTCTTGGAATTCCTCTTTGATGACGTCACATGAGGGCAACCAGGATGGTCAATCCAGAATTATAATTAGGGCTATTTGTTAGTGTTTGCTCAACCCAACAACATTACCTACTATCTAGACAGACACAGAAACTAAGATATAGATTTGAAGGTATAGCTGACAAATTCTTGCATTATATTTGAACAAGAGAAAGCAATGCGTAATACATAATGGAAAACTGGGTAGCACACAAACGATTTCAAATGGTGTCCTTGGGGCCCTACTCTTTTTGAAATAAATTAATGACAATGACATGGAGCAATCATTAGGTGTGAACTGTGTGTTTTACAGAAGGATGACCAGTTTGAACATTGCATTTTTTCACAGCACAGATTTTTTTTATCGCTTGGAGCGCACGAAAGGGAATCCCTATAATGTTCAAAGAACATCGTGCGTTCCTAGGGAAGATAGGGACAGGAGGTAGGTATTGGAATTTTTTTTGAACTTTTGGAGATTATATGTTGTTGGGAATAATTCCACAGGCAATGAATTCCAGAGCCTAGCCGTTCTATGGATGAAGGAGTCTTGATAAAGTGCTGTTCGACATCTTTCGAGGTTGACAACGAAAGGATGTGCTGACTGGGCTTGTCTAGTTCGTCTGATTGGTTTTGCTAGTGAAGGGATGATAGCAGAGATTTCCGAAGAACATTTCCCGTGGAAGTATCGATAGAAAAGTGAAAGGTTGCCGACCTTTCTACGGTGTTCCAATGATGTCAAAGAGTGAGTGAGTGTGGCGTCACCCACCAGGCGAATGGCTCTTCTCTGGATGGAATCTAAGAGCATCAGCGTATGTTTTGGTGCTGAACCCCATATGTGAAAACAGTATTCTAGAACAGGCCGTTTCTGCGCTTTGTAGATCATGAGAAGCTGTTGAGGTGTAAAGTAGCTTTTCGCACGGAACAAGAATCCGAGTTTCTGTGAAGCAGCTTTTGCGATGGATCTGACATGATTATCCCATGAAAGAGTGTTGCTGATGGAAATACTGAGCATAGATATGGTGGGCTTGGTGGGGATGGTGGAGCCAGACATTACAATATCGGGCATACTGAGTTCCGCCTTTCTAGAGAAAATACAGGCTTGAGTTTTGGTGGCGTTGAATTCAACTAGGTTGTTGGTTCCCCAGGCTGTGATTTCAGCAAGATCTTCATTGACAGCATTGACCTGCCTGCGCCGTGAGTTCTTAGTTTCCTGGGAAGAAATGGGAGTTCTGGAAGAGAACGCAGTATGGAGGGTACTATCATCTGCAAAGCTGTGGATGGGGCAAGTTGTTACTCCCAACAGATCATTGATATGAAGAAGGAATAATGTTGGTGCCAAAATTGATCCTTGTGGAACGCCGGAATTGATGCCAATGGTATCAGACGATACACCGTCCACCACCACGTGAAGCGATCTGCCTGAAAGAAAACTCGATAAGAGATGGCATGGCTGAGGTGGTAAGCCGTATGATGGTAGTTTGTGGAGGAGTCCTTCGTGCCAAACACGGTCGAATGCTTTCGATATGTCCAACGCGACATCTAGAGATTCCCCGTGTTTTTCTAATGAAGCTTGCCATAAATGGGTAGTAGTGTAGTAGTGGCAAGTAGATCTCCAGTAGATCTTCGGTGGCGAAAGCCGTATTGTCTATCATTGATGATTCCTGAGCTCTCCAGATATTTGATAAGCTCAATATTGATGGCTTTCTCCATCACTTTGGAGATTACTGATAACAGGGCAATGGACCTGTAGTTGTTGGGCAGGTTCTTGTTCCCTTTTTTGGGGATTGGTTGGACTCTAGCTGTCTTCCAGCATGATGGAAAAATACCCGACCTGTACGAGACGGTAACCAACTTGCAGAGAATCGGTGTCAATTCTGGTGCACATTTTTTGAGGATAATGGGTGGAATTCCATCAGGACCGCTAGCCTTATTCGTTTTGAGACCAAGCAAAATTCGTCTGATAGTGCGTTGACGGAAGACGATTTCGGGCATTCGACTCTCAACGGGTGGAATGTCTGGCGGCACTTTTCCTTGGGAATCTAAAGTAGAGTTTGCTGCGAACATCTCTGAAATGAACTATTAGTGAAATTTCTTCCGACCGCTTTAGCAAGGGACCAAAACGAACGGGAACCATTGGGGCAATCTATGAGTTTCGATCTTATCTTGGCATTGTATGTTTCTTTCGAAGCATCTATTGTTTGGCTGCAGTTATTCCTGGCATCAACGTATTCTGCTCTGGTCGCGAGGTTAGGATTAGGAATAAAATCACATGCGGTTTTTAAATAACTGAATAATTCAACACTGACATTCATTTCACTCATATTTACTGCCACATTTAATTATGCATCTCAACCAGTGGCGGTTCTACTATACCGCGAAACACCGCGGCGCGGGGGGGGGGGCACACGTCAAGGGGGGCCCAAAGGACCCACGCGGCACGCGGAATTGGTAACCATATGTTTGAAATAAATTTTTATTCTCGTGACCTGCTCGATGAATGACGCGAATAAGTTTTCAGAATATATTCTCCAGTCTTACTAATCTTACTCTTCTGTGGTGATGTGCTGCAAATATTCTAACTTCTACGTTTCAACCCTCTGTGTGCAGTGTGTACAGGTGCACGTTATTATTATTTGTCGCTAGCCGAATATAGAGATGACCAACTGAAGACGGAAGCTACTAATGTCGCCGCAAAATGGAGTATTCATCCAAAGTTTCAGGAGAAAAGAAACATTACATCAAAAAAAATATTTGGGGAACCCAACACACAATATTTATTTTCTGAGAGAGAATATTTCTTCAGCGTAAACATTTACTATAACACTCTTGACATCGTTCTCTGCCAAATCAAAAATAGATTTGAAGCCATGAATACCACTGTCAGTAAATTCAACTTTCTTAAACCAAAACTGCTGGTTGAAATGTCGGAAGAAGATTTGTTCGAATCATCGGAAAACCTACTAAAGTTACCCCAGTGACTTATCTCCCAATTTTCCTCTCGGGGCAATTTCGCTTTCGCCTCTGAAAGAAGAAATATTGAATCTGAAAGATATAAGAGAGTTTGCAGAGTTCCTGATAATTATGAATTCTACGCTATCTTCCAACTTTTCTGAAGTTATACTTCTCTATTACTGTTTCTGACCTTACCTGTAACTGTGGCCTCTGCTGAGAGGTCATTTTCCATATTAAAAAGCATTAAAAATTATTTGCGGAATAAAATGGCACAAGAGAGACTAAGTGCACTTGCAATACTATCAATAGAAGCAGAAGAAGCAGCTGCAATGGAGAAATCCGTTTTCATTAACGAATTTGCAGATAGGAAGGCAAGAATGATTATAGAAAACAAGGGGCCCTTGCACAATTCTCGTAGGGGAGGCCATGAATCCTAGACACGCCACTGATCTCAACATTTTATCAAAATATCTATTTCTTGTCAACCATGCATTTATTTTTTATTTTCACTATTTCTGTTCAGACGTCAACTTGTTATAGGTATGTACATCAAATGTATTCAGAAAAACATCTTAGTCAGGATTTTTTTTTTAAATATGTATATGCTAGGCGCGTTCGGCTTGCTCACTTTATCGACTCTTTTCACTATATTCGCTCCTTATGCGTTCGGGTATTGTTCACGAACTCCTAGAAGTTCGAATTTTACTGTTCGGGTTTCGTAAGTCAGAGTCAATGGAAACTCCAAAGCCCCACCTCGATCGGTTAGTGCTCATTCGGAGTTATGTCAAAAACTGATGAGATGTGACATTTATGCGATCTTTTCCCGCTGACGTTTGAAATGGCATCCAATATTATTCCGATAATCATAATACTGTTATGAACGAAAATTATTTGAATCATTTCAAAGGACATTCTAGATCACAACAACATAAAGCGAATTAGGATGAAACTGATTTGATAAAAATTCATCAGGAGGAAACTTCAGACACCAAAGGCGATTTTGTATGCAGACGTTTACAAACTGATGAAGTGAAAAAACAAACTCACCCTTGGAACAGCGACTTGCAGAAGAAAGTCCGTTATTTCCATCTGTGTGTGATTGGTGGAGGTGACGTTGATCGTCATGTTGTCAGAGTTTGGCAACCTGACCAACGAGAACATCACCGTCAGGCCGTTTTTGTCGTAAGCTGTCAATTCGGGCACGTCCGTTTCTGCAACGCAAACATTTCAATGTTTTTATTTTCTAATATACTTATTCACTGTATGAGTGTTTTAGATAGAAATTTATTCGCAGTAAAATTGAGAGGGATGCTCGAGAATTGATAGTAATTACATGATTCAAAACATTTTTTGTGCACCACCGGGCGTGAAGTAGCATTTCATTTAGCTCCCTAGGGCGAAAAATCGGTACAGCCGGCGGTAAAGTAGGTGAAAGGGCGGTAAAGTAATTTCACTTTATTTTCAATACATTCAAGTTGCTACATAAATAACTTTTATAGCTTGAATAATTGCTTTCAGCTGTGATGAATTTTGCAACATATTTATAGACAAGCCATAGTTTATAAAGTTCCTCCCCTTGGCAGGGGTGTTGGATCCAAGAATAGTGAAATTTTTCGATATTCCATACTCTCTGATCATTTCAGGTTTAACTGGAAATGACCCCAACTTACGATTTTCCCAAAAGGTACACCTTGTATTTTATTCCATATTCAGTTAGGGATAATCATAACGAATTCAACGATGCCTACTTCGATAAGTTTACGTTAACGATTAAGAAGCAATTTGCGTTCGAAGTTAACATTACAAAATCTGTTACCATCATTGAGCATAATAATATGGAAATTTCGAACAGGAATATCTTCGTAATGGTTCGAAATAATCCTACCAAACCAAGTATCGTTGAATTTCTTATGATAATCCCTAACCACTTGAAATAATTGATTAATTATAAGTTCGTTCGTTCCCGGTCAAACCGGAAGTGATGAAAGATTATAGACTATTGAAGAAATGACCAATTTTCCAATCATACACCTCAGCCAAATTTGAATCTCATACCTTCGGAAAACCATGGCTTGTCTGAAAAATTCGATGATATCCGGTATGTTTGAAAAGGTAGAACATATTGTATAGTGATAAATTTGAGCAGGATGAGCTGTTGAAGTTGAGTTTATGTTGGTTGAACATAACAGATTGCAATATACTGTAAACAACTGTTTTATTTTAAGGAAATATGGAGTAAATATTTCTCATTTTAGAATCGAGCCTACTGTGAACTGGTGAAATACTTTGATATTCATTGATGAAGTCAATGCCATTAATATAGTATGTAGTATGGTATAGGTTGTTTCCCTCATTTCCAATTCTTCAAGTTTATAGCTGACATGATTAGTAATGGAGTAGATTGTAGCACGTTGTAGGTTCGATCAGGAGCGACGAAATTTGGTCAACTATTCAATTATTCTTTTATGAAACAATCTAACTGAACGACTTTGGTATACTTTTTAATGAAATTCTTATAAAACAATAAAAAAAAACTAATTAACAAGTTATGTCAATATAACATAATAATTAAAATAAAACCATTCCAAGTATTCAAATGAGAATAAATTGCTCCGTTTATTGTGTCATGAGTATATATTTTTTCATATTGACTTTGAATCTTGTTTCATCATCAATATGTTTCAAATCATAAGGTAATGAATTATATAAAATGATTCCGTTGTAGAATACTGATTGTTTGCCAATGATGGAGTTATATGGGTTTGCTATTAATGAATTCAACTGTCTCGTTGCATGAGTATGAATTGTATTTACTTCAGTAAAGTTCAAGTTGGATATTTTGATTTTTTTTCTCACATGCCACAATCCAGTGTATAGGAAAACAAGAACAAGCAAGTTGTTGAAATCAGTTGAATCTTGAGAGCGATAAATGTTAAAATAGCCAAAGAAGTGAAAAATCGGTTGAAACGGCAACGGCATCTCACTGAATAGTGAATTATCGATTTTTTTCCCGACTACCAATACACGGTCGACGCGCTATAGAACTTGTAACGTCGGACCGCTGACGATTTTCCGTCGTGTTCTAACGGGAGCATTTTTTTGAAAATTTATTTCGAGAAATCTAGAATAAAGAATTTAAAAAACGTCATATTTTTTTTAGAAATGAGTGCCTGTTGAAAAGAATGAATGTACAAAACAAACCACTGGAATGAAATTATGCACTCACATTGTATACCCCTCTGACTGATTACACAGGATAAATAAAGATGAAAAAACATCCAGTGCGGATAAAGTTCCAGCTAGTGCGACGAATGGAAAACGATATAAATTCCATAGTACGCTCACCGTTGATCGTTCCTTCATCGCCGAACAACCCGTCATTGAGGAAATTCGAGTTGCGTGTGTTGATCTCCGGCATCAGGTTGTTGATGTTGTTGTCGAGGATACGGTCGACGTTGTTGTCGGCGTCTGCCAGCGGCGCCGGGAGAGGATTGAGGCCGAGCAGGTCGAGCAGGTCCTGGTTGTTGCCGTTCGACGTCGGCTGACTTTTCGGCTGCATGATGATGTCGAGGTCGGCGTTGTCGTCCGGACCTCCCAAGAGATCCAAAAGAGTAACCTAGAAGGATTTTTCCAAATCGGGTAAAAACTTCTCTTCTTTTTCTATTTTTTTTTAATTTTTTGTTTTATTCTCTTTTTTTGTATTTCGTCTTTTCTGTTTTCTTGTCATCCACTTCTGACCATAGCTCCAAATTTCAACTAACTAGCTCATCGGGAAGTTAGTTTGAAATCAATTACAAAATTCCACCCGGACAGACATAGATGAAAGCGAGTTAATGAAAAAAAAAACATGAATATGGCAAACTGGGCGTTACGAATTTTTTTCTGACCGTTCCTAGCGCACTAAAGTGATTCCCTTGAAATAATAAGGATGCCATTTATTCGTCTTTCTTGGCAATACAAAATGATGTAGGATATATTAGAAGCGAGAGATAAAAATGAGGTGAAGGAAGAATATAATTTCGAGGTCGAGCAGGTCTAGCAGATCCTGGTTGTTGCCGTTCGACGTCGGCTGACTTTTCGGCTGCATGATGATGTCGGATCGGCGTTGTCGTCAGGACCTCCCAAGAGATCCAAAAGAGTAACCTAGAAGGAATTTTCAAAATCGGGTATAAACTTTTCTTTTTTTCTGATTTTTTTCAATATGTGCTGTTCTGTTCTTTTTTTCTTTGTTCCGTTTTCTTGTCATTCACTTTTGAGCAATGGCCCAAATTTCGACTAACTAGCTCAACGGGAAATTAATAATAATCTTTATTATTCCCAAGAAACATATATGTTTATAGCAGGGAAAATTATGAAAGAGCAACTAAAAAAAAAAATTAGATAATCAGATTGATTGATTGATTGTCTTTTATTACCCCAAGAAACATTTCTGTTTATGATAGGGATACATAAATACATTAAAATCAATTACAAAATTCTACCAGGACTGACATTGAAGAAAGCGAGTTGATGAACAAAAAAAAATTGCAAAAAAAGGTGCGTTACGAATTTTTTTCGAATCGGATCGTAGCGCACTTAAGTGAATCCCTTGAAATAATGACGATGCCATTTATTCGTCTTTCTTGGCGATACAAAATGATGTATGATATGTTAGAAGCAAGAGATGGGAATGAGATGAAGGAAGAATATAATTTTAAGGTCGAGCAGGTCGGCGTTGTCGTCCGGACCGCCCAACAGGTCCAGCATAGTAACCTAGATAAATAAATAGTAGTTTGATAAACTGAAATCACGATTTTCCACAGGGTGTACCCGGAATTGGGGCAATAAATCAAGTAGATAATTAATGTTCATTGATTGTTTTGTTTTATTGTGATTTATTGTGATATCTTGATTTATTATGATTTATTATTCATGATCAGTTCTACTCATGTTTGTGTAGTAGTTCATAGATATTTATTACTCATTATTTTATAATTATGTTCTTCCTCATACCAGAGCTTGTTCTGACTGGAAGATATGTTTGATAAATAAATAAATGAATAAATAAATAAATATATAAAAATAGAAAACCTTTGGATATTCGCGAAGGGGACATTATCCTCTTTCATATGCTACATGATTCAACTCGTTATCACATGACGGAAGTATGGTTCTTGAGATCTACCATTGAATTTATATCGGATGGCCTAATTCTCATCCTGTTGATGAAATAGCGAAATTTAGTGCAAGTACCCCCACAAGAAAGTGCAATTTTTCAGTAATTCTGCTCAGGATAGTGATTGGCATAGGTGGCGTTGAATAAAATTCAATGTTTTTACATGCTTTTGGGACATATCATGTCATTATCAGATGGCAGTCGAAATATGCAGCCGGCTCTTGAACTACGAATAGAGTGAAATAAATATAAAGCTTCTTGAAAATATAGAAAATATTATCAGAAACATGGGCGAGTACCAAACTTGTGCAAAACTTTTATGGAAAAAGTAATTGAAAAAAAAAACAATTTCAGCACCCTGTATCTCCGAAAAGAAAAAAATCCAGGCACAAGTTGATATGGACTTCCACTTGAAACTGTCTCAGGAATACGTCATTTGAATAGTTTAACATACTTCAGTTACACTCTGTATAGTAGAAACAGAACATGAATGCATCGTTTCTATGACAAGATATGCCGTGATATTTCGAAACTCTTCCTCTTTTGCCAGTTGTTCTATTTCGAAGAAGTGTTAAGTTATTATTGTATTGTATTAAAATGAATAGTCAATCATTCTCGACTACCAATCAATGACCGAAGCGTCAAAGCACTTGGGACCTCTGTATCGGTGGCGGTATCTCGACGTGTTCAAAGGGAAGCATTCCTTAAGGAATTATTTATGAAAAAACTAATAAGGACAAAATATTCAAAAATATCACAATGCGCTTTCTCATCGTGATGAACGTCATAGTATTTTCTCTATAAATCAATCGAAACCTTCTTCGTACTCACCGATTCGCTGTTAGCTGTACGCTGCGGACTGACTTCGTTATCGCTGACGTCGCCGTTGCTCTGATAGTCCGTTTGCCGGTTCGCCTCCATTTGGGGCATGCGCTCCAGGAGGGCGGGTCGCAAGTGCGAATACTTGCCGAACAGCTGCGAATACTCGACGCCGCGCTGCTGCAGCTCGATGTGCAGACTCGAGCAGAACGAGCTGATGATCTGCTGGATCTTGCTGAAATCGAAAGTATAGGGATTGATAGACGTCAGTTTTTGTCTTAAAATGGGAGAACGTGAACAAAAGAATCCAATTTCTTGTTCAATTTGAATAATAACATTCGAAGATTTTAGCCTGAATGGACAAATAGGACGAAAAGAGTAGTTTTCAGATGTATAGGTACATTGAGAGAAAGAATCTTTCTATCAACTAGCAGAGTGTTTGCTTTGATAGTCCGTCTGCCGGTTCGCCTCCATTTGGGGTATGCGCTCCAGGAGGGCAAGCCTCAAGTGCGAATACTTGCCAAATAGCAACGAATACTTCCCGAATAGGTGCGAATACTTGCCGAATAGGTGCGAAAAATAGATCGATAATAATAGTCTTAAGATCTATTGATGCATTAAGAGATAGAAACTCCCTATCAACGTGCAGAATGTTTGCTCTGATCGTCCGTCTGCCCGTTCGCCTCCATTTGGGGCATGTTCTACAGGAGGTCAGACCGCAAGTGCAAATACTTGCCAAACAGCTGCGAATAAGCCGCGCTGCTGCAGCTCGATGTGCAGGCTCAAACAGAACGAACTGAAGATCTGCTGGATCTTGCAGGAATGGGTGAAAGGGGACTGGAAGACGTCAGCTTTTCTCAATAGGTGATCAATTTGAAAAAAAAATCTGACCATTTTTTTTGTTAGTGAGTGTACTTCACTTTGCTCTAACAGAAGAATGGGACGGAGAGACTTTTGTTCAAACTGAAGAATTGGATCGGGAAACTCTAATTTCTTGTTTAATTGAAGGAATATGACCTGAACACTTCAGTTTATTTGCTTCAATGGGATAATAGGTGACTTGAGATGTATATAGTTTCTACCCTGAAATATGTACATACGTGCAAATAAATTCCGAATTTTTTTTATTTCAAATGAGTGATAATATACACATACCATTATAAAGAGGAAAGATTTGATTAAATTCTTTTACCATTAGCAGCCGACATTATCACTGATGCACATAGGCTACATTTTACAGCGAGAAAATGCTATGGGAAAACGGGTAAGAGGACAATGGGTAGTAAGAATTATATCCTTCCTTACTTATCATTTTCACATAACTTCTAAACGGCTGAACCGATTGGGTTAAAATTTTATATGGGTTTTTCGATGGTTTCTTGGATGATTCAAAAATACAATTGGAGGCGGTAGGTGGCGCTGCTGTCGGTACGTCAACTACTAAACGGCTCGACTGATTGGGTTGAAGTTTTTAATACGTAAAACAACAAAAAAAATACAAAAGATACTGAGAGAACGAAAATAGGCGAATATGATAGTTATAGGAAATCACAAAAAAAATTCAAAAAATAACAAAAAACATGTACTGTAGATACGAGCATAGCTCAGAACGACTACATCAAATGTGATTTTTTTTTAAATGGATACACCAACCGTGCGAAGCCGGGCCGGAAAGCTGATAGTTAATTAAGAAAGACTCACGAGGTGTTGTTGAACCTGGTACTCAATTTGGTCAAACTCATCAAGGTATACTGCTTCGTTATCACGCTATTCTGCGTCGACCACAACAATTTCTGGTACAGTTCGATGACGTCATCTACGTTAGGCGGCTCGATACCGTCCACGACATCCTATAGAGAAAGACAATAGTAAAAACGAATTTCAAAATTATAGAAACTGGGAATTTAGATTCCTCACTGCATCTCAACAGAAAAACATGAACATTCATCATAGTGAAAATGATTCAAAATTATTTCATATTGTTCAAAAGTAGTACCAACCTAATTTAGGTCACTCTAATGAGGGCTAACATTTTCAGCCTCTCCAGTTGACGCTACTAAAACGTGAGGTTTAACATTGACAGAGAAGAAGATATCATAGGAAGAGACCGAATGATACAAAATGAAGTATATTTATCAGTTCTACCAACTTTGACTCCACGTTTCAGTGGCGCGATGGGGTGGACAATAAATAATTATAGCCCTCATTAATTCAGTTTATTGAGCGATAATAGTACGATTGAGTGATCTTGTGACAGTACATGTTTGGTTGACTCTTGAAAAGTTGACAATATGATATTGGACTAAAAATATTATGTTCTCAAAGGTGATGCAATTTTTTTCAAATGAGGTAGAATTCATTGAAATAGACAAATCCACGAATCTCTGTTCAGTGATTACCCGACTTATTCCCCGTCCCTCTATTACTGTAGAATCTTGTTCGTCTTACACTAGTCATCAACTCCGCCTTTGCAATTGTTTTTCTGTGAATTGTTGAACAATGGCGTACGTTCATAAAAATATTGAGCTTGTTGACATGCTTTTGATTCATCGTGAGTGTGGCCAAAGTGCAGCTGCAGCATTTCGCTGGTGAGCGGAAAGATTTCCGTTAAGAAATCATCCAACACCGCGAATGTGGAACTGGGAGTACCACAGGGCAGTGTTCTAGCACCAATTCTTTTCTCATTGTTTATTGCAGACTTGGTTGAATTCATACCTGAATATAAAATTACACTTTACGCCGATGACTCATCTTTTCTAGTATCACAAGAGTGTAGTGAACAGAATGAAATAGCATGTAATCGTCTTCTCCATAAACTTGGTGAATGGTTTTCGGCGAATCAGTTATTTCTCAACACCGAAAAAACGGAGTATTTGATCTTTCATACTAGACAGAGAATTATTCACAATCCGATCACAATTAAATTAGATGACTTTGAAATCAATAGGAAACAAACAGTAAAGTTTCTAGGAATAACTCTGGAGGATGATCTCAGTTGGAAAGATCATATATCCAATAAAATCAAAATGATAAATACAAAAATATTTCAAATTCGATGTATGCAGAAGGTTGTTGACATTCATTGTATGAGAAATTTTTACTTTGCAGAAATTCAGTCCACTTTACTTTATGGCATTTTACTATGGGGTAATTCTCCAGCGGCACAGCAATTATTCCTAGTACAGAAAAAAGCACTGAGAACCATGAAAAGCGTATCATCCAGACTCTCTTGTAAACCCCTATTTGCTGAGTTGAATATATTACCCCTAGCATGTCTCTATATAATGGCATTAGCATGTTACATTCATAAAATAAGAAACACTCTTCCTAGGCATATGGACATACATTGCTACCAAACCAGATACAACCAGTTGATATATCCAAGTCAAAATAACCTTCAAATATCATCAAGTGGTCCACTTTCAACTGGCATAAGAGTCTATAATCAATTACCTGAAGAGATAAAGAATCAATCATCACACTCCAAGTTCCGAAATTCCATTAAACATTTTCTGATGGCAAATCTATTTTATGATATCAATGAACTGTTTATGTGACTGCATTTTTTTTTTCATTTTAATTTGTGTGTTGTTTTTACGTAGGTACTTACATTTTAAGGCATTTTATAATTTTATACATAATTATTTTAAACAAACATGTATTGTATTTTGACCTTGACAAATTCTATACCTAAATTAGGTCTTTTGAATGAATAAAATATTTGATTTGATATTTGATTTTTGATTTGATGTTCGTTAATTTGGTACATTAGTGTTGTCACAGGGTGTTTAAAGAAATGAAGAGGAGGATATGTGAGAAGGCCTGCCTGTACCACCCGAATCGGTTGAAATTGACGAAGACATTCTGGATATGATCGATGACGATCCAACAAGTCGGAGTGGCTCACAGTGAAGTATTGCAGACAATAAGACAAGAACAATTATCTCCCTATCCCTATTATTGAAGAGTACAAGCTTTCCAACTTCAGGATCATTCCGGAAGGGTTGAATTTTGTCTGTGACTTCTGAATCAGTACCATAACAACGGACAATTCACAAAATCCATATTTGTGCAATAGAAAATTCTCACGTTGTAGGCAGAACACATTTCCAACAAAGATTTTCTTTGAATGTTTGTGCTGGGCTTGTCGATGCCATTCTTTCCTCCACCCCGAATGCTATGTGATAATTATTTAAAATTGTTCAAAACAATTTACCCGACTCACTTGAAAATGTGACTTTGAATGTGAGACAGCCAATGTAGTTTCTACACAATGGAGCTCCTACATATTTCAGACGAGAAGTTCGCGAATATTTCCCGAATGCGAATGTTTCCCAATAGGTGAATAGGGCGCAATGGGCCAATTTCTTGGCCTACACGCTCAGTGGACCTAAATCTTCTTGGATCTGAGGTTTGAAAAACATGTCAATATGGTAATCGAAATTCTTTAACAACCACAGTGAAATGTACATTGACTAAATCACTTGTTTTATCCTTATTCAACTATTTTTTCCTTCTTATATTTTTCCGATCAGTTATTTTGTTTGTATTCCTAAATAGACCTTGGGAGACATTTTTTGGGTTAAGTGAAAGAATAACTCATTTAGTGAAGTTTTCGCTGAATGAGAATGAGATAAAAAAGACCATTAGTTTTTATTATTCATTTGGGGCGATTTGAAAAACTTGGTGTAGCTTGTACCGAAGAAGTGGATATCGTGAATGAATTGAGACAGCGATTAGAAAACGTTTGAATGAAGTTAGTTTGTGGTGCCGCATGTTGTAACTCATTGTTGCCCCGAACAAGACTGTGCGCACATCAAACGAATGGTGATAACTTCGATCAATTTCCGTGAATATACCAGGACTTCGTTATTTTGCAATTCTTATATGGAAAAATTCTGGCGATGTTGTCTGATTATCGTTTCTTATACCTGTACAAGCGAGTCACCGAACTCTCCGATAGCCCATACTGCCACCTGCGTGAGCGGCTGCCGGTCGTGCAGATCTTCGGCGAGCGCCCTGTATAGCTTGGCGGTGACGTAGCCCTGTTGCTCCACGCTCTCCGATATCAGCTGGATGGTAGACGAGATCACGTCGTCGCGCATGTAGTTGCCCGACTAGTAATTATATACAACTTATTATAACTCATTTTCAACATTAGAATAGTTATTAATAGTATATGTAAAGAAACAACGTGAGTTATAATAACTCACGACTATAACACATTATGATAAACCAGAAAAGATCTCTGTAGGTACTTCTGTACAGGCCGGTTGGACAAAAGAGAATAGTCCATTATTGTTATTGAGGGGAGTAATGTCATCTGAATAATTTTGACGTTTTCAAATTAAGTTAATACCTGAATATTATGAATTTTCTGCTGAAAAATATGGATAATTCAGATAGTGAAGAAGAATTATTATGTACACCTCCAGAAATAGGACAAGCAGCTAATGTTACCCTCCAAAATTCATTGCCCGAAAAATCACCAAAAAAAATGAAGGTGTATACAAAAATGTTCAAGATTGGTGTAGCAGTAAGAACATCAAGTCATCGTTTATAGAAAATCTACTTTTGGCATATTTTATTGAACTCAGCACTAAATATAAACCATCTTCCTATGGACTTCCTACTCCATGTTAAAGCCACTCAAGATAAAATAATAATGGAATCAATATAGAGAATTATGTAAAATTACGAGCGTTTCTTGAACGTCAATCAGAAAAACATGTAGTTAAAAAGGCAAAGGTATGAGATTTGTGAATAAAGTTATTTCTCTGAACTTGTTTCTTAGTATTTATATGATAGTCGTAGATAAGGTATTGTTGAAGTTTTTCTTCCCTGTCCTGAGACCTTTCGTATGGGAGACCGTGAAAACTTCCTTCCAATGGATAAGACTCCATAGGGAATGATAGGATTGACAAGTACACTAGATAAGAAAAAGGATTTCCCAACTTGAGGTTTTTTAACAGAAAAAAAAAATCCTGACAGAGGCGAAACAAAACTCATATCTGGAAAGCTGAATGTCATCATGCTAGTTGTACAGGGTACTTTTTACCCACACAACTAGCATGATCGCCACTCGGCGACAGTATAGTATTCAACTTGTGGTAATGGTCATTACTCCTACATTACTTCTCGAATTAATCCGAATTCACTATTCTGGTGCAAGATTCGCAGGAATGGACCTCGAATCTAGTAGGTATTTATCAATGACTTGTCATAATAATGCTCTCATGGTCATGACAACTATATTCCAATTAAAATTAGAAAGAAGTGCTTTCATAGAGACAATAGGTCCATATTTCAGTTTCACAGAACTTTAATGATTGAAATATATTGCTAGTGGAGAAAAAATACTTATTTATTATACAAGGGAAAAAAAGTAGTAGATTTCAGCTCCAGGTTGTGACGAAGAACCGTGAGCTAAAATTTAAAATATTTTTCCCGTGTATAATGCACTGTTGTTTTATTGTAACAGGAAAAAGGACGAATCAATATTGAGAAGATATTACATTATATTGAAATCAGAAAATTATCGACATGAAATTTGAAGTTTCTAACAGGAATGACACCTGCCTTGCAGGCATCTTTATCATTCTTTTGAAGTAATCCAATATCAGACAGTCTATTTCTGTGATTTGATTTTAAAAAACTGCGAATTTAGTGATTGTGTAGTTATTTACGTAACCGAGAAGTCGAATGGAAGATTAAAGGACTTGCAGTGGAATTCATTATAGTTAACCCTTTATTATTATTTGTTTATATGTATTTATGTATCCCTATCATAAACAAAAATGTTTCTTGGGGTAATAAAGACAATCAATCAATCAAAACTAAAGCACAACAAAGGCCATCAACAGTGTATATATGTGATATATACCTGGGAAAAAAGTACCCACTTATTTCCGTGAGAAAAAAGTAATTTATGAAAAGTGACATTTTATAACCTGTCAACAGAAAAGAAATTTCAAATTTTCATCACAGAAAAAAAAATTATTAGCATGAGACCTTATATCCCTTGGCTGAAGCCTCGGGAAATAATCTTGGTCCCTGGGTAATAATGACATTCTTCACTACCTTGGTGTATAAATAACTATAACTACCAAGGTGTATATTGAATTCTTTTCACCACTAGCAATTATTGTAGATTTTAATCATGATAGTTCTGCGAAACTGAAATATGGAATTATTGTCACTATGAACGCACTCCTTTTCAATTCCAATTCAAATCTAGTAGCCATGACCATGACAGCATATTATGATAAGTCGTTATTGATAAATACTTACTAGATTCGACGGCCATTCCTGCGAATCTCGCATAAGAATAGTGAATTCGGGTTAATTATAACAGAGGTGGCTATGTCTATGAAATAGTTGTTCATTCAATGACGAAAGCTACCTTGGTAGAGAATACACACTTCACGCCTTGAAAAGGGGTACAGAATGGTAGGTTGTCTAGCTAGTCGTGGAGAATGGGAAACTCACCGCGACAAGTACATTCAGCAAGGTGTCCAAATGCCACCTTTTGTCGGGAGCGTACCGTTCGGCGGACAACACGATAGAACTGGAACAGTGCGCCTTGAATTCGGCATCTGATTTTTCCAAAAACACCAGCAGCTCCTTCATCATGGCAGTAATATTCTGCGAGTTGACTAGCGCGAATGACAGCTCCATCGCTCTTTTCCTGAGATCCCACGACAAAATCAAGTATTCATTTCGTCATATTTCCAATTTTATGATATACTCATTGAATAAGGTCAGTTAAGTTTGTTGGTGGCAGGTGTGGGATTGATGACAATTATGAATGGGAATTACAGCTATAACATTTTTCTCCTCAACATAAACAGTTGGAGACTGGAGCGAATTTCTGTTAGTGTTCATTGAATCTTCAGTTGAACTTTATGATACCAAGCGTGGGATTGATAAAAAATTGGAACGGGAATAGTAAGAAAAATTGTTAATAGGGATGATATGTATAAAATGAGATAATGATGAACGATGTGCTCAAATAATGAATTCGGCATCAGACGTCCCAAAGGCTATAATATGTTCCCAATTCAACTGTCGGCAGTGTCTGTAGCTCCACTGTATCAGCAGTGTTTGCTGAAATTGTGCTGTTCCGCAATAGTTCAGTATTGACAGTAGAATCACAGCAACTAATAATTTTAGAACGATTTCCATGATGGAAAATCGATGAAAAATCAAGCAAACCAGCTCCGAGATTCAATTAACAGAATGCATAAATGCCATTTTTATTCCCTAAAAATATTGATAACGATTTCATTATTGACAGATTGCTGATTCTTCAGTGATTTCAGGAGAAATCTGAGTTGAGAATATCCAGAATGGATAGTATGTCTGATCTCGGGGTCTGTCATTTCAAGTGAATTTTGTTGATTTTAGAATAGAAAATCACTGAAATCGGCAGTTACTTTATTACAGCAGTGATATTCTGACTATCGCGGAAGACAGCTGTATCGTCCTTCTCCTGAGATCGCACCACAAAATACAAGATCAACTTTTCATTTTGCTATTTTTCAAATATCATGATGGATATTCATTGAATAACTCCGTTACGTTTCTTGGTGGTGGAAGGTGTGGGATTGATGACGATTATGAATGTGAATAACAGCTAGAACATTTTCAATATGGCCGATATATTTCTATTGAGATGTCAATGATTCTCGTCATGATGGACAGTTGGAGAATTAAGCACATTTGTTTATAGTCCATCAAATATGAATGACATGTTTAAAATGAGATGTCAATTATCATTCTCGATTAGAACATATTTTCTTGGCGATGCTCATTAAATACCTTCGGTTACACTTCTTGGTGGCAGGTGTGGGATTGATAAAAATTTTGAATGAAAAAATGAATTAGCTAATACATTTTAAATATGGATGTCATATACGAAATTAGTTGATTTATCATCAGAAAATACCGTTCAATAGGAAATTAACAACTAATAATAATACTATTATTACAGCTACCTTATAGAAATGTCAGGATCTTTGAGACACTCCAATATCGTGGAACGATGCCTTTGTACTGCCGAAGTATCAACATGGACGGTTTTCAACAGAGTGTTCAGTGCGACATACCGAATATTTTTGTCATTGTTGAGCAGAAATCTGCCCAGAATGTTCACAGCAAGAACCTAAAATGATTTTCATGATGATTTTCACTCTTCAAAAGTTTTAACAAGATAAGATATAGAAGATGCAAAATACATTTTTTGTAAAATTATATTTTTACCCTTAGTCCGCCTTCCGATTTGATATCCATAATGGATAGCACAGTTTCGTACAAAATGGTATTGCCGACGTTTTTACTCGTTTCCGTGTTAGTCGCAACTTGAGCTAGAATATCGTTCATAGCCTCAGATGCCTCAACATCGTTGACCCCTAAAACTCTGAGGAGTTTTAGAATTTTTACCTAACAAAAAAACCGATTGAAATTGATACAACGTTGTGTTAAGTAACGTTACCTGTAAAAAAGGATCGCTAACTCCTGACACATCGTGTTCCGGTGAATATCCTGCTAGAATGAGATTTTTCAGGATTCTCACAAGATTTGGTACTATCTAAAACAAGAATATTTGTATCCTCTCCTCAAAAATCAACTGAATAATATTCGATCAATGAGATTCTTTATGGAAATATATCATTCAATGAATTGAGTCTTCTCAATTAATGAACATTGATCAAAACTTTTGATGTTGCATAATATACATCATATATAACTTTCAATATCTTCACAATTCAAAAATAGCTGGAAAAACATTCAGAATATTTGAGAAAAACGAGTTAAGATTAATAACATGCATGTACTGAGTCTATTGAGAAGTCACTATGAAATCATGAGTAATTTCCACTTACCCTTTTGAAGTGTTCCAAAGTATCGGGACTATTTTCACACATTTCAGTAATAAGTGTTACCCCAGTAATCAACACACCTACAAAATTCGTTGAATGAATACTTGAATGTACCCATGCTAATATCATGTGATTAAAAGATAACTTTTCATGTGCTTTTGTGTGAAGTGAATCTGTTCTGAATACCATGACAATGTTAATCATTAATAGAAACAAGGAGAGGAAATCACAAAAATTTACAGCATTTGATGTACCTATGTTCGTGTTCGAATGTGAATAATTCTGTCTTCTTGAGAGACGAGTATACAAGGTGATCTATGTAAGGGTGAGAAAAAAAACATCTGAGAAAGTGTCTGCAAATTTTCAGAGAAATTCGATAAATACACGGTTATTCATACAAGTGATACTATTTTGTCGGAAATATTCGGCGATTGTTACGACAGCTTGATGCCAAATAATTTGGCGGATGACGTTTAGCAAAACTTTCGAGTCATAGGCGAGAAGTTTTGAAACGTCATGAGCGAAAGTAAAGCAGCAAGTTGTATTCCTATAACTATTTCATGATTGAATTTGACAATTCCTACTAATATTATTCGGATTCTGCGATTTTATTTCGGAAATTTTCGAGAGTGTCGAAATATCTGATTAGGGAGCGATTAGGGTTTTTAAATAATGGGTAACAAGTTGTAGGTTCATCAGTTCATCAGTCGCGAGACGCTGGTTTCCAAGAAAAGTCAGAACTCTAAGGTTACTTAGGCGCTAAACGTCATGATGCTGGTTTAACTGGACGATGGGCTATTCTGTTATTTAGACAACATCAGGGAATGGGATGTAAGTCTCAGTGTTATAGTGATGGGCAAAATAATTCAAGAATTGTTTTGAAGGGGTTTATTTTGAAGTTTTAGTTTGGAAATCATGGAAAGGGATGTTTAGAGACTAATATCTGAATGAAGAAATTTTGAAGGCTATTTGGTTCGGTATTTTGTGACTGTATTAGTAAGAAGTGTAATATTATTGGAAACTGAAAGCATCACAGTATCAAAATTGGTCATTCTGACTTCACTGGTGAGTGATTGGGTTTTATCTGCAATCAATAGTATATTACACACCTAGGTGGGAAGAGATTCATTCCTGTCATGACATTAGTTAGTCAACCGAGACGCAAAGCGTCAAGGTCAAGTGAAATCTGTGTTCAAAACTGAAAATACAATGAAATCCACAAACAAAGCCAAAACATGAAGAACAATCATCAAATAGTATACCTCGTGTCTGTAGAAAGTATTAATTATAATAGAATATAAGTACAATATCAAGAAACGACATAGTGACAAATCAAAACTAGCTGAACATAAATATTCTAACTGACAATGGACAACACATGGCAGAATGGAATAATATCAAAATCATAGGAAAGGAAGATAATAATCAAAAGAGAAAAATAAAATAATCCGATTGCATTCTTCTGAACGGACACAATAGCATTGCTTCCTGTTCAGTTGATATAGATAGAACATGGTATTCACTACTGAAAACTCAACATGAAAATGGTAGATTCAAAATCAATTGATGAAAAATTCCTGTAACCCATTGTACGTCAACATCAAACTATGTCACTCTAAAGTATCACATGAATCTTTCAAAGAAAAATAATTTGCGATTTTTTTTGTTGAAAACGGGAGCAGATTCGTTCCCGAAACGTCCAAAGTTAAGTACAAATTCGGTATTTTTTCAATACATCTATATTCTCTCCAAACATTTTTCAAAACAAAGTATCACTGAAAAATATTGAATTTCCATTTTAGGCTCGATTGAAGAATGTTTAAGGGCAGTGGCATTTTAGGGCAAATCATTTGATTTGTCCTACTACAGGTATTTTAAAATAATACTAATATTTCTATTTTAGAGAAACGAGAAAAGAAAATACCAAATAATCTAGAAAAATTAACTAATAATATTTTTCAATAATCCTATCTAGTTGGAGGTCAATAGAGTGTTTTTCTATGGATGTAGCGGTAACAAGGCAGGGGTAGCAGACTGCTACTAAAAGTAAAATATATTTCGACTCTCAACTTTTTCGAATTTGGCTTCAATTTGAAATTATCTCAACTTCATTTGATGAGGACAACCCACTGACTAATTCTTCGCATTCTCATATAGATCACCCTGTGATAACTATGCTAATATTAACATAGATAAATGAAGCATCATGCAGACCAACTTGCCGTGATTTTTCTCGGACAGCAAACTCCTCGTGGCCGGCAAAAATATCTCCATCAGATCCGGCACTCGCTTGATGATCCTGAATGCGCACAGAGAGGCCTTCTTGCGAATGTACGCGTTTGGCGACTTCATCAGCCGCTCCACTTCTCCCGCCAAGTCTCTGGCCATCTCGGGCGACGCTATCGCCCCCAAAGTGCACAAGGCCAGGCCGACGATGAATTGGGTGGTCGAATTCAGATCGCTTGAAAAAAAAAACGAGAATGCGCGATTTTATAGAGAACGGAGGAGATATTTCTTTCATGTACAAGAGCACGTTTTTCTCGAAACTATGCAGAGAATTTTTCAAATTTTTTTCCTTCTAGATTTCCCAAAATGAATTACCAAAATATGATTCCGTTAAAAATGTTCCTCCGGCAATGAAAGGAAATTAGGATCGCGAATTTATTATAGTCGAGTTCAGATCACTTTGATCAAACGAGAATGTGCGGTTTTGAAATGTTTTGCACAACAGACAAGAACACTAATTCCAGGAAAAAATACTGAGACGTTCATCACTATAAAGATTACTAAATTCTAGTTATTTGTTTAGTTAGTTAGTTAGATGAGCAAAGTCACAGAAAGGTTTTTTTGAATTCTTTATTTCCGCTAGATTTCTTAAAATATATTCCCAGAAACTGCTTCAGTTAGAACACTACGGAAAATCCGAAGATGAATTCATTTTCAACAGACAAGAACATTCATTTCAAGAAAAAATACTATACCGTTCAGCATGATGAGCATAATCACCGAGATGTTTTTTGAAGTTTTCTTTTTTCGCTAGGTTCACCAAAATGAATGCTCAAAAACTGCTTCAGTTAGAACACGATGATTTGACTGATCGAGTTCAAATCGCTAGAAATGAGCGAACATTTGCGATTTTAGGGAAAGCGGAGGAGATTTCTTTTTAAAAGGTAAGAACGCTTATTTTTTGAAAAATACTATGCACAGAGAGTTTTTCGGATTGTTTTCCTTCTATATATCCCAAAATAAATTACCAAAGATTGCTACCGTTAGAAATATTTCTCCTCGCGAATTCATTATTCATACGGAAACTACTAAAAATCATCCAGTAGCTATAGAAGTCAACTTGTCATTGACATTAGTAACATTTGCCATTTATCGCAATAGTAAATTCCTGCTGTTGTTTATACCACAATAGTTCGCTTTTGTGTTTTAATGCTAAGCAATGTGCCATCTGACGGCATATATCACGTGATCATCAAGTGTGATTATTTGTTAGTAGTATTGAAGGTTATAATAATTGGTCATTCAATTATGTGACTGATTATTTTATGATTATTTGTTTGTACAACAGGATATGGTAGAAACAAATCTTTCAAGTCGTTCTGGCAAAAAATTAATATTTTGACATATCACACTTGGCGTCAAAAACATATCATTTTTGACAGAATGGCAGCTCGGGAAAATTAAGGTTAAAATTCCAATAGAATTGAATGTCATTAACGATCAATTTCGTGTACATGAATGAAATTTGTTAGGCGAAGTCGAGAGAAAATTTTCTTCAAAAGGCAAGAACACTGATTTCTTGAAAAAACTACTATGACGTTCATCACGATGAGAAATGTTAGATTGATTTCATTAAAATTTGAGGTACATTAAAATATCAAGTATAGGTCGCGAGCACGATGACCGACTCTGGAGTTAAAACATCACTTTTTTGTAAAACATTGAAACACAACCTCACTTTTCTCATTTGTTTACAAAGGAATCAAATAATTGAAATAGTTTTTCACTATATTATGGCACATGGATTCTTTGGGCTATTAATTAATTCGAGAATGCCATCACTTTGTGCTGTTATACAATGCACAAAAATGCAGCTAGAGACGAAGGAATATGCTTTTGTTTAAGAAAGTTACTTCAGAAGATACTGTATATTAGGATGTCATAGAGACAAGAAAAAAAAAGGTTGTTGATAATAATAAAAATAAAAAATATAACGTCAGAAATACTGTCTTTCAAAAAGATTATCGAAGTTAAAATATACAGTCCACTTTATGCGAATTCCAAACAGCGTTTTCAGGTAAATAGTGATCTCACATAGTTTTCATTATAATATTTTTGTCATTTCTCAATAGATTTCCTTCTGCCACTTCTGCAATAAAATAGAAGATAGTACTGCTACTAAATTGGAAATCTCTACAACACACACGATCACATTTCGTCAGTATGTCAGACCAGTCCTCCCGTTTGGTTGCATAAATGGATCAAATCTTCTTGTCTTCTTTTAGCAACTACACGAGTATTTCTATTGAAGGAATTCCAATTAGAAATGACAACATTTCAAAATGAAAACTATATGTGAGTGTCTATAGTACTTTTAGATCACAATGTACATACCTGGAAAATCGGATTCCTTCGTCTCTCGCTGCATTTTTCGTGCATTGTTACAACTGCACAAAGTGATGGCACGCTTGAAATAACGAATAGCCGAAGAACACGATTCGTATGCCATAATAATTGTGAAAAACTAATTCAAACCTTTGTAAACAAATAAGAAAAGTGAGGTTGTGTTCCAATGTTTTACCTCCAGGGTCGGTCATCGGACAAATCTTGCACGCAATCCATACTAAAATCGTTCAGTAAGATTGTTTAAAACTCGGTATAAACGTATAATTGAGGGTTAGACAGTTTTTTTCGCTTTCGCTGAAAGCGCAGCGTGCACAACGCCAGGCCGACGATAAATTAGACAGACACACCGAGAGCTGATCTGATTTTGTGGTTATGTATGTTTTTGTTAATCAGTTTTATTTGTGCCGATTTATTATCTCATGTTATTCGTTAGCCTATGTCTAGAGTTTATAATTGTTTTGTTAGTTAGTTGATCATCGTTGTTGTTCATGAATTAATCAACAACGACGCAGTTGTCTTCTTCTTCTTGATTTTTCTATTCGTTTTTAATTCGTCAGCTATAAGCTAACTAAATTCTTCATCATCAGCCATATTCAGACTAGATTCACAATGTACGTCACAGTTTTCTGCCCCGAAAATTATAAATTGCTATATTTTGAAAATAATGGACATTATTTATCACCATTCTGTACAGCGTGGACACGAAACTGAGGAGTTCCGAACTCATTTTATAAAAATTCATCTGAGGGAAACTTCCTCATTCGAGGTTCATTGAAATGGCAATTATACCAAAAATCTGAACGCGCACAGAGACGCCTTCTTGTGAATATAAGCGTTGGACAAATTCATCAGTCTCTACACTTCCCCCGCCAAGTCTCTGGCCATTTCGGGCGAACATTGCCCCAAAGTACACAGATCCAGGCCGACGATGAATTAGGTGGTCGAATTTTCTTTAATAAGCAAGAGCACGTATCTCTTGAAAAAATACTAAGCACAGAGAATTTTTCCGATTTTTGTTCCTTCTAGATTTTCTGCACCAAACATAACAATGATCCGTCAATCATTAGTTTAAAAGTACTAAGTAGAATTAATTTTCAAATTTTTAAATGAAACATCCAATAACTCAGGCAGGAGACACATTATATCTATCCATATTTCTTGGATCAATTTGAAGATTGAAAAATATTTACTTGATATTTCCTTGAAATGAAACAGCTGGCAACACAGGAAAAGGTATTATGACGTCAGTACTGGATAGACGAGTTGCCGCCCAACGCTACTTTTGAACGTACCATGGAATTGTAAGGTATTGCAATTGTGTTTTGTGTTCATTACCGCAATACATTATCGAAAAGTTGATGCATTAATATTATGTTACTACTATATTTCAGAAATATGCACTTTTGAATAATTGAATTCACGCAGTTATGTGTATACAAAACAAATCCATTCAGGGTGTTTTATGACAAATGTAGATATGTCAACAGTGGTGTTTCTGGATGTACCATACCTAAAGAGGAAAGCAATACGAGAAAAACTATGTTTATAAACAGAAAAACAAGGATACACACATTGACATACTCACATACCTAAGAAAGGAAGCAATAGGAGAGATGATTAAAAAACTTCATGAAATGGAAACCAATCAATTCTTCATATTCTTTCTCACAGAAAATAGAGTCCCTGTATATACCTTAGACAAGAGTCCGGACACAAAACTGACAGCCGTTGGGGTTATTAATATTTCGTTTCATTTGGTTTGCCCACCTGACAATGTGACAAAACACCATAGTCGTCCCGCCCGCTTTTTTTGATCATTTCGAATTTCCGTCACTTTGAAATTCTACAACCGGCAAACTTTTGCATTTTAAATTATTTCAATGTCCTGCTGCGTACATTATTGCGATAATTCATTAGAAAAGGGATTCAGGTTATTCAATTTTCCGAATGATCCTTTAAAGATAATGTCATGGAAGAATGCAATGAAACGTCCAGAATGGAAAATTAATTTCAAGAAATCCGCAACATGTGAGGTATATATTCAAATTCACTTGTAAAAACAGTACAAAAAAGATGCATTTTAGGACCATTTTAATAGAATTTATAAAATAGAGAAGTTCAAAAAAAGAGTTCCTTCGTCATCGTATTGGGAATTACTGAATGATACGGTCACAGAGAAAGAAAATGAGAATGAGATGATGCGGAAAAATTGAAAGTTTGGAATCAAAACTAGAAGATTCAGAGAAATTGCAATGCACTAAGTCATCAGTCCACGATGTTTTTAATTCAGATCAAATTCAAAATTTACAGGTGAATGTAGACTGCAGGAAGAGGTGGGAAACCGACACAATTAAAATTATATTGAAACAATTATATATCTTCCATTTTTTATATCCCAACAGAAAACAACTATAATTTCTTGGCTATATGTGATACCACGTTGAACACTTGAATTATCTTTCTTATTATCTGATGAAGTGAAGAAATATCTGATGACGAAAATTTGCAATACCCATCTCTGGAATTGATTATGAGAATTATCAATTCGAAATTTCAACACCCTGTTGTTCATTATTTGAATATCTAATAGTTATTCTAGTTAAAATAGCCCTATTTCTCACTTCTACCTACGGCTATGAACGGTTTGACAAATAATCTAACCCTCAAAATTGTTTCTGACAATCATTAATACTAGGGGAATTGAAAAGACAGAGCTTGATATATATGTCTTATTCCTTTATTCAATCATCAATGCATTTTTTGAAAACAGAAAAGGACAGAAGTATATGTGTGTCCGGACTCTCGTCTAAGGTATATACAGGGACTCTAACAGAAAATAGTTTGAAATAATTAGTAGTTTGAAAAATTGAAGGTACTCAATTGTATTGATAGCCAAACTAAAAAGATATAGAAAATAAATTAATAAAATTGTGTTGATTAATACACAACATAGAAAATATTAGCACCTCCATAATCAGTACATTCTATGTTGTGTATTTATCAACACACTCTTATTATTTTATTTTCTACATCTTTTTAGTGTCGCTATCTATTAGTCGCCATATTGGAGCCGCCATCTTAAATTTACCATTTTTGACAAAAGAATCATAATACCCCCAGATACCAATTTTGAATAAAATCGGATCATATTTACAAATCTCGTCCACCATTTTGGAGCCGCCATATTGTTTTTTTGTTTGAAGAAAAGTTCATGATGATTTGCCATCAGAATTAAGTACGCATGCCAAATTTCAAATCAATCGGTCCCTTTAAAGTGGGTCAAAATCAAGTCCAAGGGAGCCACTTACATAACATACATACAGTTGGGTGAAGCTAATAAAAGAGTTAATAAAAAAAGAACACATTGACTTACTTAAATACCTGAGGAGGGGAGCAAAATCTTCACCTATCAATTCTTCTTGATTTCCTCACAGAAAATTCACTATAGAAAATTACACATGGCTCAAGCTGAGGGCAATAACTTGAACACTTCTAAGCCGTTTGGTTTGATGATATGAGCAATAAGCAGAAAAAAATACAAATGTGAACCAATAAAAATAATGTGAACAAACCCCTTTTGATAGCTTTTAATAACTTCAATAGGTGGCATAGGCTTATTTCCTATCAGGAATAGGTTGGAATAAGATAACAAGAAGGGCTATATACAGTATGATGCAAATGTATGGAATAAATTCATTTCAAAACAAGACGACTTCCGAAAAAAATCCAAAAAGTAGAGTTCAGAACTTTTTTATCCATGTATTTTTTCAACTAGACGACCCTTTGATTTTCATTTCTCAGTAGAAGATCTATGCAAGATTCAGTTAACCAAATGATAATCCATTTTAATTTCAATCTACTTCTGCAAAATTTTGACTATTGGATAGACCATCAGTAGACCTTTCAAACGAGGTGTCACATGACCCCTGTTTGTATTTAAAAAAATCGTCCATTATGTCTTTACTTCAACAACGGTGACGTAACATCTCTCATATGAATATCATGAGATGAGGCTTCAGAAATTAAAACTCACGTGTTTTTGGAATTTTTTCAAATTTCGCCCATTTCTGAAATAATGAATTTATTCCATACATTTGCATCATACTGTATACATTGACTTACATCTATGAGGAGGGAATCAATAGATTGAATATTGAAAAACACCATAAAACTGAAACCAATCAATTTTCTCACAGATAATAGGAAATAACAGGAGGGCTGTATAAACATTGACTCACATGCCTGGGAAGTGGGGAATAGGGGAAATATGATAGAAAAACTTGATAATGATCTACCTGATCTACATATCTTAGGATACAGAAAAATCATTAAACAATTCATAAAATGGAAAAAAAAAATTTCTTTCCCTCAAGTATTCTTGAAGAAAATATGTACAAATTTAGGTAGGTACTGTTTGAGAAATTGAAATACTTCAAAAGTACCTACTTAAATTCCTTTGAAGGATTCAAATCCTCAAGAAATATTTAAAAATACTGATATACTCAAATATTTGAAAATTTTTACAAATACTAAGATATAAATATTTGATAAATATATTCCACCAGATACTTATGAGTACAAATAATATTATTACCTTTACAACAATGTATTCAATTTCTCAGTACCTATAAAAAAACTGAACAGTAATAAAATACTGGAAATAATTTATAAATACAAATGATGCCCAGCTCTAGTGGGAGTGGAACATACAAAATATGAACAAATCAAGGTTGATGTGTAAATTGAAGATTCACTCACTTTTTAAGACAGTTTGTTATCAGTAGATGGACATCCTGGCGTTCATCCAACAACAACATTGCTCCAAGATAACCAATTCTTTTGTCAGTGAATCTGGAGCTGGCAATGAGTTTCAAACACTCAAGTTGCCCAAAATGTGCTGGATAACCCAGCATTTGAATGTACAGTAGCTTGGCAATGTTCCTACACCTAAAATTTCGAGAAGAAAAAACTAATAGCTAACATTAGTAAAAAGTTTACCTCCAAACTGAATCTTCTTCACGGAATGTTGACCTAATATAAGCACACTCTTTGTTGACTACACTTCGTTCCTCTGCAGCTGTCCTAGCAGCCCTAATCTGTCTAATAAGGTCTCTAAGACGCATTGGAGTAGGCATTCGAACTACAACAAAAGAATAGAAATAGAAAATATGGGAAAATATACTATACACCTAACATTATTTTCATTCAAAATTATTATAAAACTCACCCCTTTCAATAGCCTCATTGACCACTTGTTTTATTGTTGCCATATTGAAGGCTGGATTGAATCTGAAATTTGTCAAATTATAAAACAAGCAGCTGATATTCAGCAAGAATCATACCCATGTTCTGAGGAATTCATTCCGGACATCTTAAAGTTCAATTACCGACGTTAGCAGAGTGATTATGAATTATATTGGGAAGTTGTTTCCACGTATAGAACTGCACTGTTGTGCAGGTGATCAGGTGAACATTATTTTGGTAGGGCTTATATAGATTGCATTTATTTGCTTGTAGGTTCGTGGAATGGCATCAGTTCTATACGATACTGTTTTTAGCAAACTTCATTATCCAGAAAATTTTGTAATTATCAGTTTTTCACTTAAATAGTTTCTATACTTTTGAGTTCGGGTCACATCAGATGAGATGAGAACACCCAACCAACAACACCCAAAACAAGAAATTGACAACTAATTTTTGACAACTTCAAAAATTCAAATTGACAACTTGAAACAGTGTTACCAACTTTTTTTAGCTAACATTGACATAGGTAAGGACAGCGTCTCGGGCCAGTGCTGCAGGAGAGTGTTAGCTTCGATAATTCGTGTCTATCACTTCTTTTCATTCAGCAAGGTGAATAATGTAAGGATTATTAAGATGTCGAAATAATAGCTCTCTCCTATAAAACCCAGTTCAAAAATAAAAATTCACCAGTCCGAGGATTTTAAGAAATATAGGTATTTCTGTTATGAAATACCTACAGATTTATTTATTCTATAATATATAGGCCTGAAAAAGACTGTGCCTATAGATAGGAAGATAGATAATTCATTTTTCTTTTATATGCATTCATAAGAATACGAATAATATAGATAAGTACTCTAAAATCGATTTACCTGAGAGTGCGGCTAATCGTGGAATTCGTGGATTGATAGTTATAGTTGATAGAGAATCAGAATAGCTAAGGGATTTGAAGCCTATAGGAACATTTTATGACAAAGGCCTATCTAGTAAAAATGCTTTTCGATGTAATAAGGTTCAAAGGTTCAAAGTTTTATGCCCCAGCAAAATATTATGGTTTGAATATTGACGAATAAAGACAGTCATAATAACTTGAGCATTTCAGTGTTAAAACTACGTTAAAGTACCTACAGGCAGCGCGCGATCTGGTAGACATTCAAAAACATGTCAGTCCTCAAACAATAATACCTATAGACATATACCTAGTTATAGCAATTCCTTATTCCTTGATACCTTATTATTGATGTCTAAAAAACTCAGGTGTATGGATATTTGAAATGGCATTTTTTACCTTCTGTTTGCCTCCGGTGGTAGGACACTCCAATCCGACTCATAGTATGGGTACATTCCTCCCTGCTTGAATAGGAAATTAGGCCACTTTCTCGTCTATCACAGCAAAATAATAACTTAGATAAGCTTTCTGGTGTATACATCACCTATGATATTGCTCTCTTGATAAACGCAGAGATAAGTTCATTTACACATTCGTTATCAATTCATCAAAACTGAATGGATATTGATATAAATAAATATAATGTTGTTTTTGTAATCATAACTATGTCAGTTATGTACCTATATCCCCTGTACCGGGAGGCCATACCGGCAACATCTGTAACTTTTGATGGATGATTCAAATTTTCACATATTCAAATTTCGTACCTATTTATTTTGTTGATGCCATATTTTTTATATTTTTATGAATTCAGGATATTGGTTCACATACAGTAGGATATCGAGTCATAACACTCATAACTTTTGGAAATAGTCGAATTCGATTTTGATTATTTGCATAGATATATCTTCAAGTGGTTGTGGAAAATTCAATAAATTTGTATGACATGCTTGTGATCGCTTCTGAATCCACAATGAAATTTTGGAAGAAGCTTTCTTAATGGAACTATGTACGCTCTGGGCCATATCATATTTTTTTCTGTGACTCTGTGACGGGGAAAAATTTTGACATTTAAACCCTATTGACAGGTTATGAAATGGCAGTTTCCATAAATTACTGAGTATTTTCTTCCCGGATGCTATACATAGTTCCGAAAAATAAGCCGATAACATCGATCGTCTCCGAGAAAGAACTGCAAGTCCGTCCTCTTCCTTCTAACAACCACCAAATTCGCAATTTTTCAGAATCCAATTACAGAATTAGACTGACAGATATTTGATTACCTCAAAAGAATAATAAAGGTGCCCGCAAAAAGATGCCTGCAACGCTGGTGTCATTCCTGCTAAAAACTTCAAATTTCATGTCGATAATTTTCTGATTTTAATATGATGTATAATATCTCCTCAATATCGATTCGTCCTTTTCTCGGTCACAGAAAAAAATTGTGTATTATACACGGGAAAAATATTAGATTTTAGCTCACGGTTTTTTGTCTCCTTCCGCTACGCATCGGGCAACCATAACACTAGCCTGGAGTTAAAATCTACCACTTTTTTCCCTTGTATAATGAAGAAATATTTTTTTTAAATTTCTCCTAACCTTGAGTTCATTGATGCAACATATATTTCAACATTGGATCAAAATAATGAGTTCTTATAGACACGAAAATAAAATTCCTATACAAGTTGATTTCATTAGAACAAGCAGTAATAATATAATATTTACTTCGAAAGGCAATTTTCAGTCAGATTTTTGTTAATGATGCCATTATTCGATATATTATTATACCACATGAGCTTGCTCAGTTGAATAATTATGTTTATATACCTATATTTATTGTGATGTCACCTTGTATAAGAGAAAAGCCGCATATATAGAGGATAAAAATAATTGGATAGAATAAGGCACCTTGGGAATGTCAACAAAAAAATGACGCCACTGTATGATTCCTCTAATCCAAAAGTGTGAAACAATCGGAAGTTGAACAAAACAGATTTGATTCTGTTGATATTGAAATAATAGCTATTCAGAGGGTGGCAGATGGTTCTAGTGGCCACCGGTATACTTAGGTAGGTCGTATGCTTTTATCTACAGGGTGATACACTTGAGATGAAGACACCACTGTATTTGAATCATTTTTGAAAGCATAAATTTGTTCGTCGTATCTACAGTGTGATACACTTGAGATGAAGACACCACTGTATTTGAATCATTTTTAAAAACATGAATTTGTTTTTTGGTACATACCTTCATGATGGGCCACACTTTTTGCAATTCTCAGCCCGAGTGACAGCAGCCTACTGCGATATCGCGGAAAGGCAAATTATCTCGATAATTTGCTTCGCGTTGGAGATACCGAAAAAAGTTAATCAATAGTTCTGAACAAGAAGCTACATAAATTATATATAAAATAGTCAGAATCACTGAAATAAACGTATTGAAATATCTGAAATTGAAAATTATCATTTTATCAAATGTATAAGTTAATCGAATTTAGTCTCCTCTCAGTCTATCTCTCAAAATTCAAAATTCGCATTTTTCGTTGAAAGGTATGTATATGGTCAAAATCGATTTCTAAGCATCTTTTTCGAATTTAGTTATTCGCCTTCTCGCGGGATCGCAGTAGGCTGGGTTCATTGAGACTGTCACTCGGGCTGAATATTGCGCAAGGTGCTGCCCATGAAGGTATACGTCTGTACCAAAAACCAAGTATCTGCTTTCGTATCAGACAGTATAAACAGATAAATATACACTTCCTTCTTTTTATTCAAAATTATTATCCTTCTGAAGATTTGGAAAAAATAATGCAGGTGCGAATAAATTCAGATATTAAGGATACAAAATAAAATAAGAGCCCTAAGAGGTATCTATTGAGTATAGTAGGTAATTCTACTTTAGGAATATATGGTACCTACACTACCTACCCATTGGAATTTTTTCTGTAAGTACAAAAAGCAACATAAAAACGACACTTGATGTTTATAGCGATATTTCTACACTATTTATATTCATTTATTTCGTTTAAACACAACAGTATAATATGTCGTAGGTAAGTAAGTATGTATAGAATAATGAAGTCATAGATAAGATTATTTAGGTAAAGGCGCATAGCTCACCTGCTTACATTGTCGGTAAGCGACCCCGATTAAAGGAACAAACAACATAAATAATAAATCAGTAGGTAAAATATACCTAGTGTTCATTTTGAATATTAGAGATGAAATAGTATGAAGTATATATGAGTTTTAATGAAATTAAAATACACCAACAGTAGCCTCTTCATGATTTATTCGTAAATGGTCTGTCTGCATTCAGAAAAAATATGTCTGAATCCAGATGAGAAAATCTGAAAAAATTGACAGGCCATTTTCAGGAAAGATACTTTGAATTAAAAAAAATCTAAATTCAGATGGAGAGAGTTTGATTGAGTCAAGAGGAAAGAATCTAAATTTGGAGAAAATACTGGATTTGTAATAAAAATACTGCATTCGACGAAATAAGTCTGAACTCAGAAAAAAAATTCTGAATTCTTTTAAAATAAGTTCGAATTCTCGAAAAATATTCTGACTTTTGAGGAAAAATACTGAATTTGAGAAATGTAAGAATTCATGGAAGAGCCTGAATTTAGTGACAACATTGAGAAAAGTCAAAATTCAGAGAAGAATATCGGAATTGAAGGATAGTCTGAATGCACTCTCTACACTTTTGTACGTATCTTCAGAGCCGCACGCTCTCATAAATTCTACCTATGCGTCCTGATTTCAGGTAAATGAGCAACAATTCATAGAAATGAGCTTGAAATTACATGAAAGAGTGTGAATTCAGGAAATCTGAATTCATATAAGTGAAGGAAGTTCGAATAAAGGAAAAATAATTCGAATTCAGACGAAAAACTCAAAGACACAAGTCTGCATTTGTAGAAAAAAATCTGAATATCGGTCGGAATTCATTCACCATGAAGTTAGAATTCAGAAAAAAACTCTGATTCTCAATATGGAAGTCTGAGTTGATTTCAGGAGATAAGTCAAACTTCAGAGAACAATAATTTTCTGAAATGAAGGATAAAAGTCTGAATATATAATAATAATAATTATTATTCCTAGTATCCTGTAAGGCAACCATTGTATAAGTCACGGAAGAAACCTTGGGAATAAATCCTGAAATAAGTAAGTAGGTACCTATAGATATTTTTACAAGCAGTAACACATTATTCAATGACAATTTATTAAAAATGGATAAAATACACTCAGCACGCTTTCGTACGTATCAAGTATGGTAACAGACAAACTATCTGCATTTGATGAAACTGTTGGAATTTATGGAAGAGTTTGAATTCAGAGACAAAGTTGAAAAAAGTCAAAATTCAGGAATATATCAATTCTTTCTCGGTTTATCCAACAAAAAACAACTACTTTCCAGGCTATATGCCACGACGAACATTGAATTGCATCTATTCTCCCATACATTTCAATTTTCATTTCAATACTGAACATATTGGTAAGTTATATTTTCATATCATAATTCATCATATTATTTTCTCCGATTTGAGAAAGAATGTCAATTCTCAATTCGGATTCGGATGTTCAACAGATATAATTCAATGTTCGACGTGGCAAATAGCCAGGAAAGTAGTTGTTCTCTGTTAAATATTCAGGATGATATTATGTGCATATAACTATTTTTAACTGAAGGAGAATGCAAATTCTCAACTCCAGAAAACTTCATTTTCAAATTCTTATCGTGTGTATTCAATAGATATAATTCGATGTTCGCCGTGGCATATAGCCAGGAAAGTAGTTGTTTTCTGTTGAAAAAACCGAGAAAGAATTGATATTTTCACCAAATGGAGAATGCGAATTCTCAATGTATTTCTTTACATATACAGGGTGGACCATTATAATCTATTATGGATAATAGTTCTTTCCGGAAGCCGCTAACAAAAAAATGATTCAAAAGAAAGTTGATGGATTCAATGGGGACCAAAGAATGACCCTACTCACAACCCCCCCGACGCAGGGCCCCCATACGGCCCTGGGAGATGAAATGTTTTTTTTCAATGGGAACCCTATTTTTTCACAACGGATTCTTGTTCTACAGAGATCAACAAATTAAAAATGTCTCCAGAAAATTCTTTTTTGGGCTCCTTAAAGGGCCCCAAGTTTTCAATTTTGGTATTTGAGCTGCAATAACTTTTAGGCTATAAGGTCAAACCTATGTTTTGAATATGATAACATAAGTGCAGTTCCAGCATATTAATGCTTTTAAGCAAACCCTTAATCTGGTAAACGAGTCAAATGCCAATGAAGATTCTTTGTTTGTTTCAACTCAAATAACAAAATTAAAAATTTGGGGCCCTTTAAGGGGCCCAGAAGAGAACTTGCTGGAGATATTTTTCATTTGTTTTTCTCTGTAGAACAAGAATCCGTTGTGAAAAAATAGGGTTCCCATTGAATAGAAAACATTTCATCTCCCAGGGCCGTATGGGGGCCCTGGTGGGGGGGGGGGGGTTGTGAGTAGGATCATTCTTTGGCCCCCATTGAATCCTTCAACTTTTGTTGGAACCATTTTTTTGTTAGCGGCTTCCGGGAAGAACTATTATCCATAATAGATTAAAATGGTCCACACTGTATATATCCATTTTTTATGTTCACTATTTCATCGGAGAATACTCCTTTTCAATACTTTCACCCAATCAAGGAAAACTTGTTATTTTCATAGACCTTCAATCGCAGATTCGTGATGAGGTTTTCTCAATTCAGAATTTATTTCCACGTCCTGTATGACGAATATCAATTTGTCATACAAAAAAAAAGTCATTCAGAAGTTTAATTTTACGAGAAATAGTCTGATTCCAGAAAAACAGTCTGTATTCATTAAAAAGAGTGAGAATTTACGAAAAATAGTCTGATTTCAGAGAAAAAAGAATAATGTTGAAAGTCATGGAAGTGTCGGAATTCAGAGACAATTAAGAAAAAAGTCACAATTCAGAGAAAAATATCTGAAATGAGGGAAACAAGTATGGATGGAAATAAAATACAACCAGTATGACGCTTTCGTACGCATCATCCCATAAAAATTCAAACTACAAGTTTGAATAATCCATTTAAAAGTTTTAATTCCCGAGAAACAGTCTGATTTCAGCAAAACAGTCTGAATTCATTCAAAAGGAGAGTAAATTCACGAAGAATAGTCTGATTTCAGAGAAAAAAGAAAGATGTTAAGAGTCATGAAAGAGTCTATTCAGAGACAATTTCGAAAATTCCCAATTCAGAGAAAAATATCTGAAATGAGGGAAACAAGTCTGAATGGAAATAAAATACAGCCACTATGACGCTTTCGTACGTATCATCTCATAAAAATCCGACCTATGCGTCCCGCTTCCATCCCGTCATCCCGTCCCAAAGTTCACTCGCGACGTCAGCGGCGGCCGTCGACTCGGCGTCGGCGTCGAAGACGTCGTCGTGCTCCTCCATCCCCCCACCCTCGACCTGGCGCGCAATCATTGATCGCCCCTGATCCTGCGACGGACAGAGCCGTACCAGAGACCACCCTTTTGCGAAATTATTCTCAAAATTAAGCGGAACTGATTGATCCTTCATTTAATAAATTAGTAGTTTGAAAAAAATTTAATAAAAATCTTTCATTTGAACGCGCTATAAAATCAAAACTTTTCCTTTAACTATCAAGTTATTACCACATTATACACAATTTATATGATCATAAGAGCTTGTCGCGATGATCAATATTTAATTAGATTGAAATTTAAAAAATTTAAACTCAGTGGATTTTACAAAATTTAATCACATTAAACTCAGTTTTAATCTTCTCCCGAAGATGCTAACATAGTTAGCGGAACACGTGTCGATGCGTTTAAAAAATCGATTTGGTTAGTGGTAAAACAGTGTAGTGTATTATCGTGCCAAAGGTTCCAATTTTCGATATATCAAAATTAAATTAGTACTAGTGTGTGAATTGAAAATAACTATTCCGCCATCTTGGATAGTCCGCCATATTGGATTCAGAATGACGAAACATTATTTTTCGAGTTACTCTCAACAAGCCCTTCCATTTGATATCCATATTTTAGGAGTGCATTAAAAATAACTATTCCGCCATCTTCAATACTCCGCCATATTGGATTTAGAATAACTTCGCACACCTTATGGTGCATTGTCATTCAAACTAAACGTGTATACAAAATTTCAGCTCAATCGGTACATTGCAAGTTATATAAAAGATTTTAATGAAATATAATGAATAGGGTGTGATATAAGCACGTTGAAATATTCAAATAACATATTCCTGATGCAGTTTTAGGATAACAAGTCTATACAGTGTCATTCATAAAGTTGGCATCATGGGAAGAGCTTTTGAAGATAAGCTATTCTGAAATTTGACTCGGGCGTTCATTTTTTCTTCAAAGAAATTGCACGTGACTTTCGCTACATGTCAAAAGATATTTTTTTTCGAATTGATCACTGAAAATAGGGTTATTTCATCGAATTTCTGAAAAGTTTACTGAGAAAAGTTGTTTCTATTCCAATTTTACACATTTGTCTGAAATTTCAACGTTCGATTGCAACTTTTAGTTCTTGATATGTTTTGATTTCTTCTAATTGTA